TGCATGACCGAGGGAGCTGTGTCCACGTGCGCGCGCTTAGCTCGGTCGCAGACACGCCGAGACCTACGCGGGGCCTCGCACAGCTCTTGTTTTCGCTGCCCCGGGGACACCTTTTTGTGAAACGGGACGTTTAAGACGCCTTAAAGAGCGCATTCCTGGGTAAATGTGTTCAATAAATAAACTCGATTCGAGCGCGGTAAGTGCCGGCGTGCTCGCCCTGGCTCTGCGGAGTTTTGTTTAGCCCCTGTCGACGACCACGGGGTGGGGGGATTCGGGGTGGGTGAGGTTTTTGTGCTCGATCTGGAACGGCGGCCGCGCGAGTGCTTCTGTTAACAACACATCCACGTGAAACACGCGCACCTTGTAAAGTACATCCCCCCCTGGGCTGTTGATCCCCAGATAGGGTGGCGGCAGCGACGGAGGCGGTGAAGTGGCCTTATCGGCAATCGGCCACAGGCTCAGCGGCAATTAGCTGAGCACCCACACTGAGCTCTCGTGAGCTTGACAGATGTTGCACTCGTAGAGGCGGTTAGATAATTGGGCCCGATTGACGCTCTCCAGATTCTCCGCCGTCGCAAAGTTCCTCCCGTAGCGGGGCGTCGCTCGCGGCGGTCGTTATTCACCCGCAGAAACGAGTCTGGGGCGCACTGACAAACAAAGTTTGTTAACTTCGCTGTGTCCGATAAACGCAGAGTGCACGCGCGGGGCGGGGGGGGGGGTGCTGCTGGAGTGGACAACTTTGCCTGGAAGCCCAAATGCTTGAGCCAACGAGAGAGTGGCAGCCGATAAACTTGGTTCAGGATAACGAACGGCCGTCTTGAATTGCTTCGCAGCAGTTGCCATCTTCCCGTAATTAGAAAACAGGGTGATCCGTTTATAGATACGCCGTGGAAAAAATAACTATAGGAATAAATGACGGAGAAAACTGCATTTTGTTTATTTCACAAGCTTCCCGACACATCTCCCACCCGTCTCAAGGATAAGAGAATTAGCCCTTTTACGCGGGGAGACATATATGGGAAGGAGGCGTAATTGTCTGCCTATTTATGCTGGAAGCCAAATTTTTTCCATTTATAGATATCCCACCAAAATGAGTGTGTAATTACAGAGAAATCAACATTGTATTTCAAAGCATCTAACTCCATGTACACGCCTCCCTCCAATCTTGATACACATGTTCACATTTTCAGCGCTCTCCTCTGTAGAATAACGGAGCCATCGCTGTCGAAATATTCAATCGCCTGTTTAGAAGTAAATCAGGGTCATTAGAAATTAATGGTGTATCGATAAATGGGCCACCCCAAAGGAAAGACTCAATTGATTCCTCTTTTCTGCAATGTTTCCCTGGTGGACCTTGATAATAATCCTAACATTGAAGTGGAAGTTGGGGTGAGCAGTGACGCACGAGCAGACACACCGTAAAACGAGCTCTGCCATCTGAGTTTGATTCCTTGCCACGGCTAATATCGATGGCAAGTCGCATCTAAACCATTCACGGGCCTTCTCTTCAACAAAACTCATACTATCATGGTGAGGTCTGGTCAAACAACCCCCATGAATGACCTTCACAGCAATTGGGTAGGCGTGTCAGTCTGTTAATTATTTGATTCTAACACCAAGGCAAGTGGTAGTTTCCTTGATGCCGCATTTTAAAAACATTCTCACTGCCCTCACCCCATAAAAAATACGGTGCACTGAATCCTAAACGTGATTGTCCGAGGACAAAGCCTGCCAACGGCTCGTTATAACTTTTGCTACACTATGTAACTATAATCAAGGTGTATAGAAGGCTCCTTTGGGAGGGTGGGGGAGCGATCGCTTCACTCGGCATTAAAACAACTGCGGAAACATGAAGTTGATGTTCGTGTGTGTACGTGTCGAGAAAAATAAACCATTATGCGCCACGTTCCTGGTGTGCGTGCAGCCCCCCACCCCACCGCACCCCGGCGTGCTTCCGATGTTGACGCACTTGAAGCTTGAACGTGCCGGGATTATTCACTTCACAGCAGCTCTCCAGCTTCTGGCATGTTGATTGCCCGAGCCGTGTTTCCGCGTGCTGAGGCTCGGCACTCTCTCGGTGAAACTATGCTAAGTGTCCCCTTTCTTGATTCCGTTTCAAAGGGGGCAAGCAGAGAATGCGCGATGGCCACGAGCGCAAACGTCGGACTTCAAAGATCGCGCCGGACCCCTCGCTGTCGTTTGTCATCGTTTTGCTCGTCGCGTTTTTAATCGTCGGGGGTAATTCAATTGTCTCTTTTGCAAGCTTTTCCCCTGGATCATTCTGACCCCGTTGGGCTGAGACAGCTCGCGTTATTGTTTCATTGTCACCGCCACCGAGAAGGCATTACGGGGGTGTACTTTGGCAGGGTGCGTGCCATGTGTTGCCGCTTTCCACACACAGTGTGCATTCTTCCATTCGCTTTGAGGCTATTAGCCTTGTTAGTGTCAGCCCCGAAGTGGTGGCTTAATTTCTGTAAACATTAGCCCCCCTTCATTTTTTATTTGTCGCGCTCCAGCCAGCTCCAGGATGTAACGTTTAAAGATGAACCCGTTTGTGCGAGCACACGCGAGCGTGTGTTTTGCTTAACCGAGTGTTCAGTGTTGATTTATGGAGACAAGAATGTTGTTCTCAAGCCATCATGGCTCTGGAAGCTGAGATCGCCACTTTGATGAAGTTGGAACCTTCCCCGGTGCCAGGAATGTAATTTTAAAAAAGGTTTTAACCACCGCTGCTAACTTGAGCCCGGGTGACGAGTAACAAATAAACACGACGTGCCCGCTCACGCCGCTTTACATCTGTTTTAATGTAATGTCCTGTGCTTTTATTATATTTGTTTATTTATTAGTGAGAGCTCGGGCAACTTCATGAAATTCTGCTCAGTCAAAAGTCCGGCATAATGGTAGATTTTATTCACATTAGTCTTTTCCAGAATTTCATTGTTGATGTGGTCATAGTAAAATAAAACAAACGCTTTCCTAAATATTTGCTCTATCATTCGTTCACCTATAAATATTCCACTATTTTGTCTGCAGTGATCTGAGTGTACATCCATGTGAGGGTCGAATCAGGTTTTGAGGCTGTCGCCTCTAAAAGGCTAAAATTGGAGAAACTCCGAAAGGCCCAAACTCACACGAGATGGAGTCAGCAGGGGGTCCATGAGAGCAGACACAGCAAACAGCCACCGATGAACACGAGATGGAGTCAGCAGACACATCAAACAGCAACCGACGAACACGAGAATTCTCACCGTTCCAAATGAAAGTAAGCAAAAGTGCAAGTTACACAAACAAAGTCTCGGTTGCTTTCATCTCAAACTGCAGAGCTGCCAGGACGATAGTCCAAGCAAATAAAATACTGGGGTTCGTAACGAGCAACACGAGGAAAATATTCAAGGCTTTCTGGGCGTTGCAGGGCAATACAATACAACATTCGTCAAATAGACAAGATCAACTTTAAACAGCAAAGGTAATCGGTTAGGTTGTAACCAGATCAACACGGTCCTAATAGCGAATGATCAAAGTCCAGCAGACACCGATGCACAGTCATGAAAGAAGGGTTGTGATCTGAATCTCACAGGTCTCGGGTCGGGGTCAAGTAAGACTGCATAGGTCACAGACTTTGCGGTGTATTGCCACAAGCCCAACGGCGTGTGGAGGTGGTAAGGTTGCAGGGTTCGAAGGTGGTCTCAGCACAGACCAAGCAGAGTTGTGCAGCTGGCAGGGTTTGAAGGTCTGGGGAGCACAAGCTGAGCAGGGCCACTGAGGTGGTGAGGTTGTGAGGCTCAGTGGCACTCGGGATAGGCTCCCAGGCTTTCTCCCGTTGCTGGAATTGCAACCTTGTACTAAGATCTACTCGCAGGCCTATCCAGGCACTGACACTGTACTAAACGAGTTGGTGCGCACCTAGCAAGGTCGCACTTGGTTGATGGAAGGAGATTAAGCATCTGTATGCAGTTACAGGCAAGCGTGAGGCTGAGTACGAGGCACTAGGCCTCACAGGCCTCACCAGGCAAAGTCAGCGGAGGGGCTCTAAAAAGGTTCGCAAGCGTCTCCAAAGTTTTCTCATTTCTCCAGGCAGGTCTCCTAGGTTCCCCGTGCAGGATTCTGGGTCACTATCCTTTTCGGTGATGCTGGACACAATCTTCCCCAACCTCATTTAAGACGTCCCGCCTCAATCCTTCTCGACCAGGGAGTCGGAAACTAAATTAATATAACAAGAGGCATTTTTTTCGAATTCGGTGAAAAAAACACCTCAATATTTCAAGAGCCGCAATGCACGTTGTGAGCACAAGACGACGGTCATAAATAAATAACTTTATGAGGCAGTCCTTAAAGAGCCGCAGGTTGCCGACCCCTGGCCTAGACAGTCTCACCCTCAAGATGGAGTCCCCATAAATATCGCTCGGCGGGGGGGAGGGCACCGTTTTGAACTGGTAGGTTTCACGTGGCCGTAGGCCATGTGAAAATGAAGTCACAGGCCATAGGTTACCCACCCCTGGTCTAACTCGAGGGGGCGTCGTGGTGGCAAGTTGTTAAATACCTCGCCTGGTACCTCTTCCGGTGGGACCCCGCCTGGTTTGGGGCAGCGGGTCCATTCCTCATCTGTCTATCCTCTGCTTTATATAACCGGTTTAGTTTATGTTGACGGTATATACTTGCGTCACAATGCGATGTAACGGGCCCGCGTATTGCCTCAATAAAGAAAATCTCGCCTGGTATGCAGGAGGTCGTGGGTTCGATCACGGCCCTACCGCATTTTGTACGTTTGGAGTTTGCGAGTCTCTCTCTCTCCCCGTGGTCGCATGGATTTTTCTCCGTGTCCTTCGATTTTTCCTTCCATATTTAGAATCGACATGCGTTTAGATAAGCCACTTCATTGAGCTATCAATTGTGGCCAGATCGCTTCTGAAAAGAGCTACAGAGCTCAGTGGGCCTTACCTGGTAAAATACAAACTTGTTTTAGTTTAGTGACTTGCGTTTGTATTTCCCTCTTGACCCAGCCAAGGGCAGGCAGCTCAGGGTGGAGCACCTCCTCACCTGGGTCCCCAGCAGAGGCTGGTGAGGCAGAGGATCATCGGGCGGCAGGCGCTGAACCGCTTATTGAGTGGCCGGGGCAGCGGACGCCTGAGCCATGGGGACCCCCTGGGTCTGCAGTACGTGCCCAGGCCCGGTGACGAGAACGGTGAGGAGTTTTTGAGGTCATGGCGTCGGTCTGAGATGCATAAAAAACTCACTGCCTGGCGGGTGGGTGAACATGTCGGCATGATGATTTTCGTTGTTACGCAAGTTAGAGGGATCCTCATTTTGACTGTTAGTAAAAAATAAGTGGGCATGGTCGGCAGGTCGCGAGCACAGATGATGGCCAATGGTTGAGACTGAGGAGAGAACGTGCCCGAGTGGACTTCCACGACTGAGATGGATCTATGAAATCATCCCAGGAGCCACATGCATTGCTGCATCACGAGACAATTAGAAATGGAAATTTCTTGGGAAGACCTTTACCTGGCAGTGGATGATCATAGCTGATCATGATGGATATATGATGAATTTTGGTGGAATGACGTTGACGACGACGATGTTGATGCTGATATTGGTGACAAAGATCATCCCTCTGCCTTTTGCCAGGAAATTACTCGGTCCCAGTCCCCAAGCGCATCAAGGTCGTGTTCACGCCGACGATCTGCAAGCTGGACTGCGCCGGCTCCGTGTGCAAAACCTCCTGCTCCAAGGGCAACGTCACCACCATCATCGCCGAGGACGGCCAGACTATCTTCCCGCAGCACGGGTCCGGCTTCCGCGTCGGTGTGTGAGCCCGCGGCCCACACAGCTTTGCCGTGCTCGGCACATCTGCACGGAACTCATTGCCGGTCACTGCCCAGGTTTCGTCGGCGACCCCCGTCGGCCAGTACTACGGTAGACTCAAGTGGGGAATGTCCTGTAAAGCTATCGTCGGAACTTTAGAAGCGATTCAAGGTTTAAACCTGAGTTACAGGCGCTTGGATAGGACACTTGCTGGGAGTGACGGGTGTTGCAGCCTTGGGATGCGAGGTGGTCAGGAGGTTGGCAGTACAGCAGTGGACTCTTTAAACTGTGCAGACATTTGAATGTAATCTCCTTGTAAGGGTAGTGAAGTTTCTCCGGGTGCTTTTGTTTTTTCACTCAATAATGGAATTACCCTAACATCCCAATGCAGAACTGTCCTGGAAAAGAAACTTGAGGCTCAGTGAGGCTTTCCTGGGCGAATATTAATAATTGTACCGGGGGTTATTCTTTTTCATTTTGCTTGTTCATTGGGTAGTGAACCGCCTCCAGACCACCCCAGTGGCGGTACAGAATTTCACCGTGTCATATACCGCTGGCGGATTATTTATTTAACTTAATTTTTTTATTTCTAAGTGGCACGTGCTGGATTTTAATTTGCAGGCAGTGTGGAGACGTTGCACGTTGCGCTCACGCTGAATGGTGAAATCTTAAACCTCGTCCGTGTCGCGCCTGCTGGCAGGAAGTCCACACAATGGTAGTTGTTTACGTAGCGGCAGATCTCCGCGGCACTTGAAGGATCGCGCATGCCCGAGATGCGTCGCAGAGCATCGCATGTGAAAATCTCAAGTCCAAATGACCTTGAGCCCATTTCTCTTGGCGGGCACGCGCAACGTCCAACCATACGTCCCCCCCCCCCCCCACCACCCCGCCACCCACCTTGGGGGACACCTTTGGGGTAGCAGGCCAATTTATTCTGCGTGTGACATGAACGCACGCGGCAGTGTTATCTTTCTGGCCGCGTTTCACTCCACCCCCCCCCCCCCTCCAGCAATCTCGCATCTTGGCAGCCGCGTCGGCAGCCCACACACACGGGCGCGCGCGCACACGGCGGCCGATTCTCTGAGCCAAAAAGCGAACGGCAATGGGCGCTCGCTGTTGCGGTGGAGGAGGTAGCAGCTGCGCCAATTCCCCCATGGTGCCATCGCTTCATAAATGTTCTTTTCGGCGTTCAGTGCCAGGGGTAGCATTTGCAATGATAACACCTGCCTTTTCAAAGAAACTTTTTGCTCGAGTGATTGTTCGATCCGAAAAATCAATCCGTCTTTTTGACCAAATCAACATGAATGGTACTAATCATATCAGATCTTGGAATATAAGTGGGGTTGGGAGACTGTCTGAGAATACCAGGCCTTATAGGCTTGGGGCTGCAAGGTGGGCATCAGCATCAACAGCAGCAGGAATCCTTGAGTGTTACTCCTCAAGCATCGTGCGTGTTCTCTACCTACTCCAGTATCCTCCCACATGGAGCCAAACTCACATCAATTCAATTGGCCAAACGCCGTGATGAAACTCGGTACGACTTCCTTAGGTATATAAAGGGCATGGTATTTTATAATAATTATCATCATGAGAACGATGCCACGATGTGTTGTGAAATGAAAACCTCCGCCTGCCACCGACGATCTCTTTCCCACCCTCAGTGATCTGCGGAATCCCATGCCACAACGGCGGGCGGTGCGCTGCCAGGGAGAAGTGCTGGTGCCCGCCCAACTTCACGGGAAAGTTTTGTCAAATCCCGGCGCTCACTAACGAGGTGAACGGGCAGGCCGCCACGGGGAGCGAGGCCCAGGTGGCCTCTGACGGCCGTCGCCCCAGTCAGCCCAGTCACTCCGTCTACATGTTCCCGCTGTCGACCATCGGCAACTCGACGCAGGGTGAGGGCCGTGTTCATCATGGGCGCCAAGGGGGGTTGAGATGTTAATTACCTCGCCTGGTATACATGAGGTCGTGGGTTCGATCTCCACCCCTGACGCCTGCTGTATATTTGGAGTTTGCACGTTCTCCCTGTGGGTGCGTAGATTTTTACCCGGGTCCTCCCGGTTTCCCCTCCACATTTAGAATCAACATGCATTTAGAGTGTTTGGTTGCTACACATTTCCACATGATGATAAACCACTTCGTTGAGCTATACATAATCATGGCCAGGTCGCTTCTGGAAAAAGAGCTTTCTAGCTCAGTGGGCCTTACCTGGTAAAATAAAAATAGTTTAGCTTCAGTTCAGTTTATCTCCTCAGCTGACGAGACATCTTTGACGTCGCCTCAACTACGTGTCCCCCCCTCCCAGCTCTGCCACTCCCCCGCCCACCCGCATGCCACACCACCCCCACGATATCATTCATCCCTCCCTCACTCCCAAATTTGTAAAGTCTCAGCGCCAGCCGCACCTGGGATTCAGGTGAACCTTGGCCGAGGAATTCGAATCCAACACTTTCTGCAAATGACGAGAGATGCTACCAACACAGGCGAATGTGTGTTGCCTGGAATTAATGAGAAATAACAATGAGCAAAGGAGTGCTGATGCTCACAACAGCAAGGGGGGCACGACTCTAATTCGTATGCCGTGTGTGCGTGCCATGAGACCACCACCACATTGCATAGACCGTGCTCTTGGTTGACTCTCGGTCTCACTGCCTTCAGAAGGGGATGGCCAAATACTTTTAATCCCAATTGAGTTGGTGGTCTAGACAAAGCTTACAGCAGTGTACATGCAATGAACGGTCAAACAACACACACAGATGTGCATTGCTTGTACAACATTTCTTTGGCCTTGTTCTTCTGTCGCGGGGGGGTTTCTCATGTTTTACAGAGTTAAATTCATGTGGTGGTCACACAACACGCGGTCACGAGGCATATAGATGGGAGTTTTGCGCCTCCCCCGCTGTCTGCGAGCAACACAAACTCTGCGCGTACCCGTTACCTTCTGTCTCGGCTGACGGTGCGTCACCGTTCGTTCTCTCTCGCCGCGTGCCGCTCTGGCAGTGTCCGCGCCGGGGTCCCTGCCCAGCTACCCGGACCTGGTGAACGTCCACGTGAAGCACCCGCCCGAGGCCACGGTGCAGATCCACCAGGTGGCCCGCCTCATGGACGGCCTCAACATCTCGCACCACCAGGCCCACCGGCCGCCACACCCCCTGCCGAGCCCTCGCATCCGCCCGCTCGCGTCGCTGGGTGGGCACCAGCATCAACAGCAGCAGCGGGACAAGGAGAGGGACCAGGCCATTGCGGGTGGAGCTGATCCTTCCCAGCCCAGGATACTGGCCCGTGCGCCCATGCTGGGACGATGCTACGTGGACATCAAAGACAACAAGGTGGGGGTCTTGACGGCGCTGTCAGAGCACTGGAGCAGCACCGCTGGGAACCTGGGTTCAAATCCCGTGTTCAGCTGCCCACGATTGAAAACTGGGTTGTCAAGTCGTAGCGTATTAATGGGCTCGGCCGAGCAACAATGACTTTACACACACGCACACAAAATACCCCATTGCATTACATTTCAGCTGAATCGCGACAAAGTTCTAAATACATGTGTAGAAGCAGGGCAGGGCAGAAATGTAGCAATAGCTAAATGCAAACACTTTGTTGTTGTTGATACAGTGTGTGAAGCCTCTGCCAGGCCTCACGAGGCAGGAGGTGTGCTGTGGGAGCGTCGGGGCAGCTTGGGGCCTTGACCGGTGCAACCGATGTCCGGAGAAGCTGGGTAAGCGTTGCACCCTCCGACCAGCTTACATGCCAAAGAACCTTCATAGGAAGAAGAATATCTGACAATACTGGAAGTGGGGAGAACTACATGTAATGCTTTGCCTTGTATGTATGATGTTTGAGATTCTTTTGCACCATACGTAGCCAACCGTGCTAATCGGATGTGCAGTAGGGCAAGAATGGGCAGTCTTGAGTGGTCTATCACTATTGTAGTGAGTCGCAGACGCACTTCTTGGAGGCAACACATTTATTAAAACCAACACACGGGGTACTACCCCTTATCAAGATAACAACCTATGGTGGTGGACCACCAGGCTAACTACACTAATTACACTGGAACTAGCTATGACGGACCGGACCCCAGCTTGGATCCAGGTCCACGTGTTGGTGACTCTTCTAGGACGTAGAACGTAGATTTCTTCAGGATGAACAACAGCAGCCGGTCCCTCTCGGGGACCCGGCTTATATCCACCTTCTCGAACCCTCGAGCAGGATCTCGGCCCTGACACGTGACCACCCCTAGCCCCCACCTGGGGGCCCTGTGTAGACTTTACTGGTCACGTGTCCTCTAGGGTCAACCAGAGTGCCATGGCCTATAGTAACCCCATTCCCGTGGCTGTCACCCTGACGCCCCATCCTGTCGGGGTAGGCACTGCACGCAGAACGTGGTGCCATCCAGCGCTGTCAGTCAGCGCTCACCGAGCCCCTTTAGGGCCGGTACTGCACCCACATACACGTGGTGCCTGCGATGTCAATACATTGCATGCCGTGCCTCTCTAAAGCCGGCATTATACAGTGACATCCGCGATGTCACTACACTTATTATGCAAAAATCAAAAGTGAGGACTTTTCATGTCCCATAAAGACTTACAGATTTCCCAGGGCAGCTTCTACCTTGTCAACAACAGGACATCCTTGTAAAACCAAGGCAGGTGGCACATTTACCTCCCGCCATGGCTTTGGACTTAAATAGCGAAGTTATTACTGGCACTGTGCCAGCCTACGGGGGTACTTGTGGCCACAGGCAGTGGGTTGCTTCGGCCTAACAAGGCCCTACATCCTATTTTTCCAGCTCTAGCGTTCACACACAGCCTGACAATCCCCCACGACCAACGGAGCATGGTGAGACCTTGATCCAGCAAATAGGCTGAAATAAAAGGCTGCATATTTCCATTGTATATCGTCATTTGATGGAGCTCCTTTCTATTGGCAAGTATGCACTTAATTTTCGTATACCACATACCTGTCAACCGCTTATCAGTGCCTACCTTAATACAGACCTTATTGGTCACCCCGTGCCCTTATAAACCTCAACGTTCATCCTACAAGGTCCCATCACAAGGGAGAAACACAAACAAACAGACATATTTTTTGCCCGTATTGAAATGGCTGTATGCCGTATGGACCTGAAAACTCAATTTCCCTGTATAAGAATACGGAGTAAATCGTATGGGTTGACCGGTATGACACCAGATCGCTAAATATGATTGTCTTGGGGTTTTACTTCATTTGAAGCACGGTCAATTGAGCGCGACAGTTAAGCCAAGTTGTTTGCATTGCCCTCCCTGTCGGCTTGCGATGAGACCTTGCCAAAAAAAGACACCCATGGTCGCGTGCGCCGTCATCCGACGTGAAACGGGTTCATGGAGAGTAATTTCCACTTTGTTTGGACACCTGGCGATCAGAAATCGACTGACTCCTTCGGAGAAAAAAGGAAGAGCATAAATTACAGAATAACAGTGTAATTGCTTTTGCCGAAGATCTCTTTGATGTCTACCGTTTGACTTTCTCTGCGCTCGGAATACCAAAGCGGTGCTATGAAAAACACAACAACATTTTCTTTACTGATGGTCATCGGAACAATCTGACAAAACACAAAATATATGTGGTTTTTTTTTAAACAGGAAACACGTGAGCTGGCCGGGTGAGTCAGAGGTCATTGCGCTGGGTTCGAATCCAGGTTCTGCCCCTTATTCTGTGGATAACTCAGAAGTTAGCTCTGTGATATCCACTTCCGTGGGCCCTTCTCCAACACAAAGGGTCGCACTTATCTTGCCGCCCGAGATATATTGTTCACCGTGGCTTTCTGCTGATTCGAGCAACCAGAAGAGACAGAAAATTAATTCTATTTCCCACAAGTAGCCGCACAGGTACCACAATTAATGTCCACAGATTCTGTTCTATTCTTTCGTATGGCAATATGTTCAGGAGCTAAAGGCCACAGGTAAACGTGGATAATAGATTCAATCGAGCCGAGTCGGTGCCATTTGTGAGTTATGCCCGCGATGCCAGCTGATGTGCCGAGGGTCGTTACTTGGGTTTCGTCCCCTGCTGTGAGTGACCCAGTCGCTGGGACCAACCCACTCGGCCACAACAATTAGGGGTTTTGTTGCGAGTGCGGGAGGAGAAGGAGGAGGTGCGCTGCACGGAATAGGAAGTGTCTGGGTGGCACAGCAGCGATTGCCGGGTGGCAGATGGGTTTGAATTATTCAACGGGCACATCTGGAACAGACATCCACTTTAAAGCGTCGAGGGGCTACCGTTAACCCCATTCACAGTTTAACGGCGCATCGCACACGTCGCGTCGTCCATTATAACTGGGCAGCTTGAGTTCAGCTACAGAGGGTCGCGTGCATCTGTTCGTGCTGCCTCTTCCCCGGTGGGCAGTTTGCGTGGCACTAATGCGGCGTTTCCACGGCCACACAATAGCCCATTTGGTCGCTTCGCTGACCTGAAGATTGGGCCAAGCCAGGGTTGCCGAGGCAGTCTGCGAGCTCGATCTGGGGCCCGTGTGGCTAATCTATTTCTGGGCCGTGTGACACGTTTAGACGAGGGGGATAGCCGCTCACGGTTGGGCCACCCTTGGAGTCGTGACCGCCGTGATGGGGCTGTGCCGTGGTGTTCTATCAGTCTGAGTATCTGGAATGATGAAGCAGAGGGTGGACTGTGACGGCACCACTGACCAACTCGCCAGTCTAATGCTCGGTGTGAGAATTGCATGAGCCATCTGGGAATGAAACAATGCCGCCGTTAATAAATGAATGTTGGTTGAGCTTCATCCAGCAGTGGAGAGATCATGACGGATATCGATGCATTGATTAAAAGTGATTCTTACTCTCGTGACACATGTATTGATACACACGTGCAAGAATCGATGATTTACAAATGCATACAAAATATATGCCAATGTTGCATTTTCACGAGCGGATCGAATGGGACAAAACAATACATGAACAGTAAATGCCCTTCGTGCACAGTACGTCGTCCATTTTTGGCCTACTCTTCCACGTCAGGTCTATTGGAAGAGGTGGGAATTACCCACAATACCCCACCAAGAGTGACCTGCCGGTGGACTAAACTGTGGTGGTGCACTCATTGATGTGTCTTGGTAGAGACTCCAAGTGTCTCTTCTTTACAGGTGTCAATGATGGTGGACTTAAAGACATCCCAGCGCTGCCCACATTGTCCCACTGGTGGTGATTCAAGTTTGACAGTTTCCCATTGAGACATTGGCAGAAGAGGTCTTGCTTAATCGAGTCCTTGAGACCTTCGACGTTTAGGAGCCAGTTTAATGGACATGGTTGAGCAGATGAGTCGATGATGATCTGTCAGCAATCATCAGCTGCTCGAACAGCCTGGGTGATGCATACATCTTTGCGATCCCGGACACAGACAATGATGTAATCGATCAAGTGCCAATGCTTAGATCGCGGATGTTGCCATGATGTTTTGTTTTGTATCATTATTTTTCCTAGTGGAACAGGGTGTTGTTGGTGACGATGAGTCCATGTTCCGTGCATTTAGTCACGAGCAGGATGCCGATGGAATTCACTTTTCCCACTCCTTCCTTGCCGATGGTTCCATTCCAGAGGCTTCAACTCTGGCATTAAAATCACCGAGAAGAATGAGTTTGTCTCCCACAGGAACGGTAGAAAGGACCTGGTCAAAGCTAGTGTAGAATTCTGCTTTAGTTTCATCATCGGCGTCAAGGGTCGGGGCATATGCGCTGATGATGGTGGCTTATTGGCTCCCCCACACCAGTTTGAGACGCAGAGGCACTCACTGACTCCGATAGGCAACTCGTCAAGCTGACTGATGAGTTAATTGTCGATGGCGAAACCAACTCCGTGCATCCGCCGTTGTTCTTCCTGTCTGCCTGTCCAGATGAGGGTACAGCCACCTCCTTGTGCCTTGAGCTGCCCCTCCCCTGCCCACAGAGTCTCGCTAAGGGCAGCCACGTCAATGTCGTGTCGTCTGAGTTCCGGGGACCACGATTGCGGTTCGCTTTTAGCGTTGTCAATGAGGGTCCTGACATTCCAGGTCCCAAATTCAATTATTTGACTTTCATGTTTGTTTCCGCTGCAGTAATGGTTGATCCCTCTGGACGCCGTTATGCAGTCGGGAAGAGGTGAGACAGACGATGTTTAGGGCAACTCATCGACTCGCGTAGGGAAACATAGACATAGATCAAGACCCACCATAGACTCACACGGACATCCATCGACTCGAATAGACACTCCTTATTCCGTCTGGTGGGGAGTTGATCGGAAATGTTTATATACTCATGTCGATGTCAGCGAGTGAGCCAGTGGACGGCTTCAGAAGGAGCCTGGTCAATTACTGAGACGCTGCCGGCAATTGTTTGTCCTCCGATTAGCACAGTCGTCTACGTACGGTTTAGCGAAAGGAGTTCAACGCACGTCCACATGTGGCGTGCAGCGGCGTTACGATGTGGTCCAGTGGTCTGAGATCGGTGACCCCGCTGCTAACGAACGGCAGTTAAAGTGCGTTAATTGATCGGCCCTCCTGCTGCGCCGACGTCTCGCACAGACGCTGCCAAGTGGGCAACCTTCAGGCGGCACGCAGCCCCAAATAACCTCGGTCTGCCGCGCAGGGCATCTGAGTGTCATATTCTTGGTTCTTTCGGTAAAGTCACGTAGAAGGGAAATAATAAAAGAATAAAAATAAAACAGAATAAAAATTCTCACGACGTTCCGATTGCAACACAAGCAATCATCATCAGGTGTGAAAACTACAGCAAGAAATGTTTAGCTGAAGTGAAGATTGCTGTCGTTTTCACACCTGATGATGATTGCTTGTGTTGCAATCGAAACGTCGTGAGAATTTGTATTATGTTTTATTTTTATTATTTTATTATTTCCCTTCTACGTGACATTACCGAAAGAACCAAGAAGATGAATCCCTGCAGTCACGAAAGCTTTAAATCGAACATCTGAGTGTCATTTAATTTATTTTGCGAGTTCATTCTCTGGCTGTCATAGTTGTGTATGTGTGTGTGTGCACTTATTGTATTATTGTCGAGAGCGATGGCACAGTGGTGAGCACAGTGCGCTATGCGTGTGTGTACGTTGAACTGACTTTCGCACCGTACGTAAAGCAACCGTGCTAATCAGAGGCGCTATGAACCCGGCGACCTGAGAGTAAGCGATCGTGTTCTGGCAACAGCCTCCACATTTGCCAAATTAGAAAAATGCCCGAATTGAGATTGTACAAAGCAGTCATCGACCTCTGCTGGAAGACGAGTGGCCCGGGTCGCACTTGTTAATGAGAATTATCCTGAACGAAATAACGAAATGAACGTGGAATGCTTTAACGAGCGCTTTCGCATGCACGTGGCAGTGAAACGAAGTCACCAGGCGAAAACCTATCAAGATCACAAGGGGGACAGCACTCAAAGCGCCGCACGGATGACTTCACGAGACATACGTGCTTGTGTTTGGATTGTTTAAAGTTTGCGTTCGAATTCGCCGCTTTCAAAAATAGACGAATGGGTGTCCCTTCCCGTCAGTCGTGAAATGGGGGGGGAGGGGGAGGGGGGGAAACGCAGCTCGAGTGCTCGACTCACAGCGAAGAAGGTCGCAGTTCGAATCCCGGTCGAGGATCGACTTGGACATTGGTGGGGAAAGTCACACAGTGGTTGTGCTGTGGATACACTCGCCCCTGTCATGGGAATGTGGAATTTATGCCGCTAGTTTACCACAACATATATAGGAGATGATCACTGCCACATGCTCGTTATGAATGGGGAGGTGGGGGGTGGGGAGGGAGTGGGGGGGGGACCCACTTCGGGCTGGTCCTGTGTCCCGTGAAACAATAATACTTTTGAGAAACGATAACAAAGTTAAAGAAAAAATAAGAAAAATATGATTTCGTACGAACACGTCGGAACGAGCGAGCGAGCGAGAGAAAGCGAGAGAGGGGGACATCTGGCACATCTTTTAATAATAAATTCCCAGCAGACGCAGACTGTACCACTTCCCATGCCCGCAGTCTTACCGAAGGGCCCCAGGCTCTTTGCTCTTTGCTCAGAACAAGTCCAGCAGCTTTTGAAGTGATCTGATGGATCTCTGCTTTCACAGCGCCGGTCAGCAGACTCAACATTAATTTCCCAACGCTCTCCTACAACTTTATTGACGGAACTTATCACTTGCAGACGTCGCCGCGACTCGTTGCGCTGTTTCGCGTCCGCGGCGGGGGGAGAGAGAAAAAAAACTGTCCTCTCGAGATGTGTTCGCTCTTGTTATCATCATTCGACAATTTTATCCGGATCGCCCTGCTGTCGTCACGTGTCATTCAGAGCTCTCGCGGAAGAGTGCGAGAGAATGCCTCGCGGAAGTGGATATCACAGAGCTTCCGCTGAGATCTCTTCAAGCAACCTGCGGTCCACACCGTTGAGGGTAGCGTCTCCCCAACCAGTGTACGAGAGCAATGCTCGTCTCGTGATAGTCAAACGAACAATTTTTTTAAATTACTTAGAGCTGAAATGTATCCAAATTAAGTGCAGGACTAAATGAAATATTGCGGATTTTTTTTTATCGTGCAGTTATTGGAGATCGGGCTAAGACCAACATCTCGCTGCACTTGGGAACCCCGGGGGAGTTTAATCACAGGCGGCTGAAACCCCGGAATCGGACCCAGGATCTCGGCGGACTCTTACGAGCTTTGCAAGAGAGGGAGGCGGAGATGACATGAGATCGCGGGGAGACATAACACCGCCACATGGAATATCTTCAATCTCACTTTTTTCCCTTTCGCTTCCAGCCATATGCGGCGTCTAATATACATTACCCAGATAATCCGAAAAGAACGTATATTACCGCCGTCGCGTAAAACACGTGGAGAGTTTTCATTACGAGGGGCCAGCTCTGTGCCTCAACCGCCGGCCCTCACGAGCGTCGCATCGTGTGTGTGTGTGTGTACGCCGTTCCTCGGGCGCTCCGGTGTGACTTTACACCGGCGAAACGCGAAGAATTTTAATTTGTACCAGAAAGGCTCCTGATCCCACCCCCAACACACCCCCCCCCCCTTCATTTCTCAACACACTCGGAGGGGTCCCCCCCCCCCCACCTTGTGGGTCGCGCCGTCCGTGGAGCCGGGACTGCGCCCGGGACGAGAATTTTGCGTTTCTTTTCAAACTACCGACGACGACGCCACGGGTTGTTTGCAAACTAAAAGTTATGGAACTATTTTTCGTGATGCCAGGTAAGGCCCACCGAGCTTTGTAGCTCTTAATCCGAAGCGACCTGGCTGTCACGAATGACAGCCCAACGAAGTGGTTTTCATCATCAAGTGCAAATGTATAGCAGCCAGACGCTCTGAACGCGCTTTGATTTAAAATGTGGAGGGAAAAGCTGGAGGACCCGGAGAAAAATCCACACGACCACGGAGAGAGAAAAAGACATGCAAACTCCACATATACAGGTGTCAGGGTTGAACCCATGACCTCCTGCATACCAGGCGAGTCAGTTAACATCTCGCCACCGCGGCGCACGTGGACGAACGAGGAAGACGTCACGTGTCGCCGGTCCACGATGCCCGACGTCCAGGCCACAGCGCCACGGCAAGAGCGGGCGCCGTGGGCTTCGCGAGCCTCTGTTTCAATTAGGAGAAGGTACTTGAGTTGGGGGTGGGAGGCGGGGCGGGGCGGATAGGCAATTAGCCGGTCTGATAGCTCTGAGCAATTAAGTTAAACGGCTTTTGGGTCGTTTCGCAATTGGTCAGAGGTCGCCGGCAGAATGGGTGGTCAAGCGGCGAGCACGGGACGTGCGGTTGAAGGGTTTCCCCGTGTGGACGCTGAGTAGCTGCACCCCCCCCCCCCAACCACCTTCTCTCACCTCCCCCAACCCCCGACCAGACAGAGCTCCCATGGTGACAGCCCCCCCCCCCACCGTCCCAGCCACCCCTCACCCCGAGTCGCTCGCCCCCTCTCACCGAGAGAGAAGATCCACGGCCCATCGTCTCTCCTACGGGCACTGTGCAGCCTTCGCTCCTCGTTTGGCGTTGGCACTCGTGGCGATGCGGTGTTGTGCTCGTGGGGGGACGATAGCGTGGGGATTGGAACATGTTTCGATTTAAAGCTTTCGTGACTGCAGGGATTCATCTTCTTGGTTCTTTCGGTAAAGTCACGTAGAATGAAAATAATAAAATAATAAAAAAGAAATATTTAAATAATTCTCACGACGTTTCGGCCACAACGCAAGCAGCCGTCCTCAGGTGAAGACCAGGTCTGTCGGGGAGACGCTGCTTGCGTTGTGGCCGAAACGTCGTGAGAATTATTTTATTATGTTTTATTTATTATTTTATTATTTTATTATTTCCATTCTACGTGACTTTACCGAAAGAACCAAGAAGATGATTGGAACATGGTTGGGGGTTAGGAAGAGTGTCGGTGATGCGTTTGGGATTAGCGATCGGGATTTGTTTCAGGATCGGGTGAGGAATGAGGATGTTTTTTTTCGTCGATTGGGATGCTGATCGGGTGAGGAAGAGCGCCGTTGGCTGACGGTGTGGCTGACCGTTCATGAAAGGGTTGACGGGAGGGTCTGGGACACGGTGGGGGCCACCACGTGGTGGCTGCTACACTTTTAGCGAGGGCATCACTTCAAACGTCAGTCCCCGTTGCCAGCGCAATGATTGCTCAGCCCAAGCTATGAATGCTTTGATAATTGTGCATTGCGTTTGCGCCGTTCGCCTTTTGCCATTCTCTGGTCGAACACTGGAGAGACGAAGCCGTCAAGGCCAATCAGTTTCAAAGACAACGCGTGCATTGTCAATGCGTGTTTGTTTGCCTGTTTTGCCACAAGCATGTTTGGTTGATGCAAACTTTGTGCCTTGCAATAGGTGCCTATTTTGATGTTTGAACATCTTAACACCTCCTGTATTATTGCCGTAAAGGGTCAAGCCTATTGTTATTCTTCTCACGATCTTGATGCTGGAAAAAGGGTTCCATAGATTCCACGTCTGGTTTTTGGTTAGGCCACGTGGTAGTTTTATGCCAAATTCTTGCCGTTGACCCTGCACCACCCCTTCTGATATTAAGAAGCCACTGCAGCTATGCACTTTTAAATCATTTAGATTGAAAACTCATTTCTTTCGAACCGCTTTTTTGTATTCAGTTTATCCCCCCCCCGCACCTCCAATAACCACGGTTGGCTACGTACGGTGCGAAAGAAGTTCATCGTACTGCGTGTCACGTCTACACAGGTATTATTCATGTATCTTCCTCGACGTGACTACCGTCGTGTGGGGGGGGGGCGGGTCAATGACAACAATAACACGCGCGAGCCAAGACCCCAGTGTCGCCCGAGCGCTGCCTGACACAGTTCGGGGGAGCCTCAAAGCATCTCTCAAAAGTCGGCGTGGAGTGACCGCCGCCGCCGCCGCTGCGATTATACAGCGGAGGGGACGACGGTAGCCGCGTTCCAAACGGCGGTGGGCTGCCTCCGCAGAGGGGAAGCTCACCGGCCAGCGGCCACGGCTTTCCCAGGCCCTCGGTGTGGAAAGAGAAGGGCGGACGCGCGGTTTTCACGCCGCGGCGCCGGGCGGAGGCACGGGGCCCACTAACGGCCCCCTCGACTGTTCCTCCTCCCCCCTCTCGTTCTCTGTCCGCTACAGGGCAGCCCATCATGGTGAACGGCGAGCTGGTGGAGTGCCCCCACGGCTTCCGCAGGGAGAACTCGACGCACTGCAAAGGTAACCCACGGGAACCGCCCCACCCCCACCCACCCGGTAGCGCGACTCGCACTTAGAGCCGCCCACCTTTCCCCACCGTGGACCTAACCCCACACGCGTTTCTCAGTCAGCGCTCTGGGTCTGTTCGTCGAAAGTGTGCACTCGACCGAAGCGAAGTTCAGCGCGATACCGGCGCTGAAGATCTCGACGCGAACGGATTCCTGCCACCCGAGCACCAATTGCGAATTTCCAGACTGTCCGGGTAGAACCCAGACAGTGGCAACCCCTCCCTACTTATACTCCAGCGCCCTCCCCCCCCCCGACAAAAGCTTTACCCAGTGGAGGGAGGCGAACTCGTGACCATTCTGATAGAAGTTTATTTTGCAAGGACGACCTGCGGTGTGAAGCCAAACGTGTTCAACGTCCGCCGCCGCTCGCCGTGCGCGACCTTTGGTCGGGTTTGGCGCGCTCCGACGAATCTCTCTAGTTGCGGGAAAGTGTGCGCCTTTTAAGGCCAGCCACACGGCACTCGGCTGGCCGCGGTCAGACGGCCAAATGCAGAGCAGCTAAGGCTGCCGTAGCACAGTGGCGCACGCACGCACACACGCACACACCTGCCCTTTGATGCGTTTGATGTTTAAAACGGGAACAAAGCACTTGGCGTTCTTTTTTTTTCCAGACGGGAGCAATAATTAAAAAAAGCCATCACCACCGCTCACCTCCAGCCGCCCTTAAACACGATAGCCTGGGCGGCCCTTTCCTCGATTGTGTACGCGGGGGGGGGAAAAAACGATTCGGCAAGCGCCACCGTTTCGGGCTTTTAAGGCTTCGCTAATCCTTCTCCTCACCCACGCCGCCCCCCCCCCCCGCCACCTCGTTTAAATCAACGTGTTTGCCAAAAAAAAGGGGGTTAGGGGCATCCTAAAATGCAGGAAGTTTGGGAAAATAGGTTTTGGCCTGCAAGCTGTAATTATGTGGTCTTGGGCACATTAAAGGATTAGGCGGCGACCACTACGACGGAATTCTGAGAAATTTAAGGGGGCACGCTGTCGCGCCGTGCCCGCGAATTCACCGGTCTCTGGGTTGGTAGTCGCCAGGGCGGGGGGGGGGGGGGTGCGAAAGCAAACGAAACAAAAGGTCGTAGGGCATCAGAGAAGCTTAAGAAAGCGGGGGCCCAGATTCACGTAGAAAAAAATATGACCCCACCAAGTGGAAATCAGATCATTGTAAACAAACAAACAAACAAAATCATCGTTTATTATCACAACAAGAATTTTAACTTCGTTACCACAAATGTGTCTGAGTCTGTTTGTATCGTGATGCACCCCAACAAATATTATCTGCTTAGGGCCCCCAGTGGGCTGGCAATAGCACTGGCCGGTCGTTTGTCTAAACGTTTGTTATTCATCCTCGTCTTATTAAAGGCTGGGGAAAGCTACCATCTCAGCATGAATGGTGCACCGTTTCTCAGGGGCATTTACAGACGCAGTATATTCACGGCCTCATGCTTCCTGCGAGAAATATTCGTAAAAAAATGCTCACCGTGGTCCGTCCATCTGTGGGTTGCTCATAAAACAGAAGATGGATTGAACCTTGGAAATGTTCGCAGGCTTTTTTTGCGAAACATTTTTGACGGAGTCAAAGAGAGAGAGACAAGAGAGAAACGATATGAGGAAGCCACTTTTCAATCTAGATTAAAAACTAATTTCTTCAGAACTGCTGTTTTTGTTTAATTTGGTGTCCTTCCCCCGCACCTCCGATTAGTACTCTTGGCTACGTACGGTGCAAAAGCGGTTCAACATACATACATACATTCCCTGCTCACCGTCTTCACGAGATGCCAGCGTAATCCAAGAGGTGGTTACATTATTGAAAAGTGAAAGTGTTTCCGTGGGATAATACGAAAGTGTTGACGCAGGGACGCATTCCGCAAAGTGCTTGTGGCTAAAATGAACCCTACTCCTCTCACTTCATTATTTGGCACCGTCTTGAAACGATAACAATAATAGTCGTGAAACGTGCAGCGGCACGCACCGAGACCTGGTTCCAGGATTGTGTAAGGGCGGCTTTCAAAGATGGCGAATGGAGCATGGAGTCATTGTCATTGGACGCCACAGGGGCGAGATGTTTACTAACTCGCCTAGTATACAGGAGGTCGTGGGTGCAATCCCGACCCTGACGCCTGCTGTATATGTGGAGTTTTTATGTCTCCACGTGGTCGCGATGATTTTTCTCCGGATCCTGCGGTATCTCCCTCCACGTTTCGAAACATGGGTTTAGAGTATTTGGCTGCTATACATTTCCACTTTCTTCAGCTATCATTTGTGGCCAGGTCACTTCTGAAAAAGAGCTATATCGCTCAGTGGCGCTTACATGGTCAAAAATAAATAAGTAAAAAGTCAACACCATTTATATTCAACAATTACAAAACTAAATTATTTCTAACACACGCAAGAGAATCTATGCTGCATGTTTATATGTAGAACTTCTTTCGCACCGTTTGTAGCCACCCGTGCTAATCGGAGGTGCACAATTGTTAGCGTGTATTGCTATGTGTGGATTTTTCGCCTAAGAATTGATTTTAATCAATGAGTCGATGCATCTCTGCTCACCTAACGGGCACGAAGCCATGGTGGAATATACGTAGGTGGCGGATGGCTAGGGCTTTTTCGAAAACTTCCAGGGCTTAGCCCCTCAGCCCTATTGGGCAGCCCGAGCGTGCTCACGCAGCCTCCAGGCGTGGAACCGTCCACGACGCCGCACCGGGCTGTGGCGGAGAGCGAGCGCGGTCCAGAGGCCGGCCCCTTGGACGCGCCGCCAGTCCACCCCTGCTGCCCTGCTCGTGGACGACCTGTGGCGCTTTCTCGCTTTCCTTGTCAGATGGGAAAAAAAAATGTCCGATCATTAACTTAAACAAATATTTAATTTCTGTAAAAAACAATACGTTGAAACTTATGATGAAAAAAAAATGTCAGGCCCCTTTCCAAGAATTCATATTTTATTACCCACCGCCTATGAATGGGTACATTGACGCCGGCTGAGTTGCGCACAACGCGACGGAGGTGAACGGCCGACCGACGCTCCTGTGGCGGCCCTGCAGGCCGCGATGGGCTGGGACGCGACGGTTTTATCCCAGCGCTCGCCAAATTTGACGAATGCCCGCGGGGCCTGCTCTTCATTTTATAATCCCCGCTTCTTCTCCCACCCCCCCCCCCCCCCCGCTGTTTTTACATTCGCCTTTGATCAGCAGAGGCTTGGCAGTTTGCCGCGGTTTTTTTTAAATACTTTTTTAAATAGGTATTTCCCGGCGGCTGGGAAGAAATAACAATCGGCGCGCGGGCGAGCAAACGGTGGGAGGCGGTCGTGGCTGTAAGCATCCCGCTAGGAAGAGCCGCTGGCCGGTGTCAGGCAGCACGGGGTCAGGGGGGTTGGTACCTCTGGGTTATGAAAAACAAAACAAAAAACAGGACTTATCGTGGGAAGAAGAATATCCGACAATGCCAGAAGAGGGGGCAGAATTCCACGCCAATGTAATCGTGTAATATTAGGTAACTGACAACCATAACTTGTAATGTTCCAGCAATAAGTATCGATTTCCATAGGGGAAAAAATTGGGTGATCCTGGGATAACCAGGACAGGTGGCAACCTTAGAATGGGGTCAGAGCCCAGGGCAGATAGATTCAACAACCCATTGCTGTCCTCATAACCACCAGGACATAAGGAGGCCTTCATCCACCAACGTATTGACAAAGGCCGGTAAATTAATATTATTAATGCGAATGAATTGTATCTACATTGTAATCTCTGTCGTTATCAGGACAGCGTTTTGTTGGGGTGACAAGCTTTGGCCGTTCATCGCAACGGACGAAACGTCGGTGTCCAAGTCCCATGCTCGCGCGTTTGGGCTGCGAACAGCGCGGTGGAGTGACAAAGGGGACTGTTGAATGACCATCAATTCCCATCGCTCTAGCACTCCCGATCCTCGCGTGCGTTCATCATCGTTATCATCCTCATTGTGGTCATCGTGGAGGCCTCTGGAATCCTTGGTCACTTACCGAGCCCAGGCGTGAAGTGCCCTCCTCCTCCTCGACTCACCGCTCACCGTCCCGCCAGCAGGACCGCCCGTGTCCCCACATCTGCGGCGCGTTAGCGCGCTTCCTCCATGGCTGGGGATGTTAAATAACTCGGCGCAGATGAAAGCACCAACGAGGGCTTGCTCGGGGGGGCGGGGCCGGTGGGATTTAGGGGGGGCGAGGGGGGGGCAGCCAGGTGCTGTGCACACGTCACGGCACAGACGGGTCCGTGCGATGTCTGGGTCAAAACATTAGCCCACCATCGGTCGGAAACGAAGTCTAATTTGTGGGCGGCTTCTTCTTCTTGTTTGGGGCAGCAATGCGAAACGGGGTAGGTTGGTGGGGGGGGGGGATGGTGGGCAGAAGCGTGAGCGGCACCTGGCACCCGGGCAATCGCGGGGCTAATCGCCACTCCGACGCTATTGACTTAACCCTCGGGTTTAACACAAAGCAAAAACAGTCCCAATTTTTTTTAAACCCGCGCGCACGCTCCCGACTGAAATAACAGGGCAGGGTCGCGCTGCGGCTTTCTACTCGTGGCCGGCCCCGGACGGCGGCGGCGGAGTGGTCAACACGCCGGAACTTGCGACCCCGATGCCGCCGGTTAGACGTCGTGGCAGTTGAAACAATAGAAGGGGGTTTCTGAAATCCTCTCTGTCCGCCCAGCAGTAGGAATGAGTGACAGCCACAGTGAGTCGATCGGCAGGTTGGGTGTGGTGGGGTAAAGCGTGGGTACTCGCACCCTTGCCAAGTCGTCTTCCCAGCATGGAAGAGTAGGCCAAAAAAGACCCTCGAGATGGATCTCTCCGTAGCATCGTTCAGTGGCGGCCCTTCTGCCCACGGTGGCATGAGCGAGCAATTGCAGGGCTGCACCTTTTCCGTCGCGTGCAAGCTGTGGCTGGCGCTCCACCCGGTTGTCTGAGCGAGCGTGATTCCCTCCCGGTAAACATGCAAACTTTGAATGTTGATTTGAAGTTTTCGTGACTGCAGGAATCCATACTCTTTGGTTCTTTCGGTAAAGTCACGTGGGTATAAAAATGCTTTCCCACCTGCTGACGGACGCTTGTGTTGCACCCGAAACGTCGTGATTCATTTGATTTTATACCTACATGACTTTACCGAAAGAACCAAAAAGTATGCAAACGTTGGCCCAATGTTTGCACGCTGACGGAGGGGTGGTGGGGGGGGGGTTGTGTGCTCCGATTGTGCAGATATTAACGAGTGTCAGCTGCGCGGAGTCTGCCCCAACTCCACGTGCCTCAACAGCCCGGGCAGCTACACCTGCAGTTGCTTCATCGGCTACGTCTTCGACTCCACGAGTCACCAGTGCATCTGTGAGCAACATGATCTCTCACCAACACCCATACGAAGGTCCCCCCGTGTCGCCTTCAACAGACTATTGAGCAAACACTTATGAAGGCCGGCACGACACACGAGGGGGGTGGTGTGGTCAACACCACCACGCCCGGCCGCCTTTGTCTCCCTAAGCATTGATGTTTACACACTGCACCAGTCACTCATTTAAGGTTGAGTCGAGCTAGGCGAGGCCCAGGACCGGGTTCAGTTACTCGCACACCCTGGCTCGTTGCACAGTGCGCTACCAAACGATGAGATCACGACGTTGATCATAACGAATGGAAACGATCGTAACAACCAAGTGACTCAATTGGGACTAAACGTGGCAAGCATCAGCCCATACTGCTACTTTTTTGCAAGCCATGTGCTGAGTCATCTTGTGCGACGCAGGTACAGCTGCCCTTGGGATGGAGGGAGCTGTTGTCTACCTCACTGTGTTGAGATGGGATGCGCTGTAAAGCGCTCTGAAACGCCGCGACGTGTCGGGTGGCGACGCTCGATCAACAAAACGTTGTCTGATGATGCTCGCGCTGCTGCTTTGCCAGTGGTGCACAAGCACAATTAACAAAAGATGTAAACACATTCGTCAAGAACAACACTGTGTGTGGTGTGTGGCCTTAGCAATACAATATATAATTGTCGTAATGGCCCTATTTCAAGGCACACATTAATTAAATTGAGTTTTTTAAAATATCAAAACCAAATCATCAATGAATATTAACGACGAATTCAATGACGATAGCAATGATCACGACCGTGATGACGCTGACGATGCCAGTGATGATAGCAATGCCCACGGCGACGATGATGATGACCATGATGGTGGTGATGGTGATGATGGTGGTGATGGTGATGATGATGACAACGCTGCTGCTGCTGCCCCCCCCCCCACCCCGTGCCACCCCTATGCACGCTCCATCGAATGAACCGTCATCCCAGCCGACAAGCTGCTCTCGGGCAAGACGGGACTGTGCTACCGCGCCACCGACGGCCGCTCCTGCTCGCTGCCCATCGCCATCCCCCTCACCAAGCACATCTGCTGCTGCAGCGTGGGCAAGGCCTGGGGAAAGAACTGCGAGCCTTGCCCCCCGGAGGGACACAGTGAGTGCTTCTAGATTTGAAGCTTTCGTGACTGCAAGGATTCATACTGTTAGGTTTTTCCCGGTAAAGTCACGTAGGTAAAAAATAAAATTTAAAGTTAATAAAAGTAATAATGGAAATAAAAAAAATATTTTCTTTTTATTTTATTTCCATTATTACTTTTTTTAACTTAAAATTTTTATTTTTTACCTACGTAACTTTACTGGAAAAAACCTAACAGTACAGTGAGTGCTGCTTCACGTGCACGACACACGTGGTACACCGGGCCACGTGGGGAGGGAGTGCGGGCCGCGAGAGTGACGAGCGCGTGCACGTGCGCCCCTGGTGTGTCCGCGCCCGCAGCCGCGTTCCGGGAGACGTGCCCGGCCGGCATGGGCTACCACTTCCCCATGTCCGAGGTCAAGTACAAGATCCGCAAGCTCACGGAGGACGAGGTTGCGCAGCGCGGGCGCGAGCCGGCCGGACGCCCGCTGCCCACCCCGGCCGACGGGGACGACGCCGCGCTGCTCCGCGGACTCGACGACTGTGAGTGGCGGTCGAGGTGGGGGCGGGGAGGGGGGGGGCTATGGGCGCGCGGCTCTGTAGCACCAGCGCATGTGGGGGGTGGTGGGGGAGTGGTGGATCTCTCTTCCACGTGGAAGGGTGGGTGGGCGTCGAGGAAGAGCCCGTACCCCTGGCTCTCCAGGAGAAGGCGGTATCAGTAAAAAATGCCGACCTGTTCCGTCTGTACGGGATAGAGCGTTGTCCCCTCGTGCGTGTGGGGTTTTCTCCGTGGGCTCCGGCTTCTTGTCCACATGGAACGCCTTGATACATAGAGGACCGCAGGGCTTGGGGTGAGTTGTCTTTCGTCTTCACGAGCGGGTACTGTGCGGCGCGTTGTGAGCTGCATCGTTTTTTTTTCATCAACGCGGTTGTTGAGCACAGGGACCAAAGGGTTAAAACGTCAAGCGGCCAGCAAGAAACAGCACTGTCGAAGTTGCCATAGACGAGAGGTCAGCACGCTAATTGAATTGAGCAAGAGCAATGTAAGAGTTTGGGAGAGACAGTGGGATGAATTCCAGCAGTGCGAGGGATGAAGCAGAAGAGAGAGATGTTTGTGACCTGCGGTGTTGGTGGTGGTGGTGGTTAGCTTCAGTGTGGATGACGTGAAACAGTCTCGTAGGGCCAGTGATTAACATAAGACCCAACAGTCCAGAACTTTTTTTTCGGGTGTTACTTTGGCACACCACATTCATCCAAGTCGCCGTATTTTGTCCTCAGAAATTTTATCAACCTGTTAATAGCATTGTAGGAATATAGGGTACAATAATATAGGATTATTATGAATAGATGTATGGCTAGTACCTTACACCCATAATCCAGACTTTGAACCAGCCTGGCAGCGTTCCGGTAAATATCGAGTGAGAAATTGCGCCCTGGGTTGAGCCACCTTCGGAGGCCACCATCGGACAGATTGAGGACACCACTCACCGTGTGGGCGGGGATAGTGGTTGAGTGGGCGTGGTTATGTAGAACTGGGCGGGGCTAACAGAGGGAGGGGCCGCCAGCTCACCACCACGTGTGCCCGTTTGAGCCTCACAAAAATGCAGTAGCTTTTGAGGTGAGCAGGTTTTTGGGATCATTCTTCTGTGCACACTGCCGGCTGCGCCGCAAAGCGAGATGTTAACTACCTCGCCTGGTATACAGGAGATCGTGGGTTCGATCCCGACCCTGGCGCCTGGAAATTTAGAGTGTGCTTGTTGTCCCCGTGGTCGTGTGAATTTTTCTTTGGTTTTTCCTTACACATTTAGAAGCACGCGTTTAGATCATTTGGCTACTATAAATTCCGACGTGATAATCCATTTTGTTGAGCTATCATTTGTGGCCAGGTCGCTTCTGAAAAAGAGCTATATAGCTCAATGGGCCTTACCTGATTAACATTTGTAGCCACTGTTAATCATGTGGTAGTGGTGTAATTACAAGAGTGTTAATTTTACACAGTGGGCCCAGTAAACACTTCGGCAGAGGCAGCAGCAGCAGCGGCTGTACTAAACTGCCCCTATGGGGAAATGTACCACATGTCGATCGATGTGCAGATTCTGGGCAGCCGCGCGTCGCATCTGTTGTGAATATCGTGTTGCCAGCAGGACCACTTTCGATGTGCTCACAGGTTCCCCCTCTCTCGCCAATTCTACTCGCAATTCGCACAGTAACTCGTCAGGCAGTCGGCACAGGTGAATACGCAGCGCTGGGATGACCGCGCTCGCTCGCTAGACGGAGCTCTAGGGAGCCCCTCTAGCGGAGGCTATTTTGGTCTACTTTTACACGCCGCCGATTGGCAAACTGTGGTGAAATCAGTTACACCGCTGGCTGGACAGAGGGCGGAGGATTTGTTTTGACTGAGATTGTTTCAGCACAAAGAGACCTCGTGTCTAGCAGCGTTGCAGTGCTTCGATGATAGTTTCGTAATAAACTGGCATCATAATAATGTTTTGCGAATGGGTTTTTTTTGCAGATGATATTTTGGAAGGTCAGCAGGTAAGAAACGTTTTTATTTATTTATTAGAACATCATCGTTATCATCATCAGCTGTTTTTTTTTTATCCACTGCTGGATCAAAGCCTCCCAATGCCCTCATCATCTCGCTGCCTTGGAATGCCACAACCCATCTTTTCTTCCTGCACGCAAATTGATCTCATCGCTCCATCTCCGCTGTGGGCCTTCTCTCAGGCATGCTCTCGCCTTTGGATGCCATTCCGTCACCAGTCTTATCCGTCAACCATCATCATCATCGTCCTTTCTGACATTGATGTGTCCTGCCCATGTAAATGCCTTGTGTTTGAGTTGACACTTTGCGTGCCGTGTTCATGCGTATCCTCAAATCATTTTTAAAAATGTGTGACACTAAGGTACGTCGCTCTTAAAGAGGGGTATGGAAATAACACAATTATAATTTCCTCTGCAGATCATCGCTCAGTTCCAAGATGGACAACGGAGTTTCCAAGGTACGGCAACAAAGACTTGTGCAGAGCAAGGGCCACTGATTTGCACTGTCACGAAACGCTTGCCACGACCGATCAGCACGGTTGGCTACGTGCGGTGCAAAACAAGTTCAGCATACAATCAATTACATTAATCCACCAATTCCCTTGAAATAGATTATTCTGGTCTCAATGAGTTATTACGAACAATAATGATGTTAATGTCCAGCCCTTTGTCAATCCACTGCTGAATGAAAGCCTTCCGAAGCCGTGTCGGTCTCGGGGGATGTTAGACCATACTTCACCAGACTGGTGAGGGCAGGTTGGTAAACGTTTGGGGCTGGTCGCTGATGGTAGCCGTGGCTGGGAATCGAACTCGGGTTGCCCGGTTCATGGCACAATATACTAACCACTGTGCCACCACTCCAGGAGGTGCCGTGGAGGGTGACGTAGAGAGATTGTGTAATTGGTTCGTGTCACCTACAACGCAGCCGCTAGAGGTGCTGCCACCATTTACTGCAATGGGTATAATGATACATACACACACACTCTTGAATCGAATCACAACCCATAATTACGGCCACTCAGTTGAACCACCGTGGGAAGAGGCGGCCTGAGTCATAACACATCTGATATTTATATGTGTGCCGCATGTATAAAGTCTCGTATTTATATCGTCCATTATCCCGGTCGAGTCCTTGACACTTGGCTAAATAATCGTTTCGAAGTCCTTCCTCTAAAGAGGCTCGCGCGCCACTTGGCAGTGATTAAACAAAATAAACGGCCGTGCCTCTCCGTTTATTTGGAGTTTGCTTGGCGTCCCTTGGGAGACGAACGACAGTGATCACCTTCGTGCAAACGCCGTGTTGTTCTGGGGCCTCCCGCCGCGTAACAAAGACAAAGATCCCCCGTAGTGCCTTAACAGACTGTTGGGGCAAGTGCTTTTAGCGAGCACCACCGATGAGGGATGGCACGGCACACCAGGGGATGGTTGGCCAGCACCATGCCCTTCCTAGTGGCGATGTTTATACACCACACCAGGTACTGCTCTTTGAGGCTGAGTTGACCTAGGGGAGGCGGAGGACCAGTTCAGATATTCGTCGGCACTGGTGTTGCCCGTGAGCGGGAATCGAACTCGGGCTGCCGGGTTCTTAACGTAGCACGCTAACCGCTGCGCCACCGCTCCCCACACGCACGCGGGAAGGTGCCAATCACGTGGTTAGTCAGTAGCCATATTCCTGTCCAATCTCTGCAGCCCTCTATGTATTCAGTTGTTAACGGCCAATTAATGAGCCTTCACGTGTGCGAGGACCCCCCGCGGAGTAAACTGCTCAGAATGCAGGAAGCCAATGTGGGTGTGCTGCGTGTGTGCGCTGCGCTGTGCCGCTCTTGGCTTGGTTTGGCCGGGGAAGAGATCTCGCAGAGGCTGCAGCGTCCAGCCCTGGTGGAGCCTCCTCCTGGAGCGGCCGCGGGGAGAGAGACACACCACGGAGGCGGCGGCGGTGGCGGTGGCGGTGGCGGCGTGAGACAGCCCGTGGCAGGGGCGGTCGGCGCCATCTCGTCCGACAGGGAGCCCCCCAAGAGAATCCAGAGTATGGCCATCATCATCATCATCGTCATCATCATCGTCATCATCATTGTTGTCATAATTATCATTGTCGTGATCATTATTGTCTCTGTCATCATCATCATTGTCATCATCATTATAGCCTTCGTAATGATCATAATTACGATTTTTAGCTTTGCCATCATATATATTGTCATTATGATTCATCATTATCACTGATATCATCATCATCATCATCGTTATCTTCTCCTGCAGTTGGTACCTCGCGTGAATCTCCGGGCACCGTGGTGAGACAGCCAGGAGGAGGAGCTGGTGCCGCCCCCCCCGACAGAGACTCGACAAAGAAAATCCAAAGTACGAACCTAATCATTGTCATCATCGTCATCGCATCATCTTCATCATTGTAATTGTGAGCATTGTCAGTTTTTTCATCATCGTGTTCATCATCATCAATCAGTGGGGTTTGGGTCAGGAAGCACGGGTTGCTTTTCCACTGCACAAGCCAAGCCGTGCCAGGGACGTCACGTGCTACATGTGACGCCAAGACACAGGCAGATGACGCGGCGACACTGTGTCTGAGTCGTGCCGCGCCCCCTGGCCCTGCTCGGCCCCGAGCCAGATTCAGATGTCATCCGGTGAGGCCAGCGCAGCACGTCTCGGTAAAATACCAGTGGAAAACCACCCGTGCCGTGCCGGCCCAGAGCTGGCCCTTACCGGCACGGCTCCCCGTGCTGCGTGCGAGGGAAGGTCTTGTTTACGCACGAGACGCTAAATGAGAACCATCTTGGGACCACGGTCCACTGCACGCGGCCACATTTTACGGAACGCGGCGCCGGAGGTTGATTCCGGTCAAATTGTGTTTCACGGTAAAAGATGAAAAAAGGCAGCGTCAGATGAGCATTGCACGAGGATCTTAAACCGCATTTATTTGATGCTGCGCATTGTGCTGGCTATCGAATGAGTCGCAGGAATGAATGTGAATGGACGGTTGCGCAAGCTGCGTCTGATTGGGGATTGTTGACTGTGACAGAAATAGGATTTGGAATGTATTTCTCGCGGATCGCGCGTTTGGCGGAACAGAGGAAAATGTTGAATCAATGAAATACTTCTTTCTCTTCGGCCGTTTTGATCTTCACGAAAACAACTTCTCGCTTTGACCTTTATTATCGCTTCTTGCATTCATTTCCATCAAACACAACGGGCTGTGATGTGTAAAAGTAAAAAAAAAACAGTTTTAAGAAAAAATTACCACCACACGTGGCATTAAAACAATTTCCAGCACTTCGCCTGAAAGCCAGATCGGCCGGATCCCCAGAAAGTTGAATCAGATGCCGCGTCTGCCGTCAACTCTTTGACCCGCCCGCTCCCCGTGGCACCAGCCGTGCCTGTCTGCTCTCCGGCCAGCCACTTTGAAGAGACTCCACAGCTGATTGTGGTCTCCGCTCCGCGCAAGCGCCGGGTCCGCCCCGCGCCAGTCCCGCGTGCGTCTGCGCTAGTTTTATCCGCGGTGCCAGTAACGCCATCGCGGATTAGCGCAGGCTTTGGCGCCGTCAGCTGCCAGCGTGGGGTCCCCCTGCCCCCCGCACTGGGACTGGTGCTGCGTTATCCGCGTGTATGGGGCGGTGGGGTGGGGGGGGGGTCTGGCGTCTTAAGAAAGATCGACCGACCGGAGCCCGTCGAGTGGCCGTGCCCGCCGTGACGACGCGCGGTGGAGCTCGGCTCGTTGCGGCGGCGGAGCGGTGGCTCGCGTGCCAGCGCATTAGACCGGCACTGCCAACATCCTGTGTTTTTATGTTTTTGTGTTTGTATTTCAACTCGACGCGAGCCCAGTACACAGCACCAATAACAGGACAAGAAAGGGGGAAGCTGGGGAGGGGGGGGGGCAAAAATTCCACGAATTTGGCACGGCAGGGGGTTGGCGAAGAGAGGACCGAGAGCCTGTGTCTGAGTCTGGGTTTCAGCGGCTCGCGATGAAACTGCGTCGTATTTTGAGATGATGTCGGTCAGTGCCGTCGATACGACGTCAGTGTTTGTGGCAGAGGGGAGCAGGGGGGGGGGGGGGTTAAGTGTGAATTCGCGTTTGTTGTCCTTCCCCCGAACGTACGATTTGCACGGTTGGCTAAGTACGGTGCGAAAGAATTTCCACGTGCGTTTGACGCCTGCTGCGCCGAGTCAGCTGTTTTGTCTTTCGCAGAGTTACGCAACGCGTCGCTCCGCGTCTCCAGCGTTGCTTCGAAGCCCCCCCCCCCCCCCCCCGATCCATTTGCTTTCTTCCGCTCGTGTTTACGTCGACAAAAGAGGGCGCTCGGGGGAGAATCTGCTCTTGTCATTCGAGCGCGGACTTTGTTATGGTCTGGGCAGTCGTGTAAAACGAGCGCCGAACGCGAATCAAAATAAATCTCGAGCCATATTTACGTGCATATTTATTTATATTTGTACACTATTTATGGGGTGTTTTGTTCACAGCGGTGACGAACATCTGCCTCCAAAATCCAAACATCTGTGGCCGGGGCCAGTGCGTGAGTTTGGCAGTGGGGTACAGCTGCTTGTGCGAGCCGGGATTCCAAGCGAACGGCCAAAAAACGCAATGTGTCGGTAAGCCTCCCTCGGCTTCGATTGCCATCACCTCCGCTGCGCCAGAGTACGCTGGATGCAAATGATTGAGTGACTGATAACATGGCTCTCAGTCCAACTGGCTCCCGTCCGGATTACATAAAGAGATTCCTACCAACTCGTCCATCCATCTGTCAATCAATGCATCTGCCAAACTGCCTATCAACCTACCTACCCACCCATCTAACCACCTACCAATGTACCCACCCATTTATCTACCTACATACGTACTCACCCATCCATCTGTCAATCAATGCATCTGCCAAACTGCCTATCAACCTATCTACCCACCCATCTAACCACCTACCAATGGACCCACCCATCTATCTACCTACATACCCACTTACCCACCTACCTGCTCATCCACCTACCCACGTATCTGCCTACCGACCTACCCACCCACCCGTGTGCCCGCCGACCTACTCACTCATCAACTTACCTACCTATTCGCCCATCTATTAACCTACCTACTGACCCACCTACCAACAGCACAAATTGAATGTATTAATCATCCGAATGGCGACATCTCAACAAACACAATGTTTCTCTTGGTTGTATTAACAGGACTGGATCTGGAATATGTGTTGTTCTTATCGTGACCACCCCCGCCCCGCCACTCCCCCCCCCAACCTCCACTCCCCCCAAACCCCCTCCGACCACAGATGTAGACGAATGTCAGAAGAGCGCGGGCCTCTGTGCAAACGGGCAATGCGACAACACGGCCGGAAGCTTCCGCTGCGTCTGTTCCGCGGGCTACGCTGCCAGCCCCGGCAGCCCCCAGTGTGTCGGTAATCAGCGCCTGTCCTGCCCTGAATTGTCACCCAAGCCTTGTCATTTAACATCTTGCCACCGTGGGAAGATAACATCTACCTGCCTACATACCTCCTCGCTCATCCATCTGCCTACGATGGCAAGATGTTATCTCCCTCGCCTGGTATACAGGAGGTCGTGGGATTCAATTCCGACCCTGACGCCTGCATATTTGGAGTTTGCATGTTCTCCCTTTGATCGCGTGGATTTTTCTCCGGGTCAATCGGTTTTTCCCTCCACATTTAGGAAATGTGCGTTTAGAGTATTTGGCTGCTATAAATTTACGCACGATCAGCCACACTGCAATGAGCTATCATTTGTGGCCAGGTGGCTTCTTAAAAATATCTGTATAGCTCAGTTGGGCCTTACCTGGTAAAATAAAAAATAGTTTCGTTTAAAATGTGTTACCATGAACCTTGTGCCCACATGCCTCCGTTGATCGCAAAAAGGCTCGTTCTCCTCGCTCACAATAACAGCACAAACACATCTTTATTCATAGGGCGCCTTTTTTAATCTCGTGAGATGCCCGAATACATTCAGAGGGCTGAATTATCGGGCTAGGCCTCGAGCCATGTGGGGCGGACCTCCTGACCCGGTCGGGCAGAGTTCCACGGTGGCAGCCTCCCGAACACAGACTCCGACCCTCCCACTGCAGAGCAGGGGTCACGACTGCCAGCTGACCTCAACGCACGCCGAGGCTGATAGGGAGAGAATAGCTCTGACAAGTAACCCGGTGCCTGTCCATTGAGTGCCCTTAGATTGGCCGTTTCCTCTCATCCACTCTGTGGTGAACCGCGATATTGCAGAACAGGCAACGGCATTTCTCTTCCCCATGCTCTCTACGCATCGCTCGACTTGTGGAACCGCCTTCCACAGTCGCCGACGTCTTCCATCCTCGCTAAATTCCACAAATTGAGTCATTTTATCTGCTATCATTATTAGTTCCCCCTGTCGATTGCCCGCAGAGCTCTGTCCCACAATCTCTGCTCTCGAGTTTCTGTAGAAAACCTGGGAGCCCTCATCTGCTGTGCCTGTCATGAGTGCTCTGCCTTTTCCTTGGCCACTTTTTGTTACTGGTCTTCATGCCAGTGCTGTGCAACTGCAAAAAAACAAGACAAAGATCCCCCGTATAGCTTTAATATACTGTAGGAGCAAGTGATGTCAGTGAGCACCTATGCAAAGAAACACACACACATATTCCTGGCTAATGCCACTTGACATACGAGTTTTGGAAGGCATTTGTTGACTCCATAATACTAAAACTCAACACTTGGGTTGATACTAAAATTATGAATAACGAAGCAGATAGATGTCCGTCTATCCACGTAAAAATTAACTATCCAGCAGCATTTATGTTCGCAGCACATTTCCGGCTGCCGCCTCGCTAAAGTGGCAAGCGGCAGTTCGCGGACTGCGGAGGCAAAATGATCAAACATCAACGCGGAGTAAGAAATATTCCTGTGCCTGCTTGCTCTGCTACAAGAGGCAACCAAATGTTTTGCCGTTCAAATCGGATTTTTATTCTTTGCTGTCATTGACCCTCCCCCACCCGACGAGAGTCTGTGTCGACGTGACATGTACGTACGTTGAACTTCTTTCGCACCGTACGTAGCCAACCGTGCTAATCGACTGCCCACACGTGACCAACCGTCCGATTCACCACCGGCTCACCGGCTCACCGACTCGCCGAGCGAGTGGCCGATCGAGCGGCGTCGATGTTCGTTTTTCTTTTTGTTTGGCGTGCGGCGCGCAGACGTGAACGAGTGCAAGGACCCAAGCGCGTGCCGGACGGGCCGCTGCGTCAACACGCCGGGGTCTTTCCACTGCCAGCCGTGCCAGCCCGGTTACCGTGCCGGCCGGCGCGGACAGTGCGAGGGTGAGCGGCCCGGTTTCTTGAATGCGCCGTCATCTTCGCAGTCGCCGTGCCCTCCGCGGATCGTTAAACTGCCCACGGTGCTTGTTATTGTTGCGCGAATGTACATGATGAGCACAGGCCCAAAGCTCTTTGCTCGTCGTGTCGTCGCCCATTATCGCTCTCCATTCATTCGTCCGACGACTTGTGTTTCTGTTGATTCATTCCTTCATCCTTCAACCCCTATTACACCGGGATTGTGCTCTCGAGACAAAGTTTGGCGTTCGGATCTCTCGCGGAGCAGTTGCAAACACCCCCCCCCCCCCCCCCCCCCCCCCGGGTTAGAAAACGGGACCCACGGAAGCGGATATCACAGAGCTACACTCTGAGACCCCCTTCAAGTGACCTCTGGTCCGCACACAGTAGGGGGGCAGTGCGAAGCGACCGGCGCGGGGGGGGGGGGGGGGGGGGCGTGCCGCGGTCATTATCCCAGCCCACCCACCGCGACCGTCCGCTACCTGTGCGCAGAGCCGTAACGGGGCAACCCCCACGCGCCCCCCCCCCCTCCCCCCGGCTGGGTGGTCTCCACCGCCGACCAACGCGTGGGCTGCCCTGCCCGACACTTTGACCCCAAAACCCTCGACCCCCCCCCCTCCCCCACGCGATCCCAAGCCGTTATTTCGCGCTTACCGAGCCCCTTGCAAGGCCGCACGGGGAGGCCGGCGCCTCTTCGGGGTCACCATTCGCTCCTTGGGCCGTCACTCAGCCGTCGGCTCAGCCGCCTGCCCAGCGACGGCAATTTTTTTATTTGATTGAGAGGTGAAATGGGGGGGGGGGCGGTGGTTAGGAGAGAGGGTCATGGTGCTGGGAGGTTGGGGAGCCCGGTGAGTGAACGGTTCCTGCTGGTTATTGGTCAAATTACAAACAGGATCCCCTACGATGCTCGACTCCCACACTCCGCCCCTCTCCTCTCCCAGCCTTCGTCCAGCAGTGGATAGATCATTGCCGATTATTTAGATCTCGCTCAGCACTGATGTCAGCCACGGCTCGGAATTGAACTCTGGTCAGCCCAGTGAATAGCGCAGTGCGCTAATCTCTTCGCCACCGCTCCGCCCCCCGTTGTTGTTGTTGTTGTGCGTGTGTGCATACATTCACTGAAGCAGCAATCGGATGAAACGCAGTGGCATCCTCATGTTACAAGTCGGCTACTCGAGCAGACAAACAGCACAACGGACGTCATAGGAAAATTAGATAGAAAAGAACGAAATCTTGATCACAACCAATCACTTCCCCATGATTGTGACGACCCATCAACTCGCTGTGGTGGCGTGAATCGTGACCCTCCCCCTCTCGTGCCTCCAAAGATCTCCACCCCCTCACTTTCCTCCACCTCCTCCTCAATCCTTCTCATCAACACGCCCGGCTCTTCGCACCGGGCGCGTTGATGAGGTCACTGCCCTCGAGGTGACCCCGAAGAGTCACACCGGGCGCCTCCGTCTCGCGCCAGGGCCGGCTCGAGGTGGGGGGTGGGTGGGGTGGGGGGTGAGCGGGCGGAGTGGGTGTCGTGAGTGGGTGGGGTGGGTGGGGTAGGGGGGGTGAGTGGGTGGGTGGGTGGGGGTTGGCTGCTGCTGTGGGTGGTAGCGCGAAGGCAGGAGGCAATTACAACAATCGCGCTGCGGCCGTGAAGCTGCCAAATTATGATTCATACGGCGGAACTCGAAACAGATGTTGGAACGCGCGGAATTGGTATTAGCTGCATCGCCACGTATATATTGTGTCGCCGCGGTTTTTTTTTGCTCCCAGGGCTTTTGATCCTCGCCCACTCTTGACAGCTTTACAGCGGTATTGCTTTTCCGGCCCGCGGGGTCGTTGCCCACGCTCAAATCCCGTCCCTTCGCCGCGTTCGCGGTACCGCCGCCGCTAACCGCTAACCCCTACCCCGTCGCCCCCCCCCCCCCCTTCTCCAAGTTAAAACTAAAAATTCGCGTCCCTAAGAGCAACAGATTTTTTGTTATTTCATTTTGGGTAACCCTCGCACCAATATGATCCGTTTTTGGTGAGTTTTTTGGGTCACTTTTCATGACGCCTATTAAAATTCCGGCACATCTATGGGAAACTGATCGCATCGGTCAAACGATTGCCCGCGGCGAAAAGGAAGACTCACTTGCAATGTTGCAGATGCAGTTTGTCCCCGACAGCCTCTTATTCGTCGGCTGCCAAACTGCCAATTATCCACTTCCGCGGACAGAAACGCTGCGTTGGAACGTGTCGCATACTCGTTTATTTTCACCTCTCTCGTACTCCTCCCCCTCTCCAACCCACCCTCGCCCCCACGCAACCCCCCACCATTCCTTGCCCGCCTCCTCCCCACCACCCTGCAGACGTGGACGAGTGCGCAAGCCCCGGCGCGTGCCCCAGCGGGGAGTGTGTCAACTCGCTGGGCTCGTTCGAGTGCCGCCCGTGCCCTGCCGGCTTCACGGGCTCCGGAGGACGCTGCATCGGTACGGCCTCCTGCCCGTGCACCACCCCGTGTGCAGTGGGGGGGAGGGAATGGCTCTCGAAGATGACCACAATTGTGTAACATATTTGTTTATACGTGGTCGTTTTTTGTAAATTAATGTCGCGCTCGTGTTCCAGTCGTGCCCACGGCTCTGTGTCGTGCGATGGCAGACCTGTGCATGAGGATACTCTCAAAGTGAGCAGTGTTTCGCAGGCCTCTTTATCTACACGAGGGGTGGAACCTGTTAATCGCGGGTTTTTAATAGTCTAGTGCCTCTATGCGTGGCCTGCTGCAGCTCTGTAAGCCTTCAAAGTCTCTCTGTTGATATCTGGGTTGCTGGTTAAATTTTTTTCTACCCTTGGCTAATGCGCCTCAAGATAGAGTGCATATCAGCTTTTACCACTCGTTCGGGGTTTTCACTATCATCAGCAGCCACGATCTATCCACTGCCAGATGAGGGCCTCCCCAAGCCATCGCCACACTCCATCTCCTCGGTGGACGTGCATCTCTTGGCGGTATTTCCCCACCTTTGGCTGCCACTCCGTCGCGAGTCTCGACCATTGGCCATCGCCTCCATCGCCCCTTCCAGCGGCGCGTCCTGACCCCCCCCCTCCGCGCCCCCCCGCCCCACCTCTCTCCTCTCTCCGACGTCCCTTAATTTTTGACGGGCGGTTCTCCATCGCCGCGCCCTCTGGCTCTCTCCGATTATCGGTTGCCGTTCCCAAAACACGAAAGTGCGCAAGTCCCCGCGCCGTGCCCCCGAGCGGGGAGGAGTGCCGTCAACTCGCTGACCTCATTGGAGTGCCGCCCGTTGCCGCGGCGGCTTCGCGCGACGATGTAAACGCCACGACCGCGCAAATTTACACCGTCACGCCCGCTTGTCGTCCCGTCGTCTGCCGCCTTTCCCCTCCGCAGACGAGAACGAGTGTTTGAGCAGTACGACGGTGTGTCAGCACGGCCGCTGCGTCAACCTCCAGGGGTCGTTCCGCTGCTCCTGCGGACGGGGGTTCACGACGGCGCCCGACGGGAAGAGCTGCCTGGGTACGCGACGGTGTTAGCGCTTCCCGGTTAGCGCCTCCCGGCTAGCACGGGTGGGCTGCGTATGGTGCGAAGGAAGTTCAACACACATACGGAGGCCACGCGTGTTTTTTTCATATGGATTACGATGATGATGATGATGATTTCAACTCGTAATGCTCGCTCTCGAAGAGAGAGAGAGAGATGACAACTCAGAGGCACGAGGAGAAACCGCGGACGAGCAGGGAAGGGCAGCAGCCACGCTGCTGAGGAGCCGGCGCCAACACTCGCCCAAGCTCTGTGGGTCCTCTCTGTAGAGTATACATATTTCAGGTGTTATTGGCCAATTAATGAGTTTCACGTGGGAATGTAAACCTGAGCACCCGATGAAAACCCACGCGTGCCAGGGAGAAACGCTATTATCCCACACAGACGGAACAGGTGGGGTCCACGCGCGCTGCATTGCGTACCCCCTGGCGAGCCAGGGTACATGACACCTCAACGCCCACGGGAAGGTAGTCGCACAACATTTGTGCGATCTACCAACCCTTCGCCATCAGTGCCGAATTACAGGCTGGCAGCCACTGCCGCACAGCTGGAAGTAGCGATGGATGTAACTACGATGATTCATTGATTCGTTTTTTGTTATGGGTCAGATCGCCACGTGAGTAAAACGCCAATGTGCGTCATACACCCGTCCTCCTCCCAACACGGCAAAATAAATAAGGTTGTCTCGTGAACAAACGCTGCCAATGTATTACTTGCATCAAGCGCACGACCCGGTATTTCAGAGAACAATCCACCACACATTGAACAAATTTGGTACGAAGCTTGGCTGGTAGTTGCAACCAGCATCATCAGGAAATCGCCAGCATCATCTGGCAGGATTCTGGGTGGGTGGCGGGCGGTGTGCGACACACCTTGGAAATGTAATCACGTGGCGATCTGACCCAGAAATCGGCTGTGAATGAAAATTCACGAGTGAAAAGCCTGCGTGTTAGAGGTACTAAACCACAGCAAGCATTCACACACGAGCGGTGAGCGAACGCACGTGCGTGCGTTTGCCGGGCTGGTGCGTGTGTGTGTGTGAGCGTGAGGTTAATAAAACCGGAGAGTGATTGCGAAAGAGCTGTGGACCATGGGATCGAGAAATTGAGCTGCATTGCGAAACTTCCCTAAGAGCTGCGTTTCACGAGTTCCCCTTCAAGAGGTGGCAGGGAGGCAGTGCAGCAGCAAAGCTCGCGCCTCAAAGCGAGGAGAGCCTGGGTTCGATTCCCCACTCAGGACACCTTTCTGCGTGGAGTTCACATGTCCACCTGTTCTGCAGTGCGTGAGAATGCGTGTATGTGATTTGAGCGTGTGAAGCGAATGAGTGAATGTATGAGATTGTGCAGAGTCTGTACGTTCTCCTGTTTTGCAGAGAGGGTGTTTGGGTGTCACCGAGTGCATCCGTTTGTGATTTGCTCCGGGTTCTCTGGTTTCTCCCCATGGGTAAAAAGCTAAAAAAAAACATTAAATGGAACTTGTATTGGGCAAAAATTCCAATGCTGAAAAATTACTCCATTTGGATTACACACAAAGCAACGCTGCCTGCTGCGAAAAACTTGGCGGGACCCTCCTGACAAATAGAGTCCTCAGCCTTTTCCTGTAAAATCAAGTTGAATAACAAGCATAACGCCGAGTGCTTTTCCACTTCTGCCGTTGATTGGACAAGCGATCCATTCAGATGCAATGTGTGTACACGTTCGGCAGATTTATCAGTACATCGTTGGACGCCAGCCCTCTCCTCACGCCGTGTGTGCCAAGCGGTGTACACGCAGCGGGAGCCTAGAAGTATTGTACAACAATCCGCTTTGCTGCATGGGCCTCTGCTGCCGAACAAAATGTATCCCCGACTCAGTTTGTACCAATTGCAGTTTCCTCGCCCTTCGAGAACGTCGTCAGTATTGGTATCACAGTCGCTCGATCAGTTTCACGCCGACCGCCAACATGTATTCAACCATCGTCAATGTTCACTGGGTGTTCATCCATCGCGCTGTTGTCGTTGCTGTGTTGTTGAGATGTGGACGAATGCGGCGTGGGACGACCGTGCCGTGACTCCATGTGCCGCAACTCCCCGGGCTCCTTCACCTGCGTGCCCTGCGGCTCCGGCTACCAACTGGCGCCCGACGGCAAGGCGTGCAAAGGTGGGCGGCTCGTCTTCCCCTCCTCCCTCCTCCTTGCTGCTCTTCTTACTCATCCTCCCACTGTCTCCTCCTACTGTTTCCTCCTCTTCCTCCTCCTGCTCTACCTCCTCCTTCTGTTGCTCCTCCTCCTCCTCCTTGCCGCTCTTCTTCCTGCTCCATCCGCTGCTCTTCTACCTCCTCCTGCTCCTGTTGCTCCTTTCTCTCCTCTTCCTGCTGCTCCTCCTCCTGCTCCCCTCCTCCTCTTCCTGCTGCTCCTCTTCCTCCTCCTGCTTCCAGCTCCTCCTCCTGCTGCTGCCACTCGTCTCCTCTTCCTGCTGCTACTCTTCGTCCTCCTGCTTCCAGCTCCTCCTCCTGCTGCTGCCACTCCTCTCCTCCTCCTCTTCCTGCTGCTTCTCTTCCTCCTCCTGCTTCCAGCTCCTCCTCCTGCTGCTGCCACTCGTCTCCTCCTCCTCCTCCTGCTTCCAGCTCCTCCTCCTGGCCGCTCTTCTTCCTCATCCTCCTGCTGCTCCTCCTCCTCCTCCTTGCCACTCTTCTTCCTGCTCCATCCGCTGCTCCTCTACCTCCTCCTCCTGCTCTATCTCCTCCTTCTGTTGCTCTACCTTCTCCTCCTCCTCCTCTTCCCGCTGCTGCTCCCCCTCCTCTTCCTTCTTCCTCTCCCGCGACTGCTTTTTCCGCTCTTCCTTCTGCTTGTTGTGTTCTTTTGCCCAGCGACCGATCCATGGCTCAAGTTCCCTCCAAGCTTCATCCCACTCGACCCTCTTCACCCCCCGCCAGCCGCCTGATCCCCCTCTCTCCCACCGCCGGCCCCGCCCCCACCCCCCGCCCATCAGCCCCCACCCCCCGCCACCCCCCACCGCCGGCACTGCGTCTGGATGCTTGAGCCATGACCAGGGGTCAGCTACCTGCTGCTCCGTAGCCGCGTGCGGCTCTTTAAAGGACCGCTTCGTGGCCGTTATTTATTGAGGACCCACCGTCCTCGTCTTCACAACGTGCGTTGCTGCTCTTGAAATGTTGATTTTTCTTTTTTTAACACCGAATTCCATTTTAAAAAATGTCTCTTCTCGTTGTTTTTGTTTGCTGACCCCTGGACCACGACTGTGACGTCGTCGCCAGTGTGTTTGAGGCAGGGCCAGAGGTCGAAATGTAAAGGTGGAAGCGCCGGCGTGAGACGCATTTTGTCCCACAGCAGCCCGCGTTCACTGCCGTTGATTCCACCGCTGCGGAAACGGCGAGGCATTAGGGGTGGGCGCCGTTTTCGAAAAGTGCCGCTACAGCGTAGGCCACTGGGCGGTCACCACAAGCGGATTTGTTTTGATGTAAATCGAGCTCATCGTGATCTCACACTTCACTCAAGAATATATCACTTCGGAAGTCGTTTTCTGTCCTAGTCTTACTTCTCTTTTACTTCGTTCCTCAAATCTTAAGAAAAGGTCGACGCCGCTGAGGGCTGGACTCGGCTGGCTCACTCCCACTATAATCCACCAAAGGGGCTCTCACGCGCTGATAAACAGACGCCTCCATCGTCTCCGTCGTCATCGTCATCGTCGCCGTCTTCGTCGTCGCTGTTGTCGTTGTTGCTCGTGATTTCCAGACGTGGACGAGTGCGCCAACGGGATCGTATGCGGCGGCGGCGCCTGCCTCAACTCGGACGGCTCCTTCCGCTGCGAGTGCCGCTCGGGATTCAAGCTGAGCGGCAGCGGCGACCAGTGCGAAGGTGACGTATTCACCAAGTACCGGCCAGGCTCAAACCCGCTTAGCTTCGGGGATCCAGTGGGAGCCAACGGGGATCCAACGGTGACGCGGTTTGCAGACTATTTGAAAAAAAAAAATAACTCTAAATTCCGCGCAGATAGATTCATGGTATCGCTGCACTGGCATCTCCTTGGCACCTGGGGAAGCCCTCGTTTTAGTCTGCACCGGGGGCCGAACCCTGTGCCCGCCCGCCCGCAGAGGCACGGGCTGTTTGCCAAACCCTCTGAGCGCCGATCCTCCACCGCTCCCACGTCTCTCTCACGTCATTGCGAATGAAAAAAACCATCGCGAGTGCCTTCCCGCCACCGTTTACGAGCCGTAGCCTCGCGGGCTTTGCCTTTGCGCGACGAGTGAATGGGGTCCGGTCAGAGGGAGCCCAAAAAAACACTCAACTCACTGAGCTGGGCGGGCGATGTCGAATGTTGACTCTGTGCCAGATTTCAAGTGGAGTTTTTCGTCTCCCACGTTCCGAATAGATTCGTCCTGCGGGACAAAATCGTTGTTAGGAAGCCACTGGCGCTGTGCACTTTCAAATCTAGATTGAAAACTCATTTCTTTAAAACTGCTTTTTGTGTTTGGTTTGTTGCAAACGGCAATGGGAAGGCATGTGTGTGTATCTATTAATGTTAAAGAAATTAGATTACCCCCCCCCCCCCGCCGCCGCACCTCCGATTAGCACGGTTGGCTAAGTTCAACATAAGTCGATACATACACGTGCGTTCCCGTTCGCAGCGGCGGCAGGGGCGGCAGCAGTCACGGTGGAACGCGCGTCATATGTTCACGACGGGGAGCCGTCACAGACATATCACCGCAAGTGTTGATTGCTTAATCATGTAGGATATAAATAACACTCATTATAAACGGTAATTTTTTTTGGGATGAACGCTAAGTGCGGTGGGTTAGCACTCTGCGCTCTGAATCTGGCGACCCGAGTTCGACTTACAGCCACGGCTAACATCGGCGTGGGTGATATATTTGGACCGATACTGTGTCGCAACCCCCTTCCATCCCACCGACCAGCACGATGAAGTATGGTCCAACTACTCACACGAACAAGGCGGTGTGCGGGAGGTCAACGTCCGGCAGTGGACTACCGAAAGGCTGTACATTATTTACATGTGAACACACGTGTGTGCATGTGAACACACGTGTGTTCAACTGCGGCTAGGGTTAAACACAGAAAACAAAACACTGCTTTCTACAGAAACTTGTCGTAGTATTTACATTCTGCTGCACTTACTCATCGCAGGCTGTTGAGTTTGAATCCACTTTCTCATGAGCAGAGTACACAAGCACTCAAAGCACTTATGAAGACAAAGATCCCCTGTATATCCTTAACATACTTTTGGGGCAAGTGCTGTTAGCGAGCACCTATGAAGGCCGGCGCAGCACACGAGGGGGCGGGTGGCTAGGGCCAGGCCCGACCGCCTTTGTCTCCCCAGTGGCGATGTTCACACATCGCACGAGGTACTCACGTGAGGCCGAATTGACTGTGACAATTCGTCAAATCATGAGTTATTACATTCGTACAAAGTCCGTCAGCTGGAGTATAAACCGTCTGCGTGTGCGTGGGCGACCGGCTCATGTTGCCGCCATTGTGGCAGCGGTGGTGGTGGTCATCATCGCCGTCATCGTCGTTGTCGTCGCTATCGTTTTGCCGCGTGCAGACATCGACGAGTGCGGAGAGGGCGGTCGGTGCCAGGGCGGCGAGTGCCTGAATGTCGCCGGCTCCTACACGTGCCGCTGCTCGGCGGGCTACGTGGCCGTCGATAGCACGCGGTGCCGCGGTGAGTTCTCACGACGACGAGCAATGCAGGCGGTGCAAACGCACCGATTACACACCTTTCAGAGAGAGAGAGAAATGGGAAAAAACCGTAGCAATTCTCTTTCAGCGGTAGCTGTGGATCCTGGTGGGAAGGCCCCCCCCCATACGCAGGGGAAGACGGCCCCTCCAGCGTAGTGTGCAGGCGGTGCAACTGCACCGGAACCACAGACCAGCACGCTAGCCTCTGTGAAACCACTACCACCCCGCTTGCAAACGTTGTCAGATAGAGTCCATGAGCCAGAGAAGAAATTGGCAGCGTCAATAAGTAGCAAAACGTGATCTACGTGGCCATTAAGAGTGAATTACTAGGTAACCCCACTCGTGTCAAGTTGTTATCGCATAATTCACTGTTATTGGCCACACGGAGAAATCGGAACCGCTCGAGTGACGCCACTTCAGGTGGCACCGACATGAGAAACATCTGGTGTGTGCCCGTGGACTAGTCGTGAATAATTGCCAGTCTCTGTCGATTATTACTATTATCGAATTCTCAGAATTTTCTCTTCCTCGGAATGGATCGGCCACAGGAGAGAGCGGATTAACAAAAAAGAGCAGAGATTCCTTTAAAGCCGCGTTGCTGCGCACGGAGCAAATCTCGCAGAGGACATCCGAAAGATATGGTCAGTGCAGTGGCTTTGACATTCCCACAGTAGAGCTCGCCAAAGCCGCTTTTGACAAAAAAGTAAAAAAACAAAAAAACATGCTTTTGAAGATTTGCGCATGCTGGCGTATCTCTCCGTCGTCCTACGTCGCGTTTCGCCGTGACCACGCTGAATAAGGTAACGGGGACGCGGTGATGTCATTCTATGCTGATATTCAGCGAGATTAAAAATGGCTAAAGAGAAAGAAAAAAACTCAACAAAACCCACGAAAAGTTGTCCTGATTCACAATCTCCCATTGCCAAACGGTTTCACGGCCAGTATTGGCCGTGGTCAGCTTTCCCCGCCGCGTGTGGGCCAGGCCGCACGTCGGCTTCGTCGGGGAATAGAGATTTACGGCTGTTTATCGCGACCAACTCGGGTCTTTTTTCTCGCCAAAATATTTTTGTTAAAGCAACAGCACCGCTCGTACGTAAATCGCTTCGACGCCCAGAAAAATAAAAGCCATCGCCTCGTTGCTCATTACTCGCGATAGATTGCGGCGCTCGCAAAACGGACGCACGTTTACGGAGGATTTATTTATGTTGCTAATTTGCTCACTGTCAGCGCTTACAATTGCGAACGGCATCCATTCCGTTTCATTTCGTCCCCGCACGAACTCCGCAATTTGCGTGAGTAATATTTGTTGCAGGACATTTTCTCCCTTGAAAAATGTTTGCAGCGGACGAAAGCGGCGACGCCAACCCGCACTAAGTATGGTCAAACAACCAGCAACGGCCCGACAAACAGCTGTAAATTATTCTTATTATTAGACGAGTATTTATACCGAGTTAATCGGTGAGAGTCATCGTCCACTCTCACTGCTGTGGTCCACCAAAGTAGATCCCTGCTCTCTGAGTCACATGCCTCGTGACAGCCGCCAAACTCGAGCCACCGTTGATTTATTTTTGACCAGGTAAGGCCCACTGAGCTTTGTCAGAAGCGACCTAGGCACAAATGATAGCTCAACGATAATGGCTCATCATGTGGAAATGTATATCAGCCATACGCTCTAAGCACATGATTCTAAATGTGGAGGGAAAAACCGGAGGACCAGGAGAAAAATCCACACAGCCACGGGGAAGAAAGAGACATGCAAACTCCAAATATACATGTGTCAGGGTCGGGATCGAACACACGACCTCTTGTATACCAGGTGAAATAGTTAACATCTCACCGCCATCGTATCCCACCGCTCGGCACATCCACACTGGAGCTGGCCTTCACTTCCGCGCGTGACCACATCCCCAGAGCTGGGCTGTCATCTAAATACTTGAGTAAATCGATGACTCAACTGTCATTTGCCGGGCGGTGGTGGGTATTCACGCGGCTGTGCACGCGAGGGTCGGTTGATCACCGCACAAATGTTGTGAAACTCCCTTATAACGTGGGCGTCGAGGAGGAGCCGTGCCTCGACTAAGGCGACACAGCACATGTGGATTCCACCGTATGGGATAGAGTGTTTCCCCCTCGCACACGTGGGTTTTCCCTGGATGCTTCGGGTTTTTCCCACATGTAAACACCCATTAATTGGCCAATAACAACTTAATATATAGAGGACCGTAGAGCTTTGGGGGGTGAATGGTGATAATTTGGCGCCGGTTGACACCTCGCTTTTGGCTTTCCTGCTCGTCTGTGGTTCCTCCTCGTTCCTTTGAGTCGTTCCGTCTCTTGAAGAGTGAGCAAAGACATGTGCCACTGGCTGGGAGGTGACGGGTGGGCCATGGTGTCGTCATCAACATCATCAGCAGCAGCTGCGTCACAATGGGCGTGACTTATGTGGGGTTTCCAGCATTCGGGAGGCAGGATGTGAGGGGCGGCCGCCAATTTTAAAGGATCCTAAGTAGTCCACCATTTTTTCATTAGTCGACCACTTGTCCTACCTTTATTATTATCAATGTTGACTTTGATTGTGTTGTTGGTGTTATTGACATTGTTATTTCTGTTGTTGATGTTGTTACGTTATTATTACTATCATTAATGTTGGTAATGTTGTTATTGTTGTCGCGATCATTGTTTTGATGCTATTGGTGTCGTTGTTGAAGTTATCGTTGTTGGTGTTATCGGTGTAGTTGGTTACGTTGTTATTGTCATAATTGATGTTGCGCATGCTGCTGTTGTTATTGCTGTCGTCGATGTCGACCTAACCCTCGTCGCCGCTGTCGTCGTCGTCGTCATTTGTGCTCGCAGATGTGGACGAGTGTGCGGGCGGGCGAGCGTGCCGCGGCCACGGCGGCGGCGGCGACGGCACCTGCATCAACACTCCCGGCTCGTTCCGCTGCTCCTGCCCAAGTGGCTTCCGCACGGTGCCAGGCTCCGACCAGTGCGTCGGTAAGTACCGACCTGCGTGTACGTACGTGCGTGCTGCCGCTCGCTGGCCCAGCCCCCCCGGGAGGCCCCCGCGAAGGCCTCCCGTGAAGGCCTCTCGCGAAGGCCTCAAGTGAAGGCCTCAAGTGAAGGCCTCGTGGCGCACAGATTGTGGCAGGTGGCGCCGCTCTCTCGTAGCATCAAGGGGGTTGACCCCCCCGACCCCCAACTCTAACCCCGACCCCTCCCCCCGTTGACCCCCCCCATTGACCCCCCCCCATTGACCCCCCCCCCCCCGTTGACCCCCCCCCCCCGTTGACCCCCAACTCTATCCCCAACCCTCCCTGACTCCCGACACTCTCCCCGACCCTAGCCCTGGCATCGATGGGGCGGGCGCGGGAATGCGACCGGGGACCACTTGCGCGGGGGCCGTGTTTAAGCGGCAAGCCTTCTTAATGAAGCTGCTCTGTAGGTCTGGAAGCCTTTGATACCTCAAAGACGCGGGGGGGGATGGGGGGGATCTCTTTGTGCGGGGCTTTTGAGACCCGACGCAGATGTGTGGCGGATTATGGCCGGGAGTTGACGGTGGCGTCATGTGCTTTTAATAAGCACGAGGGGCCTTAAACGATGAGAGCAAACCCCCCGCCATGAGTTAACCCCCCCAACACCGCCCCCCCCCCCCCCCACACTGCCCCCCCCACACTACCGCCCCCCCCCCCCACCACCGCCCCCCCCACCCTTCCCTCCGAGCGCTCGCGTCTGAATAAAGCGGGCGTCTAATTCGATGCGACAATATTATCGTTTTATCGTGTTGGTGATATTATCAAATGCGACTTGTTATTTTAAATTCCGGTGTTTGTACAAATTCTCGGATTGCGCACAAACGATTTAAAAGCGGTGAGGATATTGAAAGCAAAAGTGTAGTTTCTTTACGGTATTTTTATATGTTTATAAAAGGCAGGAATATTATTACTTTTGAATGGGACTTCACGTTCAATTATCTTTAATTGCACATCACGAGTGAGAGTGGTATGATCCACATTATAGCGATAGTTATCAAAAGAATTTGTACATGTGCTAATTCACGTGGTCGCTCAGCGGAGTAGTGGGTTAGTGCACTGCGCTATGAACCTGGTGACCCAAGTTCGAGTCCTGGCCACGGCTAACTCCAGTCGGTAGTGAGTGATATCTGAACCAGTCCTGCGGTCCTTCCCCACCAACACGCGCTGGGAAAGTATGGTCAATCAATGCCCCCCTTACCGACACGTCACGTGCAGGAGATACTCATCCAACAGTAGATTTACAGAGGTCTCAACATTATAATTATAAATTACTGCAGTTAAGTATTTACAGAATTATATGTGGATAATTGGATAATTTAACGGGTAAGCTTTCGCAAAGGGAATTAGATGTTTGCTGTGTCTGGATGCGAACGATCATTGAACCGGATGACATTTGAATTCACTTTGCGCCAAACACAATTTGCAGCAAGAGCGTGGCACGTTTCGCGTCGAGCTTAGGGCTTCGTTTTTTATTATTGTTTTATTTTAAAAAAAATATTCCCACGAAGCTGCTATTAAGCCATCTGGCTGTTCTTAAATGAGCGCAAAAGGCCACAAAATCTGACTCATAGCCAACGTCTGTTTATACGCACGAACGGATGATGTACGAGCATCGGGGAGGAACGTCGTTGCAGCAAGCCTCATGTCGGCTCGCAGAGAGAGAGAGACGATGATGGCGACGACGGCGGTGGACGAGAAAAAAACTCAAAATCTTGTTTGTTTATCTCATTTATATCCATTTTTTCCCGTTTTTTCCGCAAATGTTTATACTCGCCGCGCCGTGTGACCTTCGCGTTGTTTAAAATGCCATTCGCAGGACAAAACCGAAACGAGCCGCTCTCGCGTGGGGGATTTGGTGTTCCCTTGCCGTTGCTTCTCCAGGCTAAAAGCCGGGCCGTTGAGTCGCGTGCCCCCCTCCCTCCACCCCCCCTGCCCCGTTTCGTGGTTGCATTTCGCCGGTTACCGTTGTGGGCTCCCCCGGGGCCTTAGCGCTCGCCTGTCCTGCAGTGTGTGCCCCGCGTATTCGTGCAGTGCGGCGTTCCCTCGTTGTGCACGAAATTCGCTCTCCGCGATAATTTGGCCGTCCGCGAATCGCGTCTGGGAAAGTGATGAGTTCAAGTGGTGAGAAATAGAGTGATGAGATGAAGTGATGATGCACCGCATCACCATAATTTAAGGTTACTTTGTTTTTTATCAAACAACCAAATGTTGTTGCTGCTGTGTCCTGGTCACAAAAGCAAATTTTGTGGGGAATAATAGCCATTTTCTATAATTTTTAGGCATAAGCAATTAAAAAATAACACTTAGTACCCAGGAACAAAAATTGTGTTACATATTGTAATCATTAATAGGGTAGGACACCAGAGCATTAACTGGCTCTGAACCTGGCGACCTGAGTTCGATTCCTGGCCCACGGCTAACATCAGTGTGCTGTCTGAGTCAATCCCGGGGGGCCCCGCCCCCACACTTCACCAACCGACGCTGACCCGCGTGGTGAAGTATGGTCAAACTGTTTCTATTACTGATGCGCCGTTTGGGAGACACGGGGCTGCGTGTGTGTTACACCGATGCGTCGTCGATTCGTCGGAAAGTTCGCCATACGCTCAAATCCAATCGCACGTGCCTTCGATGCGTTCACCTGACCTCTGCGGCAACCAGAGGCCCGCTACTTTCTCCCGGACTCCGGGGAAAGAGATTCTTTAAATCAAATCGAGATCGTGAATCATGCCCGACTCATCGAATCACACGATCGGCGGAAACTTTACGACACCCCCCTGGCAGATGAACTTCGTGCCCAGGAAAAGGTGCAGCATTGGGCCAGCGTCTGAATGTTTACTGGGCGTGTAGGTCACGAGATGTACCCACGTCATGCTTACTTACGCGCGCACAAAAGCACAATGCACGGGCGCATGCACTTTACCGCGCAGGAGTGACCCGCGAAAGGACTCGTAGCGCCAAGCGATTTGTACAACGTCAATCACGAACAACTGCCGAGGCCGGTCCCATACTGCAACAACACGCCTAAGTAAGGCTTCAAAATGTACATTCCGCACAGGGGAGGAATAGTGGTGGTGGGGGGGGTGGTTTGGGGGGATGGGGGGTACAGGAGGAGTCTATATTTTGCTCCGCGGCTGGCTGCCCATGAACCGGGCAGACTCTCGGAGCGAGCCCCACGTCGAAGCGGTGTTTTGACAGCTGGGGGGAGGTGGGGGGGGAGCAGCGGGGCGTGGAGGGGGGGCGACGACGACGTCCCGCGGGTGTCGCGGCGATGACGCGGCGCTAAGCAGAGGGGCACGGGTAAGGTTACAGCGGTCAGCATGGAACTCGCTTTCGCCTTTCGCCGTGGTGGCTCGTGCGTACGCACGTTGCGCTTTTGCTTCTTTCCCGCTCCGTACGTAGCCAAGCATGCCGACGGGAGGTGCCGGATTTTGTCCGACTCGTCGACGTTCAAGTCGACATTGGCCAGCATTCGCCGCAAACGCGAGTCGCGATCGAGTCGCGTGAGCGTTTTGCGCGCGTCGCGTGCGAACGTTAACTTGCAAGGCGCGTGCATCGAGATGCTTGGATGAGCACGCTTGGATGCGCACGGTGCGAAAGAGGTTCAGCATGTCTACGCACCCGGCGGGTTTGAGAAGAACAATGTTAGAAGGTCGGAACGAAAGAGCCAGGAAAAAAAAAAGGGGGAAATAATACAAATGAGACCATCTTGATTTGAAGCTTTTGTGACTGCAGGAATCCATACTCTTTGGTTCTTTCGGTAAAGTCACGTGGGTAGAAATAAAATAAAATAAATCACGACGTTTCGATCGCAACACAAGCGATCGTCATCAGGCAAAGGAGTCAGCCTCTAAAGGCAAACTGTTTATAAAGGTTTGTGGATGGGCGTAGCCCAAGCGTATCAACAACAACACCAGAAGCACGGGTGGTGCACGAGTGCCAATGCAGCAGCAATGCCAATGCAGCAACATTGCCAATGCAGCAACAATGCCAATGCAGCAGCAATGCCAATGCAGCAGCAATGCCAATGCAGCAACAATGCCAATGCAGCAACAATGCAATGCAGCAACATTGCCAATGCAGCAACAATGCCAATGCAGCAGCAATGCCAATGCAGCAGCAATGCCAATGCAGCAACAATGCCAATGCAGCAGCAATGCCAATGCAGCAACATTGCCAATGCAGCAACATTGCCAATGCAGCAACAATGCCAATGCAGCAGCAATGCCAATGCAGCAACATTGCCAATGCAGCAACAATACCAATGCAGCAGCAATGCCAATGCAGCAGCAATGCCAATGTAGCAACATTGCCAATGCAGCAGCAATGCCAATGCAGCAACAATGCCAATGCAGCAACAATGCCAATGCAGCAGCAATGCCAATGCAGCAGCAATGCCAATGTAGCAACATTGCCAATGCAGCAGCAATGCCAATGCAGCAACAATGCCAATGCAGCAGCAATGCCAATGTAGCAGCAATGCCAATGCAGCAGCAATGCCAATGTAGCAACATTGCCAATGCAGCAGCAATGCCAATGCAGCAACATTTCCAATGCAGCAACAATGCAATGCAGCAGCAATGCCAATGTAGCAACAATGCCAATGCAGCAGCAATGCCAATGCAGCAACAATGCCAATGCAGCAACAATGCCAATGCAGCAACAATGCCAAAGCAGCAACAATGCCAAAGCAGCAACAATGCCAAAGCAGCAACAATGCCAAAGCAGCAACAATGCCAATGCAGCAACAATGCCAATGCAGCAGCAATGCCAATGCAGCAGCAATGCCAAAGCAGCAACAATGCCAAAGCAGCAACAATGCCAATGCAGCAACAATGCCAAAGCAGCAACAATGCCAAAGCAGCAACAATGCCAATGCAGCAACAATGCCAATGCAGCAACAATGCCAAAGCAGCAACAATGCCAAAGCAGCAACAATGCCAATGCAGCAACAATGCCAATGCAGCAACAATGCCAAAGCAGCAGCAATGCCAATGCAGCAACAATGCCAAAGCAGCAACAATGCCAATGCAGCAGCAATGCCAAAGCAGCAACAATGCCAATGCAGCAACAATGCCAAAGCAGCAACAATGCCAAAGCAGCAACAATGCCAATGCAGCAACAATGCCAATGCAGCAACAATGCCAATGCAGCAACAATGCCAATGCAGCAACAATGCCAATGCAGCAACAATGCCAATGCAGCAACAATGCCAATGCAGCAACAATGCCAAACGCCCACCCCCATCCCCAAACCCTTATAAACAGTTTGCCTTTAGAGGCTGACTCCTTTGCCTGATGACGACCGCTTTGTGTTGCGATAGAAACTTCGTGATTTATTTTATTTTATTCCTAACTACGTGACTTTACCGAAAGAACCAAAGAGTACAAATGAAACATTTGCCAACGAGACCGAACGCAAGAATAATAATTAATCATCTCTTAAAATGAATTGTGAGCCCCGATTCATCGAAATGTGAGTGGTGAGACCGTGCCATTGCTTGCCGAGGATTTGCCCGAACGCGAACGCTCAAGCATTTGTTCTGGCAGGACATTTCCCCGTCATCCGCAATGCCTGACGTTCATACTCTCTCCACATCAACTATTTTGCCCACAAGTTCCTACAACCAAGCTAAGTTCCAAATGCGCGCTTGTCTTTCGCGATCATGACATTTGAAAAGCAAGGGAGTGTCATTGGGTTTGGAGAAGCGATTCAAGTGGCATCTGGGGTCGCCAGATGGATTCCATTTGTACATCCTGCAACAGCCCGTGTTGAGCAATGATTGCTGATGAGAGTGATGGGTTTGCACTTCACTAAGAGACTCAGAAACTCACACAGATACCCATAGACTCACATAGAAACCCATAGACTCACGTAGAGATCCATACTCACATATAGACCCATAGACTCACATAGAGATCCATAGACTCACGTAGAAACCCAGACTCACATAGAGACCCCATAGACTCACATAGAGACCCATAGACTCACATAGAGACCCATAGACTCACATAGAGATCCAAACTCACATAGAGACCCATAGACTCACATAGAGAGCCATACTCACACAAACACCCATAAATTCACACATAGACTTTCAGAGACCCACAGACTCACACAGAGACCCAAAAGACTCACACAGAGACCCATAAACTCACATAGCTACACACAGACTCGCACAAAGACTCGTAAGACTCGCATCGAGACATTAAGAGGTGACCAGGAATCCAGCTCGAGCAATCGAGTTTGCAGTCCGCTCACCGCTTACTCCGCCACTCGATCCCGATAAGCCCAGCACGAGCGTGGCGCGCGGCCACGTGCCCGGCTTTAGTCCGCCGCTGCATTGACGTAACTCCCGGTATGTGCCTTCCCAACGAACCCTGCACCGCCTCATCCTTCACCCCTGCTGTGAAGTCCACGCTTGAATTGTGCGGTAATTACAGCTTCGTTTGAGTGACAGAACCCCGCAAGGAAAATGCTGGCACCCCCCACCCCACCCCACCTCACCCACCCCATTCCACTGAAGACCAGCTCGCGCTTGGAGAGAGTATCCCTGCAGCTGTCCATTCCACCTTTCACCTTCGCAGTCTCATCTGAAGCGAGCCCGTATACATCCCTCCGACGTTGCGTTCCCGCAACGGTCCCTTGTTGTTGTTTTCTAGAGCGCACTCAATCTCAATTGTGGTAGGCCATCCCTCCAGCGCTGGCACGAGCAGGTACTTGCGGGGCTGCATCTTTACTTTTATTATTATTATACCCAACAATAAATTTCACGCTGTGGGGCAGCAGTAAATCAACGGTTTATTGCTGAATGCCGTGCTAGCCTTCGGCTGTTTTCATCGTCCCGCGGTCCAGGCTGAGAGAGATATCACTTTCGAGGCATGCGGAGCAGCAGCAGCAGCAGAAGCACCGGCGGAGAGCCACAGGGCTCTCTCTCTCTCTCTGTCTGACGACTGAAGGAATCCCACGCGGGTTTCGGCCACATTCAGGACACGTGGGCATTTATTGCCGGCCTCCTCGGGGAGAATCGGTGGTGAACGGTGGATGAAAGTGAGCCCCCCCCCCCGCCAGAGTCTCATTCCCTCGGTCTCTCCCCTCCCCCCTCTTCCCCAGCCTTTTGCTCAGGACCCCAAGCAGCTCAAGGAGATCCCTGATTTATAGAGAGAGAGAGAAAAATACGTATTCATCGAATTTCATCCTCAAGTTCACGTCCTGATAAACGACAGAGCAACGCCATTAAAGTGAAAATGATTCACGCATCTCTCTCGTCGCTTGTCTGTTTACATATCTTTTTATTTTACCACTCGTCGGTATTTGTTTTCGTCCACAATTCATCTCACTTCATAAAAAAAATAACTTTAGTTACTCGGTATTTTTTTGGCGAAACTGGGCTCTCCACAACAACAACACCACGTACGCCACACTCCCCCCCACCCCCGCACCATCTCCCATCTCTCCGCGCAGTGTCGGAGTGGCCCGTCTCGAACCCGCACGCGAGCCGGGAGTTGCTCGCTGTCTGTGAACTTGACCCCTGGTGCCCCGCGCGCGGCGAGCGATGTTGCAGGCGGTTCTCGTGATTTGGGACTCTGTTTGGGTCGTCGCGCGCCGCTTCCCCGCGTCGACGCTTTTTGAGACTGAGCGGCGACGGCGGCGGCGTTCGTGCGAGCGAGTTGATGTGAGACGGGGCGCGGTGGAGTGGGGGTTGCCTCATTCGAGCGCAATGTGCGTGTGCTGCGTGTGGGAGCGGTGGTGTAGCGGTTAGCGCGCTGTGCTAGGAATCAGGCGACTCGGGTTCGATTCCCGCTCGCGGCCAACACCCAGTGACGATTATCTGAACCGGTCCTGGGCCTCCCCTAGGTCGACTCAGCCTCAAATGAGTACCCGGTGCGATGTGCAAACGTTGCTGCCAGGGAGACAAAGGCGGCCGGGCGCGGTGTTGGCCACCCCCTCGTGTGTCGTGCCGGCCTTCGTAGGTGCTCGCTAACAGAACTTGCCCCCACAGTCTGTTAAGGCTATACGGGGGATCTTTGTCTTTGCGGTAGCATAGTAGCGGTTAAGCGCCACGCTGCGCTCCGAACCCGGCGACCCGAGTTCGATTCCCGCTCACGGCCAACACCCAGTGACGGTTATCTGAAACCAGTTCTGGGCCTCCGCTAGGTTGACTCAGCCTCAAGTGAGTACCTGCTCCAATGTGTAAATATCACCTTTCGGGAGACAAAGGCGGCCGGACGTGGTGTTGGCAAACCACCCCATGGTGTGCCGTGCTAACAGCACTTTCCTCAACAGTCTGTTGAGGCCATAGTGAAATCGAACGTATTCCTGGCACTTTGTGTAAACAATCCGAGTTTCCCAAATAAGGGAGCAGTGGCTCAGTGGTTAGCGCATGAAGGCAAAAACCGAGTGCGGTGATTCTTAAGGGTGAATCCCGGCTACGGCTACCATCAGTGGCGAGTGAGATTTGGACCCGTCCCGCCCCCCCCCCCCCCCCCCCCGTCGTACCCCCACAGCTTCACCAACCTGCATTGACCAGTGTGGTGAAGTATGGACAGACAACAACTCAGCGCTGTCAAACGAGAGCAACATATTCCGTCTGTAGTGGTAACAACACTCACACCGTGGGTTGAACCTCTATAACACATTCCTGCGGAGGGAGCTGGAAGGAACGTTGGGTTGCTCTGGTCAATGGCCTGCAGGGTCAACGGCGATGTGGTGTATTCCGCAAATATACCCGACTGTGAGGGCGGACACAAGCCGGCGTGAGTAGGTTAAACGTTGAGTTTTATAAGGGCACCACGGGGTGACCAGCCCCTCCCCACCCAGCCCCTCCCCACCCTCCCCACCCAGCTCCTCCCCACCCTTCCCTCCCCACCCAGCCCCTCTCTCCCCACCCAGCCCCTCCCTGCACGACGGACGCAATAATCCCCTGTGGGCTGGTGTAACCAGGAGGTTCCTACCAGTATAAGCAGCTTGCTGTCGGCTTCTGTGGGGCTATGTTGTGGGCAAGCAGAGGGCAGTGGGACAACATCCATTGTGGTTGTGTTCTGTGCTCCCGCGCCTCTTTGCCAACCCGCTCTTCGTGCCACTGGAGCTGTGCACTTCTAAATTATTTGGATTGAAAACTCATTTCTGTAGAACCGCTTTTTGTGTTCAATTATTTTTGTCCTTCCCCCGGCACCTCCGATTAAGCGCGGGTTGTCTACGTACGGTGCGAAAGAAGTTCACCACACGCACGTCCGTATCCAGCAGCGGGGAGAGAGAACGCGTTTAGGCGCGCGCCTTGTTTCGCGGCACGTGCGAATAGCGAGTCGGAGGAGCCGGTGCGCCGCTGAACTACTCGGTCGAGCGTCGCTGTCTCGCTTGCTCGCTCGCCCCGGGGTCGCGGCCGCGATCACCACGACGACGGTCGACTCTGCGCCCGGAGTCTCACGGTGGCGATCATCGCTCTCTGTGTGCCTCCGCAGACGCGGACGAGTGCGAGGAGGATGCTGACGCCGTGTGCTGGCCGCACCAGTACTGCGTCAATTCCCACGGATCCTACTCTTGCCTGTGCGACCAGGGCTTCCAGAGCGCCGAGGAAGGCAAGGGATGCGTAGGTGAGGAATGGCCACTGACGCAGTCGTTTCTCAGGCCACGGTTTGTTTCGTGACGCTCGTTAAGGCGGGGAGGGGGGGGGTGAATCGCTCACTCGCGACGCGCTACTGGCGAAACGCCATACTCAAGATTGTAAATGTTGTGGCTTGGCTCTTCAACACACCGGTGTTGCTGTACTAGTATACTACACTATACACTACACTATATACTGCACTATACACTACACAACACATACACTATATACTACACTATACACTACACTATACACTACACTATACACTACACTATACACTACACTAGTACACTACTATACACTACACTATACACTACACACTACACAATACACTACACTATATACTACACTATACACTACACTATACACTACACACCGGTGTGCTGTACTAGTATACTACACTATACACTACACTATATACTACACTATACACTACACAACACACTACACTATATACTACACTATACACTACACTACACACTACACACCGGTGTGCTGTACTAGTATACTACACTATACACTACAGTATACACTACACACTAGTGCTGTACTAGTGACGAATTGGCCACGTTCTGTTCACGTGACAACCCTTACTAGTTGGCTGTGTCGGGTGGTGGCGGGTTTTAACGACACATTTATATATTTACGCGATCTAACCCAAAAAAAACCTCTATTCGGGAATCGCACGTTTACGGCTGACGAGCTCCACGGCTCGAGGAACGGAAACCGCGGGGGCCTTCGGAATCAGAATTTCTATTTAGACTTAAGGAATCCGACGAGCTATGAAGCTTTGAAGCCTTCCACCGTGGGCTGTCAAGGAGCAACGGAACGTCCGCGTGACGGCCCCATCGCACCCGGCGAGTTGAACCGGTCCTGGGCCTCCCTTCGGTCGACTCGGCCCCAAAACGAGTACTCGGTGTGGTGTGTAAACATCGCTCAAAGGCGTCCGGGCGCGTTGCTGTCCCCACCACCTGCCGGCCTTCGTAGGCGCCACTCGCTAACACCACTTGCCCCAGCGGTCTGTTAAGGCTACGCGGTGGGTGTGGGGGGGGGATCTTCGTCTTCGTTTGCGACACAGACGTGAACGAGTGTGAGCTGGTGGTCGGCGTGTGCGGCGAGGCGCTGTGCGAGAACGTCGAGGGGACCTTCTTCTGCGTGTGCGAAAGTGAGGGCGACGACTACGACCACACGCTGGGGCGCTGTCGGCCCCGCTCGTCCGCAGGTGCTCGCCCCACCCCTCTGCCTCTCCCCCTCTCCGCCTTCTACCTGTTCCTCCTGCTACCCCGTTGTTCCTTCCACCCGTTCCTCCTTCCACCTGTTCCTCGTTCACTCTTTCTGCCTGTTCCTCCTTTCACCAGATCCTCCTTCAATCTCTTTGCTTGTTGCTTCTTTCATTCCCTCAACCTGTTCCTCCTTTCACCCATTCCTCCTTCAATTCGATCCTCCTTCAATCTCTATGCTTGTTGCTTCTTTTATTCCCTCCACCTGTTCCTCCTGCCATCCATTCCTCCTTCACTCTTTCTGCCTGTTCCTCCTTTCACCAAATCCTCCTTCAATCTCTCTGCTTGATGCTTCTTTCATTCCCTCAACCTGTTCCTCCTTCCATCCATTCCTCCTTCAATTCGATCCTCCTTCAATCTCTCTGCTTGTTGCTTCTTTCATTCCCTCCACCTGTTCCTCCTTCCATCCATTCCTCCTTCACTCTTTGTGCCTGTTCCTCCTTTCACCAGATCCTCCTTCAATCTCTCTGCTTGTTGCTTCTTTCATTCCCTCCATCTGCTCCTCCTTCCACCCGTTCCTCCTTCACTCTTTCTTCCTGTTCTTCCTTCCATCCATCCACCTGTTCCTCCTTCCATCTCTCCGCTTGTCCCTTCCTTCTTTCCTTCCATGTGATCTTCCTTCTCCATCCTTCCACCTGTTCCTCCTGAAATCAGCCACAGGGGATGCAAAGGTGGGCAGACGTAATACCGGCCACACCACCCCTTCGTCCGCTGCGCCTGCCATCACAAGGTGCTCGCTGACAGCACTTGCCCCTACAATCACGGCTATACGGGAACCTTTGTCTTTGTGTGTGTGTGTGTGCTTATTTTATCATTGCAGAATTCAACGAGCCAATGAACCTGCACAGCCAAGCTGCCCAGCCAGGCACTCGACCAGGTGTTTGGAAACACTCAGAGAGACACAGACACGCACACCCACACAGACGAACACCACCGCTTTGACTCTCCGGCGCGTTTTAGTGTTTTTGGGTCGTACCGCGCGTTGTTTCGCTCGCTCCACGTGACCGGGAGCTCCCGAAGCATCTGCCAGGACTCGGAGCAACCCCCCCCCCCCCCCCCGGACGTCGTGCGGTACGGCGCTCGCTCGGGCACGAACGCGCGGTACGACCGCCAAACTGCGTCCGTGAGCTACGCGCTAAGCGCTGCCCCTGTACGCCGCCCGTTGCGCGGATGGCACCGCCGCTTATTCCGAGCGATCGTCGCACGGCGGCTCGGGGGAAGTGTCCGTCGCTCACGGCTCCCAGCTGATGGCGAGCAGGCGCGCGCGCGCAAAAGCGAACGTAACCGGATCCGGTTTCGCGACACGCCAAATAACCGCCGCTGAAATCTGTCTTGGGATGTTGCCGCTGCTCGATGAAGGCTCCCACGAGAAGACGGACGTTGGACAGCTTCCAGGCACGCAGAGGCAGCAGCAGCAGCAGCCTGGCGGTGCAGGTGAGTGACAGACGCGGCCTAATCGGACATAAGTGGCCTTTTGTTTTATTGATCATGGCCCCATCCCGTTGTGATGCAAACACGTGTTTGCAATGTATTGAGAGTTTCGTGAAGAAATAATATACAGCGATGCCAGCACAAAAACACACTCTACCATCGCTTGTTTTGGTTGTTCCGTGCATGTGCGCGAGTCTGGCGGTTAGCGCGCTGCGCTACATACGAGCCCAAAGACCCGAGTTCGATTCCCATTCACGGCCACCAATAGCAGTGGCGATTATCTGAAGCGGTCCTGGGCCTCCCCTAGGTCGACTCAGCCTCAAATGAGTACCCGGTGCAGCGCGTAAACATCGCCACTGGGGAGACACAGGCGTCCGGGCGTGGTGCTGGCTACCCACCCCTTCGTATAAATGGATCACCCTGCGTTTCCTGTTGCACAACAAGGCCCTCGCAAAGCCAACAGGTGGTCTGAACATTTGCGTTCAATCATAGTGAGCGGACGCAATTACGTCTTGTGTTGTTTTGCTTTCTTTGTCACGATGCCAGGATCGTGCGAACGTGAGGCCTTATGGTGCCAGTTGTAATTACTGGTGAAACGTCGTGCTCAGATTGTCAATGTTGTGGATTTGCTCTCCAACACACCGGTGTGCTGTACTTGTGGCGAATTGGCACGTTCTGTTTACGTGACAAACCTTACTAATTGGCTGTGTCAGGTGGTGGCGGGTTTGTCGACACATTTATATTTACGTGGTCTAACCACAAAAAAAGACCTATATTATGAACTTATTTTCTTTGACAATTTTTTTTTCATGATTATCCCAACAACTTTTTATTGTGAATTGAAATCATATCCGGCCGGTCTAAACATTTAATTTCCGCAGGAATTCATTAAAGCAGATTACATTGAAGAATAATAAAAACGGTAAACAAATTTCGTTCGGCCGGGCCCACCAGCCTCTGTGCGTTTGACGAGCTGCTGGGTGATCGTTCAGAGGAGCCGCGTAAGATCAGAGTGGGGGGGGGGGGGGGGTTGGGGGGGGATCCGATCCAGAGCCGTGTTTGTTGACAAACTGCCGGGGTCTGCAGGGAGAGTTTCGTAGACGTTTCACGTTCGCGAATTGTCATTCGCCCGAGCCGTGCGACGTCGGGGTGTGAGGGTGCAAGGGGGCAGCACCAAGTTTCGAGGAGACGCACGTCAGACTTCAACCCTGTAACCTTGAGGATAGAGATCCACACAGAGTCCTACAGAGACTCATCGACTCCGACTGCGACTTTTATTGTTGCGACTGGTGAGGCCCCTTTGAGCCCAGCAGCTCTTTTGCAAACACGATCACGGTCCAAGGCCGTGGGCAGTGGCGGCAGTTGCAGGACGTTGCTGTTACGTAGAGTTGCATAGAGATCCACAGAGTTACATCGGGACTCATAGACTCAGACTACGACTTTATTATTCCAGCCGGTGAGGCCCATGAGCCAAGAAAGTTATGTTGGCAGGACGACCTCCGTCCAAGGCCGGCGGCGGTGGCGGCGGCAGTTCCAGGACATCGCAGGGTGGCAATGTTCGAACTAACGAGAGCCGAAACGAACGTTCTTGCAGCAGGTCCCAGCCACAGTTTTGTGCAGAGGAATCCTGACGAAATGTTATCTTGCAAATCTGTGTTGCGTAACGATGTATAACTCCGTCACTTAAAAAGTGTAATCTATTGCGTTAACGCTGCATGCACCGAACGGCACGCGACGGAAGAGGTTGCTTGCGTTCGTGCAAGTTGCATGGAAATGTCCTCCCAGTGTTGGACTCAGGCTGATGGAGTGAACAAACCCGCAGGGGACGGGACACAAAAACAAAATTAAGCAACACTGAAGCGACACTAAAAACGATACGAAAATTGTCGAATAGAGAACCAAGTTGCAACCTGGAATCACGAGATTTTGTCGCGTCGCCGGTTTGGGTGAATTTAACCTCTGTTCTAGTATCTTGACATTTAAATAACGACATACAAATTGCAAATTGTGGCCTCGATTCAAGTTTAATCCGGGAATCCCCGCACCCTTTTTGAACCGCAGGTCAGCGGACACCGATTTCGTCGAGGCCACAACCAGGTAAGCGCCGATATTTTTTTTGGTTTGTTCGTAAATTGTACTTTTACACAAAACAACAACAACAAAGAGAAACTTTCGTACCCATTGAACGCGATCGGAACTCGGAATATGAGGCTGTCAGTTTTTCTCCATTTCTCACTTGCAGGTCACAGCTCGCACACGGACGGGCAGCAGACACACGGATCACCGTCGCGCACTCCGGACCCGCGGCCCGGTAACTCCCCCCTGCCCCCCCCCCCTCCTCCTCCTCAACGCGTCGCACACAGCGGCGGAGGCGGAGGAGCTCCCAACTGCGATGGCTTTGGTTTCCCTTCGGTTGAAGAGGATCGGCGAACCCGGACAGCCTGGTAATGTTGAGCGTGCCCGCAAACGTTTTCGCGGCGCATTTAACGATTTGCTACCGAGCCGCTGGTGCCTCTCCAACGCACACTGGCACCTTTGCTCGCGTGGCAAACTTCACGAATGGGCTGCGTGTCGGGTGGCGGAGGGGTTTGCCTACGCGCCGATCTGACTGATTAAAAATAAATGAACTCGGCTGTGAATCGCGCAGCGGCCCCACCGGAGGGGGTTGTTGCAAGGGCTCCGGGGTTAGTGGCGGCCGGATCAGGCGTTGCGTTGGAACGCGCAGCTACAGTGGGCGGGCTGCGGGTGGTGGTGGCGGGGGTGGGGTGGAACCCTGGAGAAACTCTCCTTCGGTTGCTTTGTGTTTAAACACGTGAACATCCTTCACGGGAACGGTCGCTGTGAACCCCGCGCGACCTTAACACGACGAGCGAACACACACTTGTCATTTTATTTCTGCACCAGCCCCTCCGGCCGCCCTCGTTGTGCGCCGTCGTTGGCGGCGATCGCCCTCCCGCAGGCCCTGCTGCTTTATTCCACAGGAGACACCTCTTGCCAAAAACACCCTTCCCTCGTACACCCTCAATCTGATATCGTAGGGCCGGGTGCACAAACCTCCTGTTTTCTTTTTTCACCACATGGTCCCAGGGATGGTGTAAATTTTCTTGAAGCACGACGAGCAGAGAGGAAGAAAATAAATAAAAAAACGTGATGATTTTTTTTTTGTTATTCAGGCCAGGAAATTCTGCGGCGTCTCGGCGTGCCATTCCGGCTCAGGGCCACAAACCCCGAGTGCACGTGAGGGAAGGGAAAAATAAATAAAAAGAAAAATAAAAAATGCGAGCCTTGCGCAAAATCCCAAGACGTCCGAACGATGTCGTCAGCGCATATTTGCGTTACGGCCCCTTTGTCATTCTACTGCTGGATGAGGGCCTCCCCTCAGCGCTGCGTGACTGACGGCTTCCTGTGATGATACACTTCCTCACCTCGGTGTGTGCTTGTTCACCCCACACCGTGATTCAGTTGCCACTCGCGATCGCCGTTGCTGAAAAACGAGGAATCGTCACAAAATGTTAGTTTGTAAATCAAATCTCAGTGCACTAACCACTGTGCCACCATTGCCCCCCCCCCCCCCCCCAATTAAATTTGATTCGTCAGAAGCTATGATCAATCCACTTCTGGATGAAAGCCTCCCGAAATTCGTTGCCACCTTTCACAGCCCTGCGATGTAACGAATCTATCGCCCGGGCAGCTTTCATCGATCTAATCTCCGCAGTGCAACCTGCTCTCTCTCTCTCGGGCGTGGCTCCCTCTCTTCACTGCCATTCTTAAATCTTCACTTTCGTATTCAGAACTGCTCTTTGTATTCAGCTAATTTTCCTTCCCCGACACGTCCCCTGAGCACGGTTGGTTACGTACGCTGCGAACGAAGTTCAACACGCACACGTACGTACATTCGGTCATTTGTCTCGACCGTTGGCCTTGAGGTTTGCTCGGCAGGGATACGCTCCACGGCGTCGGTTGCGATGAGAATGACGGTCGCGTTTCTCCGCTCTCTTCAAGGGAATCATGATCGCCAGCGAGGACCTGCTGTTCACACGGCTCAACGCGTTCACACAGGTATCGATCCCCTATTGGCTTCATGATGTGACGCCGAGAGATATTTTATGATTCCCCTGGTAAAGGTAAAGGTGCAGCCCTGCAGTTTATTTCTCGTGCGGTTGTTCAAGTAGAGCCCCCTCCACCCCTCTTCAGCTTACTTTTCCACGCCGGCCAGATGCCTTGGAAGGAATGGGAGTAACCCTCCACCGCACGCCACTTGCTGATCGTTTAATTTGCGGTCGCATGGGTGTCAACTTCTGCGTGGACAGATGCTGGCCAGGGAGGGATGTTGGAGGTGGTGGGGCGGTGGGGGTGGGGATTGTCTCACCTGCCGGGAGATCGAAACGACCTCTGGATTGCAAGTCAATTGCGCTAAACGCTACATCGCGTCAGCGGCATTCCGTTGGGAGAGGGGGGCGTTTGTCACATCGACAAGAGTGACCGTGATTCCTGCCGATGTGCCGCGCGCCAACACCACTGCGGAAATGTTTATTTTCGCCAAAAGAACCAACATAAAATGGCCTTCAAATTTATTTCATGATCGTAAATAACAATAATAAAAATGACGATGTAAAAAGTTTCGAAATGCCACGTGTTGAAATCATATTTCTTTATATCACGTGCCGGCGGCATCATAGCGCTGGCCTGGCTCGGCTCCAAGTGGAGTTCCCGTGCGGCGGATTTCACGGTCGCGTGTTTTATTTTCACCGCACAGCTCTCCCGGAGGGACACGGCCAGGCCGGCTCTGCCAATCCTCCGGCAGGCTCGCCGGCACGGCCCGGTGAGAAAGAACCCTCCCCCCACCCAATCCTCCCTGTTGCTATTATTTTATTTTATTTTTAAAGTACGTATAAAAAAAACCTCAACTAAAATTGAGTGATGTTTATAACGTAAATGTAATATTCTTACATCTTTTGCGTCTCAAGGAGCAGCAGCTGCTGCAGGCCGTCTATTTTTTGTGAAATTGTCGAAAGGAGGGTAGGGAATGGAGGAAGAGGGATGAGTTGACTTTTTGTGTTGTTCCAGATTCTGCCATCGGAGTTCCCAATCTCCACTCCACGGGATCGCTGCCCGGCCTCGCGTGGAGGCCAGGTACTTCGTTTATTTATTTTTTTTACAAATATATATTGCTTGGATACCTGGAGGATAATCCCTTGCGATCAGACGGGGCAATATCCTCACTTCGCAGGGGTGTCCAGGGTATCAGGTGACGGCACACAGAGCAAACACGTGATAACACGCGTTCAAACATGTTTGAATCTACAACATATTAGTGTGCGTGCTGCATGAACGTCGCGTACACTTTATTTTGCGTCAAGAACAGGAATGAGGCATCCGAGGCAGCTGTGCGTGAACATCCTTCCGGCCGCAAACACGCGATCAAAATCCAACAGCTATTTTAGGACTTTTTCACGATTTGGGGGGCTCGCGTTCCTAATACAGCCAATTGCAGGAATTGTTTCATGAATCTGTCTCGTATTTACCTGCCCGTTTGTATTGTTCCCGGTGGTGTTTGTTCCCTGTCCTGCTTGTCCATCGTTTTGTTCGCTTCCGTGAGCCAAAATGCCACGCGAGTATATCTGTTGCAATGTTTGCAACAATCGTAAATAATCGATTTTCAAGCGTACGATCCGATGCAAGTGTCAGTGTCAGAGTGGGCGCGGCCGTTATTGCGCGCTGCGATACGAACCCGGTGGCCCTGAGTTCGATTCCTGCTCGTGGCCGATGCCGAGCGACGATTATCTCAAACGCTCCTGGGCCTCCCCTAAGTCGCCTCGGCCTAAAGTGAGTAGCTGGTGCCGTGTGTAAAACCGTCGCTCGTCACCGCCGCAGGTTTTGCCGAAACGACGGAGAGGCACGGCGCGGTCGTCTTCCCAGAAGGCTCCGACAGGCGGCCGGGTGAGTGTCGGGGGTCCATGGTCCGTAGCCGGAGTTTATAGATCTCTTCCTTTTTCCTATCTACTTCCGCATCATAAACATATTACAATCATAAACGTATGATTATGATGATGATGACGCAGTGTTGTCAAATTATCGACATGCCATAGTGTGATTGTGGCCATGCAGCCCAAACTCTCGACCACACGGTAAACCACTGTGATATGTGCTCATTCAGCAGCGGTTGAGGCGCAGCGAAACGGCACGAACTCTTACCTCCTGACGCCCCATCGTCTTGGCCAGCAGATCCGGACATTTTTTGGCATTGATCCACGGAACAAATTGCCATCGGCACGAACAGAATCATAATCATCGCTATCATCATCGTCATCGTCCTCCTCCCCGTGCCTGTCCCCCCCCCCTCGTTGCCCCCCCCCTCGTCCCCCCGCCCCCCCCCCCCCCTCGTCACGCCCCCCCCCCCCCTCCCGTCGGTCGTCAGCCGCAGTGCCCGCGAGGACGGGAAGCTCTGGCCGCGACGAGCGCAAGGAGTGCTACTACGACGTGGACTCGGAGACCGCGTGCTCCAACGTGCTCGCGTGGAACGCCACCCGCGCCGAGTGCTGCTGCACCGCGGGCGCCGGCTGGGGCGTCGACTGCGCCATCCGGCCCTGCCCGCCCGCCGACACCGGTAACCGCAAGCGCCGCGTCGAATCCGTCGTTCCGGCCGCCGCCCGCCGGCCCGCCCGCCCACCCCACCGCCCACCCCACCCCCTTTCCGCGAGAAGCAACCGCGTGAGATGCGGCACGGCGAGCTAGCCGGGCGGCTGCGGCGTTGGTGGCGGTGGCTACGCTTGCAGGTGGCCAGGTAATCCACTGACCAACGGAGGCAGCGGCGGAGGAGCCGTGTACCCTGGCTTGCCGGCAGAAGGGCCGTACAGCGAATGCGGACTTCACACCCGTTTCCATTTGAGCGGAGTCGAGCGTTGGCCCCGTGTGCACGCGTGGGTTTTCTCCGCGCACACCAGTTTCCTCCCACATGTAAACGCTCGTTGATTGGCCGGTAATGCCTTCATATATATGTAGAGGACTGCAGAGCTTGGGAGGGAATTTGGTGTTGGATCACAGCCTGGTTTCCTACCTCGCTTGTCTGTGATTCTTCCTCGCACCGCAGTCTCTCTCTCTCTCTCTTTGAGAGTGAGATAATACTGGACAATAAATGCCACCGCATCTCAAGATGCTGTGCAGACACGGTGTGTTTATCGTGAGAGGAAGTCGGTCATAGGTCTCTGTGTGAGTCTATGGGTCCCTGTTGAGTGCCTGGGTCTGCATGTGAGTATATAGGTCTCATCATATACAGATCCAAATATTTACAGGAGATCCCATACACTTACATAGAAGCCCATAGACTCCCTTCGACCCATGCTCACCTCCGATGAGTACAGTTGGCTACGTACAGTGCGAAAGAGGTTCAACATGCATACACTTCGGGTTCCTAAGTGAGTTATTGGGTTCCCATGTGAGTCTATGGGTCTCCATATGGGTACCCATGCGAGCATATGGGTGTCTAAGCGAGTCTATGGGTGTATCTATGTAAGTGTGTGGTTGTGGGTTTTTCCTATGGCTTTCCGTGTGAGTCTATGGATCTACGTGTGAGTCTATGATTCTTTGTGTGAGTCTATGGATCTACGTGTGAGTCAATGATTCTTTGTGTGAGTCTATGGATTTACGTGTGAGTCAAAGATTCTTTGTGTGAATCTATGTATCTACGTGTGAGTTTATCATTCTTTGTGTAAGTCTCTACGGCTCTCCTTGTGAGTCTATGGATCTCCGTGTGAGTCTACGGCTCTCCGTGTGAGTCTACGGCTCTCCGTGTGAGTCTACGGCTCTCCGTGTGAGTCTGTGTATCTCCGTGTGAGTTTATGTATCTCCGTGTGAGTCTACGGCTCACCGTGTGAGTCTACGGCTCACCGTGTGAGTCTACGGCTCTCCGTGTGAGTCTATGGATCTCCGTGCGAGTCTACGGCTCACCGTGTGAGTCTACGGCTCTCCGTGTGAGTCTATGGATCTCCGTGCGAGTTTACGGCTCTCCGTGTGAGTCTACGGCTCACCCTGCGAGTGAGCCCATGAATCTCTTGTTTCTGCAGAGGAGTTTCGGTCGCTGTGTCCAGAAGGCAGAGGAAACATCCCGAGCCAGGACCCTGTCACCGGCAGGAGAGTCTTCCAAGGTGAGCGGCAAGGGGGAGGCACGCAGACTCGCGCAGTGAGTGGCACTCCCGCAGTGAGTGGCACTCATTACATTGTTATTTTGATCAATGCCCAGGGTCCCTGTGCCATTTTTTTTTCAAGACGATCTCAGTAGTTCTACAAACATAGAAGGAATAATTGGGTGCTGCTGCTGCTGCTGCTGCATTGGCAGTGGTGCACACACACAATTAAAGAGGAAGTGGCAGGAAAACAAACTGAACAAATGTGTAAATAACACCGTGGCCTTGAAAGGAAGAAAAAAAACGTTAAATTGGCGACATTTCAGGCAACGGCAGCCTTCTTTCTCATAGCACGTCGACATGTGCCGTGGATATGCGCGAAGCCAACCCATCGTCTCCGCGAAACGCCGCCGTCTGCTCTCTTAACGGTCTCAGTGGGGAGGCAGCGCCGGCTTCCGAGCCGACCAACCCCGCTGCCCCCCCCCCCCCCACCTTCTTCCCCCTCTGACGTCGTGAGTGAACTCGTCTAATTAACGGGCCGTAAAAATCGGATGTTTGCTAAGGATCTCGTTAACGGCTGCGCCACCGTTAATGAGTGGAAGCGGTGCGGGGTTTGTGGTGAAGGCGAGGGAGGGGGGGAGGGGAGGGAGGGGGCATCGCGCCCCATGTTCCACATTACGCGTGCTCCGTTTGCTCCCCCGCCTCTCATCGCCGGGGTTGGTTCACGTCGGCACGGTGTACGTGTGTATGCATGGTGAACTTCTTTCGCACCGTACATAGCCAATTGTGCTAATCCGATGTGTGGGGGGAAGGACAATAAACCCAACGCAAAAAGCAGTTCTAAAAAAAAAATATTCAATCTCGAGCAAAGCTCCAGTGGCTTCCTATTATCGGAACGAAGAGCGTTCCAGACGGCCACAGAAGTGCGTATGAAAGCGCGCGACAAGGTGACCGCCTTTGTTCCACGGCCAGCCAAAAGCCGCCGCCGTCGCCGCTGCCGCGAGGACGACCGGAGTCCGCGTGTTGGTTTATGGCTCCTGGGCGACATGAGCAGCGGGGTATCGTGCTTCAATTGCGGCAAGCAGCGAGGTACCGTGAGGTTGCTTCACGTCGACGCGGCGGGTGGTGGTGCACGTTTCCGGCCGTGCCGCGGCCAGTTGCTGAGTGAGAGGTCGTCGCCGGCTTCCAAGGGAAAGCAACCGCTCTCTTCCTGCGCCGCTGTGAAAGCGAGCCGGGCGTGACGCGATGTTTAACACCACCCGCCTGGCCAGCCTTCCTTCGCTTCCCTTCTTTTATTCATACCCTAACGCCCCTGGGCACGAACGTAGATGGGAGCTGCCGTACAATGATTTTCGCTCGTTCCCCCCCCCCCTCCCTCTCCATGCCCTCCCCCCACCCCCCTACCCACTCGAGGTTTCCCTCTCGTAATTTGATTAATAGTCTCCAGCATCTCCAGCTATAAACTGCTTCATTACCGATTACTATTTTACTTAGCGGATGAAGCCCACTTGAGCTATTGCGCAGAGGTGACCTAGCCACACGTGAGAGCTCATCCATCAGAGTGGCTGATATCATCATCATCATCATCATCCCCCGCGGGAACTTATGAGCAGCAGCCAAATAATCTCGACGCGCGTTGAATGTAAATGTGGAAGGCAACACTGGAGGAACACGGAGAACAATCCACGCGACCACGTCGGCAAGAGAGAGAGAGAGAGAGACAACACGTGAACTCCACACGTACAGCAGGCATCGCCGGGGTCATTGATCGAACCGACAACCTCCTGCGTACCAAACGAGGGAGGATAACATCTCCTCGCCCCATGTAAACTGCGTACTGGGCAATTTATGTGTGAGAAAAAAAGCGCAATTAACATAAGCGCAAGTGAATTTATCTGTGTAGCGATTTTCCTGAACAGCCTCGAATTCGCACGATGGAAAATACACCGAGGCATGCACTGTACAGAACATGTCACCCTCGTGGGCCGCCACCTCTCAAGCATTCTTCATGCGTACTCTTTACCCTTTAGACGGCAGAGTGGTGGACTTCCCCACAAACAACGCTCTCCTAATGTAACAACATTACTGAGGCCTTACAATAACATGCGGAATAGGCGACGTTTTTGGCAATGACCCTTCTTTGTAGCACAGATATATAGTAAAACAAAATTCTGAGTTGCTTTTTTGTTATTTGTGCTTGCGCGCACCACTGCCAGCGCAGCAGCAGCAGCATCTCCGGATAATTTGTTTAACTCCACTCTTAGATCGTTCGTCACGCGACAGTCGAACGGGTTATTTGTCATTCTCACAGCTGGAATGTAGCCAAATTAACCGCATGCAACGTGAAACAAAAGTCACCGAGACCGTCAAACTCTGCTACGCTTGAGAACCCGGGTCTAAACACGGGTGGCTGAAAACCCGGATTGGACCTCCGGATCTCTGCCGTGCCGGGACCTGCCCTGTGAGCCACCCCGGCTCGCCTCTCGGCTCTCCGCGACGCCGCACAACGACCGGCGTGCGGGAGGTGCGGACGTCTCTCCCCGCCGGTCAGATTAGTCACCACATTCGGCCGGCTTTTGTGCCATTATCAACGACCCCAATTGTACAAATTTGATAATAGCCCCGCGATTACAAAAATTGTGCGCGGCAAAAAATGTAATATTTCCTCATTTGTGCTAAGCGCGGTGGGAAGAGCCCTCTGCCGAGCGTGCAAGCTGCGGTTCCCTTTGGGCCAAATTGCCATGAGGCAATAATTGGCGTGCGCATGATGAATGGAAGTGGTGCGTTAGTATGCGTGTGTGTGTGTATGCGTGAGAGGGAGCGGTAGTGTAGCGCTGCGCTATGCACCCTGCGACCCGGGTTCGATTCCCGCTCACGGCCAACACCGGTGACGATTATCTGAACCGGTCCCGGGCCTCCCCTAGGTCAACTCAGCCTCAAATGAGAACCTGGTGCGGTGTGTAAACATCGCCACTGGGGAGACAAAGGCGGTCGGGCGTTGTGCTGGTCACCCACCCCCTCGTGTACCGTTCCGGCCTTCATAGGTACTCGCTAAACAGCACTTGCCCCAACCGTCTGTTAAGGCTTTACGGGGTTATGTGGGGGGAATCTGTCTGTGTTTTGCGTATGCAATGCATATGCAATGTGCATGCAACGTGCATGCAATGCTTATGTCATGTATTTGTTAACTTCTTGGTTTCGTATGCCACTGTGGAGGAGGAAAGCCACGACTGGTGTTAATGACTTGCATCTGTGCGGCGCTCGGGGGCCTTGTGTACATGTTGACGGAGCGCGCTGGGGGGCTCGCGGAAGGGCACAACAACAAAACGAACGAACGAGGATCTGGGCTTCTGCGAGCGTGGCTTCACACTCCGCCGCTCGGCAGCAGTGTCGCGTTACAGTTTTGCAAGCGCAGCTAATGATGTGGAGGGGTTTCTGCGTCTCTCTTCTCCCTCCGAGCTTGCGCAATTGACCTTTTGACGGCTCCACCGCTTCCCAGCTCCGCTTCACGCGATTAAACGTCGTCGTTTTTGCGTAGCCGTACAATTTAAAAAAAATAAAATCGAAGGCTTCCCTCTTCGTTTGGCGGATTAACCCGAGTCGCCGCCGCTCATTTTACAGATCGAATAGAAAATAATGAACCCCACCGACCCGTTTTATTTAATTTATTTCATCGATTTGTGTCTTGTTTTAACAACAATATATATAACAACGAACAACATTTTCGATGTCGTTTCGGCCCTGAGTAACGGTGAGAAGCCCTCGCGAGCGTGAGCGCCAATGCGCCAACACGACGCTCATTTTCGCGCAAAAGCACGGAGGGCATCGGCCGCTGCGCGTCACGGGGCGAGCGTCGAAGCTGCAGCAACGGCACCAAAAAGCTCCCGGCGCTAATTGTGCGAATAACCGGCGAGCTCGCGTCGATGAACCCCTCCGGCGCTCGCCGTCAAGCGGCCAGAATCGTACGGCCGTGACCCCGAGCCTTGGCGAATCGTCAAGGGCCCAACGTTAAGTTTCGCTTTAGCCAGCGGGTCACGTTAACATTCAGCCGAGCGTCCCCGAAGGGAATTCCGCGTTGGGCTACGTTGGCCCGCCAGAGGGGGCATCGTTTTACATCCGACTGCGGCTCGTGGGGTCCCGACCGGGCGATGACGTGAGCGTCGCTCCGCGGGAGGTGATGTAAGATGTCAGACTCGTGGCTCCGCTTGCACAGGTACAGGTGCGGGGGCAGCAGATGCGCAGGGTTCGGTCGAAGAGCGGGGGGCCGCCACCGTTCGCCCTCGAGCCCCCGGGGGGCTCCGGCCGCGTACACAAACGGCCGGTATCACCGCCGTGCCGGCGAGGCTTGTGACCTCGCGAGACCGGCCGCACGACCGTAATTTTGTCCATGCTCGATTTAAAGCTTTCGTGACTGCAGGGATTCATCTTCTTGGTTTTTTCGGTAAAGCCACGTAGAAGGGAAGTAATAAAATAATAAAAATAAAACATAATAAAATAATTCTCACGACGTTTCGGCTGCTTGCGTTGTGGCCGAAACGTCGTGAGAATTATTTTATTATGTTTAATTTTTTTATTATTTTATTACTTCCCTTCTACGTGACTTTACCGAAAGAACCAAGAAGATTTGTCCATGCTGTCGTCCTCATTGGTGCGTGCGCGATATGGTACACGGTCGTTCATGTGCATCCTGGTGGCCACAGGGGTGGTGAGTGTGTCGCGCTGTGAACACGGCGGACCCGAGTTCGATTCCTTGCCACGGCGAATGTCAGCAAGTATCCCCACACCCCACTTCCTTCACCAACCCGTACTGACCAGTGCGGTGAAGTATGGTCAAACAACCCAAAACACCCAGTGACACTTGACGGCCTGCATCCAACAACAAAATGACAACGGTCTACATATTGTTATTATTATAATTATGACATTTTTGTCTTTCTATGTAGAATTTTACACGCGTTAATATTTTTTGGCCGGAACCGTGCTCCCACGTCGGTGTGAACCAACACGATACCTCGCTGCTTCCCACACATGAACCACGAAACCTCGCTGCTTCCCACACATGAACCACGATACCTCGCTGCTTCCCACACATGAACCACGAAACCTCGCTGCTTCCCACACATGAACCACGATACCTCGCTGCTTCCCACACATGAACGACGATACCTCGCTGCTTCCCACACATGAACCACGATACCTCGCTGCTTCCCACACATGAACGACGATACCTCGCTGCTTCCCACACATGAACCACGATACCTCGCTGCTTCCCACACATGAACGACGATACCTCGCTGCTTCCCACACATGAACCACGATACCTCGCTGCTGGTTTCGTCAAGAAGCCACAAATCATCACGCGAACTCCGGCTATCTTCGCAGCGGCGGTGGCGGCTTTTGGCTGGCCATCGAACAAAGACGGTTGCCTTGTCGCGCGCTTTCATGCGCGCCCTTCTGCGGCCGTCTCGAACGCTCTCTCTTCGGATATGAGGAAGCCACTGGAGCTGTGCACATCTATATTGAAAAGTAACTTCTTTAGAATTGCACTTTGTGTCCTTCCTCCGCACGTCCGATTCGCGCGATTGGCTACGTACGGTGCGAAAGAAGTTCAACGTACGCACGTGCGTACACGGACGTTCGCTCGCTCCCTATCGGCGGACGGTTGAGGAGACGCTCGAGCGAAAATCTCCACGCGTAGCTCGTCATGCCCGCTGTTGCTGCAACCCGAGCCGGTTGTCCAGCGGAGAGAGCGTTTATTAAATCCCGGGAGCCTCCTTGATAATTGGTTTATATGTTTTTCCACCGAATGAAGCAAAATAATCGCCGCGGCGGAAGCACGTGCGAGCATCGTTTTGCCAGCTGTGTAGCCGCTTCGCAATCGCTGGAGAGCTTCTTTTAAGGGAATTGAACTCGAAGCTAAGGGGGGATACAAACGCTGCATGATCAATGTTTTGACTGATGGCCCTGAACCACACGCACGCACGCAAGAAGAAGAAAACAAGTTTACCACCAGCAAGAGTACGGACGCACGGATAGGTCAACCGTGAAAGAGAACAGACGCGAAAGATAATTATCTAATCATTTTATTAAAGCAATACATTGCACGGCGAGGTTGCCGGTTTGGCTCAGGGGTGAGATCGCCGAGCCAGCACGGATGAGGGGCACGGGTTTGTGATTCTGGTTTCAGCCGTCCAACCGGGATGGAATCTTTCAGGTTCCCACGCGCGGTGAGGGAATGGTCTCGGCCCGGTCACCAATGGCTCCGCACGTTACATTTACGTATTCTCGTGACCGCTTTTTCAGGAAAGTCCCGTCAAGGTTTTGCAGCACTGGGCAAATTTGGACCATGGCTGGCTGCTGCTGATGATGACGACGACGACGACGATGCCGATTCTGAAACTCGGTGGTTTCGCCGACTTTGTCGCGGCGACGCCGCTGGCAACCGGCCAAGCCGTCCGTCTTGCCGTTTTGTCTCGTGTGAGCAGACGCCGATGAGTGCACGCTGTTCGGACGCGAGATCTGCAAGATGGGACGCTGCGCCAACTCCCGACCCGGCTACACCTGCCAGTGCCAGCCCGGCTACTTCTACAACGCCGTGAAGCTGCAGTGCCTCGGTGAGCCGGCGAGGGCGCGGGGGTTTGGGGTGGGGGGTGCTGTCGCGATCGCTCCACGGCCACGCGCGACACAGGACATCGGACGTCGCGACGTCGCGTCAAGGCGCCACCGGTCCACGGCTAACGTCACTTTGCAAATGACATTTGAGCCGGTCCCTTCACCAACTGGCGCTTGCCAATGTGGTGAAGTATGCGTCGTTGGGGAAGTCTTTGCTCCAACGTTGGATTGACAGGGCCGCAAATGTACGACATTTGCTTTGAGATGCTGTGCCATTTAAGAGATTAATTGATGCAAATAATTATCCTCATCACACCACCACGCTCATCCTCTGCTCCCACATTCTCACTCCACGGCTCCCACACGCTCTGCAGGCGGCGTACGCCACGATTTCACTCACTCACCCATTCTGCGCCATTTGACCCTCTCCGTCTCCCCTGTCTCTCGTTTCCCGTTCTCGCTATCGCTGCTTCCCGCCACCCCCCCCCCCCCCCCCCCGTTCTCTCCTTCGCTCTCTTTCGCTCTTCCTCGGACAAAGTAGCGAGGAATTCGACGGTAAGAGTCGCTAAATCCAAATGTCGCTGACAACTTCATTTGCAGGGATGGATTTTTATTTTTTTCAGTTGGTCGCTCGATCATCGTCTCACTTAATATTTCAAATCCAGTTTTTTTTTCTCCGCGCCTACGGCGTTTGGTCGCGCATTGCAGATGGGGCCCCTCTTTTTTCTCCCGTTAAACACGCACATTGTAGTTTTTTTGTGTTTTGCCCTCGCTCGAATCGTTAATTTACATTTGACCGTACCGCTGCCAAAGACTTGTCAGATGGATAGGGTTTCTAACAGCGTATCGAGTAACCCTCAGTGAAATGTTACATTTCAGTCTTGGAAACCACCAAGGAGGGGTGGTGGGGGGGTGGGGGGTGGGGGGTGAGTCGAGTCCTCTTTTTTTTTAACCTCCCATTCCCCACGGCGGAGGACGTTTCAGCCACCATCTGAAACCGTTCAGGGGGTGGGGAGGTGGGGGGGCCTCCGTGGCTCGGACTTCCACGGCCGCATTTTTTCACCAAACCGCAGCTACGCTCCGGCTCGGCCTGGCCGGGCTGGGCCGGGCGTGGACGGGGGGGGGGGTCCAGGCTGCCGGACCGTGCACCGGGCCAGCTTCCTCTCCGCGGGGGGACGCGTCTTGGCTCGCGTTACCCGCGGCACATTTTCGCCATTCATGTAATTGTGTTGGTTTTTCCACGGTTCCGTGAAGCTATGTGTGTGCGCGCGGGCGCACGCGCGCGCGTGGCTGTGTACGCGCGTGTGCGTGCGTTTGCGTGTGCGTGTGTGCGTGTTTTTGTTTTGGGGAACGGTGGCGCAACGGTTAGCGCCCTGCACAACGAAGGAACCCGGCGACGCGAATTTGATTCTCGCTCGCTGGCCAACCAACACCAGCGACGATTATTTTAACATTTTCCTGGGCTTGCCCTAGGTCGACTCAGCCTGAAATTAATATCTGGTGCGATGTATAAAAAAAATCGCCACTGAGGAGACAAAAGCAGCCGTGCGTGGTGCTGGCCAACCACCCCCTCGTGTGCCGTGCCGACCTTAATAGGTGCTCGCTAACAGCACTTGTCCCAACAGCTTAAGGCTATAACGGGGATCTTTGTCTCTATTTGTATGTATGTGTGCACGTGACTGTGGGGAGCAAAAGTGTTGTGGCTAGCGCACTGCGAAATGAACCCGCCGACCGGAGTTGGTCTCCCGCTCGTGGCCAACACCAGCGACGAATGTGAATGGGTTTTGGGCCTCCTTGAGGACCTGGCGTGGTGTGTAAACATTAGCACTGGGGAGGCAGCCAAGCATGCTGCTGGCCACCCACCTCCTCTTGTGCCGTGCCGGCCTTCGCTGTCACTCACACAAAGACAAAGATCCCCCATGTAGCCTTTTGAACAGACTGTCAGGGCAAGTGCTGTTTGGCCGGGCGCCATGCCCGGTCGCCTTTGTCTCCCAAGTGACGATATTTACACACCGCACCAGGTACTCATTTGAGGCTGACTCGACCGAGGGGAGGCCCATAAATGGTTCAGATAATCGTCACTAGTGGCAGCCGTGAGCGGAAGTCGCCGGGTTCGTAGCGCAGTGCACTAAACGCGACACTGCCGCTCCCCACACACTCCACACACTTGGCCACACACTCACACACAACAACAACAACCGCCATTCGCCACTAGGTGGCGGTGATGTCACCACGGCGCTTGTGCCAGGCTAGGTGCACGTTGAGGTCACGTGAAGTGTTTAACGCCCGCTGGCAGGTCACGGGGGCAGACCCAGGTGCCACAGGTCGACTGACTGAGATGGCCGAGATGACTGGCTGATGCACCACCTGTGCCCCCTACTGTGCCAACCACAACTCACACACACACGCACATACACACTCATTACACTTTGCTTACCACACTCAAACATTCGCTCACCACACTGCAGGTCACAAGACATCTATTTCTGCCTTGCCCCCCCCCTCGCACTGCTCAACTCTTCCTCCTCCCATCATCGTCTATTCTTTCTCGAGTTCTTCCGATAAGCTCGCTCAGTTCAATGAACGCACTCGCTCTTATCTATTGCGCCTTTAGTAGCGCCGTCGCGTGTTCGCTGTGCGCGCTTGGCGTTCCCAGCCAGCCAGCTCTCCTCAACATCCGCGGTTACAAAAACAAAAAACATCGCCGGACAATTTCCACCCCCCCTCCCCCAAATTCAACAACAACGCGACGAATCGGAAACGCGATTTCACAACAACAATACGCGCGGCCGTCATTTTTTTTTACAATTGAATCCCAGCGTTTAATAAAATAAAATAAAAATGTAATATATATATAATAAAAACACATTGACCCGTAACAATTAAACGGCTCGTTTAAGGAAGCCTGGGCGCGGATCCCTGAGTCAGAAAGCGACTCGCGCACTGCGCCCGTTAAAACAAACAGCGAGAGAGAGAGTGGGTGGTGGGGTAAGGCGGCGCCGTGGCTGCCAGGGAGTCAACGCCTCGAGGCCCCGGGTCTGCACTTCAAGATTTCGCTCAACAGAGACCCCCACCGAGAGAGAGAGAGGGGGGGGGCGGGGGCTCGCTGGCGCCACGGCCCCGACGCTTTACGGCCGCTGTGCTATGCGCCCGGGCTTAACGTGGGAAGAGCGATGTTGGCGTGGGGGGGGGCAAGGGTGGCGCGGTGGGGGGTTGCAAGGATGGCGTTGGTCAGGAGATGCCGGAGGAGGAAGGTCAGAGAGTTTGTTTTCGGCAGGACCTCCAGCAGGAGCCGTAAAGAGTCTTTAAAAAAACACACACAGAGCGTGTCATCGTTGTTCTGCTTTGGCTTAACGGTCGGGACGCGCTGGTACTGTGGAACCAGAGGTCGCCGCTTCCATCGATTTGATATCCTGACGACGCAGTTCAGGCGACGGAGCGAGTTCCTTTCAATCCTCCCGTGCCGCACTCGTCCACCCAGTGGTCTAGACGGGGTCGCGGCGCGCGCTCAGTCGACGGTCCATCGGCAGGTCGCGTGTGGTCGGCATGGAAGAGAAGGCCAAATACACTCTAGAGAAAGTGGGGGGGGGGGGGTGGTGCTTTCTAGATCTCCCGAGCAAAGGCCATCACTCGCGCCAGTGGGTGGCGCAAGCGAATAATAACAATCATTTCACGGCTGCACCTTTCCCTTCAACAACCGTCGCACCGGCCACAGAACCACGGGCCCCATCGTCGGCACGCACCGTCAGCTTCCTCCACAAGCGCCGCCCGCGATTCTCCCGCTGCACGGCGCGGAGGCCGCGAGAGTCGAGGCGTCGTGGGCGGCGTGGGCGGCGATGCGTCGACCTTGTCTTTGGCCCCGGTTTATTTTTCGCCTGCCAGGGGGCTGAGCGGGCAAGTGGGCGAACGAGCGAGCGAGCGAGGGGCCAGCGCTGCGTGAGCTAAAAACCGGGCTCATCTCCTAGGAGTCCGATAAATAAAGCGTGCTGTCAAAATAAATAATCCCATGCGCGTGTTTAATTGAATATTTACTGCACATTTGGTTTGGCTTCTTATTTTTTTTGCAAACGGTATGGATTTGAATTCTTAAAATGTTTTGTTGTTGCGAAATTTAATAGAAATATACAATTACGTACATCTGTGAGCTGTGGTCCAGTTTCTGATCCACATGTCATAGTAGGTAACACACACTGATTACGCGCATCTGGGCACACCGTGCACGTTGTTTTTCATTATTATTTCAAAAGCGACCCCAAACTTCCTCTCGTCCACCTCTACGGTTCACCATTTTGATCCCCAGGTTCCACCTTCGGTAGCTGCCCTAGGTGCGCATGCTGGGCTCTGCCGCGTTCCTCCGCCGCGTTCCTCCGCCGCGTTCCTCCGCCGCGTTCCTCCGCCGCGTTCCTCTGCCGCGTTCCTCTGCCGTGTCCCTCTGCCGCGTTCCTCTGCCGCGTTCCTCTGCCGCGTTCCTCTGCCGCATTCCTCTGCAATTGTTCCTCCTGCCGCGTTCCTCTGCCGCATTCCTCTGCCGCGTTCCTCTGCCACGTTCCTCTGCCGCGTTCCTCTGCCGCGTTCCTCTGCCGCGTTCCTCTGCCGCGTTCCTCTGCCGCGTTCCTCTGCCGCGTTCCTCTGCCGCGTTCCTCTGCCGCGTTCCTCTGCCGCGTTCCTCTGCCGCGTTCCTCTGCCGCGTTCCTCTGCCACGTTCCTCCTGCCGCGTTCCTCCTGCCACGTTCCTCTGCCGCGTTCCTCTGCCGCGTTCCTCTGCCGCGTTCCTCCTGCCACGTTCCTCCTGCCGCGTTGCTCCTGCCACGTTCCTCTGCCGCGTTCCTCTGCCGCGTTCCTTCTGCCACGTTCCTCCTGCCACGTTCCTCTGCCGCGTTCCTCTGCCGCGTTCCTCCTGCCACGTTCCTCTGCCGCGTTCCTCTGCCGCGTTCCTCTGCCGCGTTCCTCCTGCCACGTTCCTCCTGCCACGTTCCTCTGCTGTGTTCCTCTGCCGCGATCCTCTGCCACGTTCCTCTGCCGCGTTCCTCCTGCCACGTTCCTCCGCCGCGTTCCTCTGCCGTGTTCCTTTGCCGTGTTCCTCCTGCCACGTTATTTCTTCAGCGTTCCTCCCGCCGTGTTCCTCCCGTCGTATTCCTCCTGCCGCATTCCTCCCGTCGTGTTCCTCCTGTCAATACCTCGAGATGTTTCGTGGGCTCGTCGTACGAGACTTTTTGGTTTTGCTCGTACTTAATCTCAATCCCTGCTTTGCAGCCTTCCTTGTTAATCTCTTCCATATACATTTTTGTAGTTCATTTCTATTGGACGTTTTAACGACTATGATACCAACAAATCAAATCTGAAGGTGGTTAACATCTTCTCCGCTCATCTCTTTATCGACACCAGCTGGAGCCTCGTGTAAATCACGTGACTTCTGTGAGCACCACTTTGTGGGGGGCGGGGGGAGGAGGGGAGTCAACGGTGGTTGCCCTGCGGACAGACTCACCCCCGCCACATGAATGCGGAGTTCTCACGGGGAGACCCACGCGAGCCGGCGATCGAGTTCGACTGCGACCCCATTACATTTGTTGTTGCGCCCCTCTCCCCCCGCGCGCGGGCGGCCCGGACAACCGCAGACATCGACGAGTGCCAGAGCCCCGGGAGCTGCCTGGACGGGCAGTGCTACAACAGCGAGGGCAGCTACAACTGCTTCTGCACGCCGCCGCTGGTGCTGGACGACACGGGCAAGCGCTGCGTCAACCGCAGCGGCCCCGCCGGTACGCGCTCCGCACCAGAAGCGACGAACGGCGACGCAAAGTTGAGGTGGCGTGGGAGGTGGGGGGGGTGGTGGGGGTTGGGGTGGTGGGGGTTGGGGTGCAGCAGAACGGAGGGGAGCTGTTGCCGATCGAACGCGCCAAGCCTCGAGTCGGATTGATTTAGAAAGGAAGGTCAATAATGGCTCGAGCCCTCCCGTTGACCCAAACGCTTACCAACGCGACCCATTCAACCGCCTGCTGCACGTACGTGTTGTCGAACTTCTTTCGCACCGTACGTAGCCAACCGTGCTCGTCGGAGGTGCCTTACTAACCTTCTAGGCCGACCAGCCATCCAGCCACGAGTACTCGTCCTCCCGCCGATCCGAATTCCTAGCCTTAACCATCGCCCCGGCACAAACACCCCCACGGCAACCTCCAATGTCTCCCCTCAGCCTCCCCTCCCAAGGTTAAGCCCCTGCTCCCTGCCCCCTGCCCCCTACCCCCTGCCCCCTACCCCCTGCCCCCTGCCCCCTGCCCCTTGCCCCTCCACCGCACTCCCCACAACTCAGCCCACGGCGTTGAGCCCCCTGCTTGGACCCCATCGTCGTGCCGCGGTGGACGTTCCTCCGCTGTCCGAGGCGGGCGCGCTGATTTAGGAGGTTTGGATCGGAGAGAGAGACCCCCCCCCCCTCCGGCGGGGGTCGTGCCGAGCGCTGTCGATCGATCTGCGTTAGGGCTTGCGCTGGGTGGGGGGGGGGGGGGCTTTCTCCCGACGTTAGCGTCACACTCCAGAGGCAAATGACTCGGTTTGCTGACGATGGGCAGTGGCGTACGATCGTATGTGCTTAGTCTAAGAGAGCAACGTGTAGCTCTCGACTGAGTGTACCAACCTTGCCTTATGAGTGTACCAATCGACCAGCAGGCAGCTTAACACAACGGGACTTGTCAGTGGGAACACTTACAGATTGGCCAGTACAGCCACCTGACCAAGCCGGGTAATCATCCTGGGATAGCCGGGACGGGCGGCAACACCCTAGCGATCTACGTCTGAAGATGGGCCATTTCTCGAAACGTCACCTATTTTACGCGTATATATTCACTGCTAGAGTCTCACACACCGGTGTTGCTGTTGAGTTTGCGTCACGGGAGGGATGTCCGATGGCCGTGTGTGACCGCACCGCCCCCCCCCCCACCCCCATCCCCCACCCCCGCGCAGACGAGCACCTGGACAACGTCCACGTGGACATCTGCTGGACGGAGCTGTCGCGCTCCTTCATGTGCAGCAAGCCCGTGGGGCGCCAGACGACCTACACGGAGTGCTGCTGCCTCTACGGCGAGGCCTGGGGCCCCGAGTGCGCCTTCTGCCCCCCCAAGTCCTCAGGTGCCGGCCTCTGCTGACTCCCAACGGGGTGGGGTGGGAAGAGGAGGGGAGCTTTGACTAATGGCTGCGTTGGATGGTTGGGTGGGATTAGTGAGAAATGCTGCTGTATGGTTAGTGCTAGTGTATGATTAGCTAGATGGCAATTTGGTGACGGTCAGTAGGGAGTGATAGTGCTAGTAAGTGGTTAGCTAGATGGCTAGTTGGTTAGAGTCAATAGGGAGCGATAGTACTAGTGTGTGGCTACCTAGATGGCTAGCGGGTTATATATATTTGTTATTACATATGTATCTTTCCTGTAAGTGTAAGAACAAAAATCCCGTTTTATACTTTTTAGTTTTTGTTTTATCAACCCAAATGTTGCTCATTGTGCGAGTGCACCCAAGCGGCACCTTGACCGGCGCGTTTCGCTAACGATGCTGCGTGGAAGAGTTGGCGGTGCCCAGTATTTGTCGAACGGTGGAAATTACTTCATTGGGAAACTCGACCTTGTGCCATGGAACGGGAGGGGGGGTGGGGAGGGGAGGGTGGAGGTGAGAGGGGGGTGGGGGGAAGGGGGGGGTCAGTCTCGTTCGCCGTTGCGACACCGCCAAGGCCAAACCCGTCGACGAACCCGCCGAGCGGTTGCATAAATAACACGCGGAACGCCGTAATTGTTTTAATTGGCAATCCCCAGACCCGAGCGCATGAAGCCAATCGCTCTGAGTTCCTCCACACCTCAAGAGTCACGCGGCAAACCGGCAGAGAAAGCCGGAGAATTCCGGGGGTCGAATAAACAGGCCCTTGGCTCGGGAACTCGAACTGCGTCGCCGACAATGCTACGAGCGCCGCGCGGTTAACCGAACGAATTTCCACGCGGTATCTTGATGGAGTTCCCCAGCCAGCTTTCTGCGGTTGGCGTGCGTCCCCCGCGGCTTTCCAAAACGTTTCAAAACACGCGAAAATTGGTTTTCGCGACGGCGAGCGTCGGGCAGTATTTCCGCGAATTAACTTCTCTCACATCGGCGATGGGTGGCGTCGATGTTGGGTGGGAGGAGGGAGATGGCGGTTCGTTCACGTTCACCTCGAACGGCACGCGGTGCGAAAGTTCCCGCGTTGACATCGTCATCGTGCCGTCGAGTCTCCGCGCCGACGCGACGTAAAAATTCCGCTCCGGACCGCAGCGTGGAATTCTTTTAGCTCTTTTTTTTTTTACCCCTACTGCGGTCCACCGTGGCCAACTTTTTTTTATTCTGTAAAAAAAATATTTATTCGAGCGATACAGATTCTATTTTCGTTGGGTTTTTTTTAAAGAAATGAATTCCGTGACTTTGTGCCACGCGGGCCATGTTTCGTGGGTGGGCTGGGTGGGGGAGGGATGGGGTGTGGTTGTTCTGCATGCCTACTATGAGTTAAGGGCAGCTGTGGGATTTCGTCTCTAATTGTAAAATTGAAATTGCTCTAAATTAATTTAAAGCGCGCACATTTGGATCTGAATTGAAATACAGTACGGTCGCATTTTCATTTCTGGCAGCGCATCCACGTCCATCGCCGCTTGCTTTGCAGTGACTCATAAGTGTCCCAGGGTGACTTCACCCTGAACGCGTGCAGTGTCCTCAGATCTGAGAAGCTAAGCAGGCTTGTGCCTGCTCGGTACTTGGATGGGTGGCCACCACCATGGCTTGCCAGGTGTTGTAGGCGTGACGGGGAGGGTGCGGTGGGGGGAGGGGAGGTGGCCAGGGTATGGCAGTGCTGAGTGTCACCCTCTTAGGTACAGGGCGGTGGGTTTTCTCCGGGGTCTTTCCGTTTCCTCCCACGTCAAATCAAACGCCCATGAATGAAGTTGGCCAAACGCCCCGAGATCCCAATGTAGCAATGGCACCTCCTCAAATCAGCCTCGAGACACGACGAGGCTTTCCTGGACAATTAACTGATGGCCATTCTCGCTTACCATTGACCATGACGCAGGAAGTCACAAAATCCCAACTCTGGACACAGCCGTCGGAAGAAAAAAAACGCAAGCGTTGCAATATTTGTTTTTGGAATTGCTACCAGCAGCAGCAATGCTCCTAATAATTCTCAGTTGCACCCGAGTCAGCTGCGCGAAGCCAAAAGGTCAACTGCGAGAGGTCGCTCGCTGGTGTTTGGTGTTTGTTGTGAGGCGTCGTCCGTGGCCACGGGGGTGGGGTGGGGGGGGGGCGGCGGGGGGGGGGGGGGTGTTGTGACTGCCCTTGGTCTTGAATAGCTTTGTGGAATCGCCACCGATGTTCGTGGAGCTGGCACCGCCTAAACGCCAGGCGCGGCAGAGACAACTGAAGCCGAGAAAACATTCTTGAAGCGGATACAAAGGAAATTGAAAGCACACTTCGTGTGGACATTTGTCACGAGCTTCCAAAAAGTGCGTCACCGCTGAGCGTGCCGTTTTGTTTTCCGCACGTCGGAATTTTGGCCGCATCGTTTATCTGTTTATTTCCTTTCTACAACTTCCAAGGACGCTCTTCAGGTTATTTTAAACATCTGATGTTATTTCACGATTCCCTAATCGGCACAGAGAGGATGCGATTGTCTCATATTATATTTTTTTGGCCCGTTATTAAAATTGCGATATTTAGACTTAGCTTTTTGTCAATCCATTTTTTTTAAGTTCACGTTTGGATTATTTTTTTTTGGAAATTCCGCGTCACGTCTAATTTTTTTCTCTCCACCGTTTTTGTTTTGGCTGACGTTCAAAACTCGAACGTTGTTTTTTTCGGTTTGCCCAACCGCTCACGGCCCCCTTTTCCTTTATTTCTAAAACCTCGTCGCCGGTGGCCTCATCCGGATCATCTCTTTGATCACGTCACACGTGGATCTCGCTCCGCTCGCGATCGTACCGGCGGGGAAAGTTGTCAAACGCCACCGTCGTCGTCACGGCCCCCCACCCACCCCCCTTTGCCCCACCCCCTTCGACTTGCACCAGGATCCGCAAACTTGACGGCGGCTCGCGGCTGCCCCTTTAAGTCCTCGGTTTCGCTTCAAATTCCACGCTTTGCAGGTGGCCGGGTTGGCAGCAAAAGGTCAAGTCGCTGACCTGGGTTCGAATCCAGATTTTAGCCGGGGCCCGCGATTAAACCTCCTTCACGAGCGTTGCGAATCGATGCCTTCTCGCCGGGTCGCCAAATATGACTGCACACAAAAACATTCATGCTGAGCATAACTGACTCTGTCTGTTCCTCGCATAAGTGGGGCGGGCGCTCTTAGTCTCTCGGTCTGCGGCGATTAAAGCGGTCCGCGCTGCCGCCGCCGCGTGAATTCTTCACTCTTGTCCGCGATGACGAGTGCCGTACCGGCGATGAGCACCGTACCGCTGATGACGAGTAATGACGAGCCATGATGAGCACCGTATCGGCGATGGCAAGTACCGTTTCCGGCGGTGACGAGTGTTGTACCGGCGATTACGAACGATGACCAGTGCCGTACCGGCGATGACGAACGCCGCGAAGCGACCCAGAGCCCCCGATCGCGTGCGACCGCTTCGTGCATTTCTGGCGCCAACAGCTGGCACGGACATTCCTCAACTTCTCTGGGAGTTATGAGCCGTCGGCCAAGCTTAGAGATGCTGAGCTGGCATCGCCGAATCCCTGGGACCCAATCCGGGTTTTGGCCGTCCCCAATGATTCAGCTGGGCACTCCAGTGCGGTGAGTTGATTATCTCAGCCTGGTTACAGACAACTGCGCGCAAAATATCATCGCGTTTTAATTTCGGTTTTCACCTAATTAGGATGAAGTCCAACACCAAGGATGACAAAATATCAGTTTAACACGTAGGCTTTCACAACCAAGTTCAAAGGGCTCGCATGATGTACGTTGCATCAGTAATCCCCCCCCCCCCACCCCCCACGTGATGCAAAAGCGCAGAAGCGTGGTCCCCACATTTACGCCTCTATATAAGGAACGAAACAGTTGGACTTCTCCTGATGAAGCTAGTTGTAATTATTGGCGAAACGTCGTACTCCGTTTGTAAATGTTGTGGCTTGGCTCTCCAACACACCGGTGATGCTGTACTAGTATACTACACTATACACTACACTATATACTACACTATACACTACACTATACACTGCACTATACACTACACTATATACTACACTATACACTCCACTATATACTACACTAGTGTTGTACTAGTGACGAATTGGCCACGTTTTGTTTACGTGACAACCCTTACGAGTTGGCTGTGTCGGGTGGTGGAGGGTTTAAACGACACATTTATATATTTACGCGATCTAACCCCTAAAAAACCTCTATTATGGATAAGAAAATATCGGTTTGGGTGTCATCCGACAAACACCAATCCCAAAGCAGCAAATCGAGAAGAGTGCTCTGACTATTGTCTAATAAAAAATAAATTTTTCTGAAACTTTCTGAAAATGTTTTGTAAAGACAATCTTGTACTAATAGCACAGTTGTCTACGTACGGCGTGAAAGAAGTTCAACATACACCCTCGGGATTACACTACCTACTCTGCCGGATTTCCAAATGCCCTCTCTGTCCCACGATGCTGACATCGCGAATTGAAATCAGGTGCCCTGATTTCGTTGCAACGCTCATTTTGTATGCACGTACGTGTGTTGAACTTCTTTCACGCCACACGTAGCCAACCGTCATTTTGGTGACTCCAGGTGTCACTCTTGCACACGAGACTGTGCCCATGTGTCGACTACCACCCCCCGGCTAGACAAACTCAACGTGAAACTCGATATCCGCCTATCTCTTACCACGAACTCGACCAACGTCACTTGCTCTCCTTGGCCGCTAATCCCTCCCCGCCCCCCTCCACCTCCCATCTCAGACGACTACGCGCTGCTGTGCAACATCCGCATGAGGACGGACGTGGACAACTTTGGCCACTCGCTCGACCCGTCGTTCGGCTATTCCGGGCCGTACGGCGGCATTGGCGGTGACGGCGCGTCCGGCCCGCACTACCTGCCCGATCCTGAGCCCAACTTCCTGGACCGCGGTGCCGCGGCTGCCGCCGCCGGTGCCTCCGTGGGCTTCTACGAGGACAACGTCCCCATCTTCCTTCCCGACGAAGGTGCGTAGGAGAGAGGGAAGCAGCTTCCCCCGTCGCTCACAGATAGGGCGCAGAGGTGGCGAGATGTTAACCACGTCGCCTGGTATACGGGAGATCGTGTGTTCGATTCCGACCGTGATGCCTGCCAGTACGGTCACTCCTAGGTTAACGTCGTGGTTAATTTCTGGATCAAGTGCGACTTGAAGTAAAGCGACGTAAAGCGAAACCAAGTTCCAAGACGAGATTTTTCTTCGCCAGCCAAAGCCCATTGACATATACAGTAACACGTTTTTGGTAATAACTATAAACAGACAATTTAATAGAGGTGTGAGTTTTAACTAATCTTAAAGAAATAGTTTGAGCGACGGTTGCTTCGCGTTGAGCAATGTTTGCGTTGCGTGTGCCGCGTGTGAATGCTCGCGGTGGTGGTGGTGGCGGCGGTGCTGGTGGCGGTGATGATGGTGGTGCTGGTGGTGGTGGTGACGATGGTCGCGGTGACGATGGCGGCGGTGGCGGTGACGATGGCGGTGCTGGCGGTGGCGGCGGCGACAGCAGCAGGCTCGTACCCGTACCGAGAGGGGCTTCAGGCGGAGGAGTGTGGCATCTCGCACGGCTGCGAGAACGGCCGCTGCGTTCGAGTCCCCGAGGGTTTCACGTGCGACTGCTACGTGGGCTACAAGCTCGACAACCTCAGCGTCGTCTGCGTCGGTGGGTGCTCGCTGTCCGGCGATCGCCGACGCGTTCCGTCGCGGCCGTGACGACCACGGGTTGGGGTTAATCCCTGGATTCGCCGAAGCCCCCTCCTCCTCCTCCTCCTCCTCGCGTTGTCTCACTCCTAAACTAAAGTTAAAAAAACTGTGAGCTCTATTTATTTTACCAGGTAAAGGCCTACTGAGCTTTACAAATGACAGCTCAACGAAGTGGCTTATCACGTGGAAATTTATAGCAGCCAAATACTCTGAACGCACATTGATTCTAAATGTGGAGGAACAAACAAGAGGACCCGGAGAAAGATCCACGAGACCACGTGGAGAGAGACACGCAAACTCCAAATATGCAACAGGCGTCAGGGTCGGGATCGAACCCAAAACCTTCTGTATACCTGGAGAGGTAGTGAACATCTCGCCACCGTGACACTCACTTCTGATCTCCGTTTTGTGTTCACGTGCTACTCAGTGGATGTCGCCCTCTGCGATGTCCGTGGCGAAAATTAATTTGCCGTTGACAAAGAAAGCAAAATGAAAGCCGAGAAAAGAAGTAGTGAAAGAAGTATGCACACTAGAATTGGAATGTCATCGAGAGTAGAGACCGACCGAAACTGAATTTCTGGTTTCGGCCAAAACCGGAGCCGAAACCGAACATTTAACTACACTTTCGGCCGAAACCGGAGCCGAAAGTTTAACTCCACTTTCGACCGAGACCGAAACAGAAAGGTATATAACCGAAGTTACCGAACACAAGATTTATGAAATATGTCATGATGCAATGCTACTTTAATTAAAAAGAAATCTAGAACTAATCATTCAGAGCCTGCAGTAAGAGTCGCTAAATATCAAATCTTTAGTTGTTACTTACTTAGTAATTATATCCAAACAAAAGAATGTTGTAGTTAAGAAACAACAGTTTTTCCGCATTCAGCCAGACAGGCTGCCGTCTGTTGACCGGTCGTATCTACATTAACAGACCATGGTTGCGGCTGTAACCTCGCTCCCAGGCTGCTGCTGCTGACGTGTTCGTGTGTTTGCAGCCTATCGCATAGGATTGCCTAGCGCCGACTAACCGGCCGTTAGGCAGAGTGATAGACGTAGCACTAGCGTTATATTCTAAAAATAGATCTTCGGTTGACGAATGACGACCGAAAGTCAATATCAATTTCGGCCGAAACCGAAACCAGACCGAAAGTAAAAAATGGACTTTCGGCCGAAACCGAAACTATGCCGAAAGAGGCCATTTGCCAACTTTCGGCGCCGAAACCGAATTTGGATCGGCCTCTAATCGAGAGACAGAATTAAAACACGCGGGTTACGAACCACTCGTGGCCAGAGGAGGCGCTATATAAATCTACGATAGGACTTCTTTCACACCGTACGTAACCTACTGTTGTAATCGGAGGCGCTATATAGATCTACGATAGGAACTTCTTTCACACCGTACGTAACCAACCTTGCTTATCGGAGGTGCCACGACGACGACGATGATGATGCCCGCCCGTCGCCCTTCTACTTTCAGACATCGACGAGTGCGAGGAGGAGGCCCCCGCGCCCTGCGCCAACGGCCGCTGCGTCAACGCGGACGGCTCCTTCCGGTGCACGTGCGACGCCGGCTTCATCGCGTCGCAGCGGGGCAGCCAGTGCCTGCCCATCCCGTGGGCCCTGCTACCCGGCCGCTAGTGCCCGACGGCTCTCTCTCTCTCTCTGTCTCTCTGTCACGCACGCACGCACACACGCGCAGCCAAACGGGGTTTCCGGCGCCACCTCTGCCGGAGCTGCCCGCCGCCGCTGCCCCCGGGGTAACGACGGAAGGTTCCGAACGGAAGCGAAATCCGCTGGGGGGGTTTTTTTGTTTGTTTCCAGCCGGCTCGTCCACGGGGTTGCGGGAGGTGGAGGGTGGGGGGCGGCTGTTAATGTTGGGATGTAGCTCTGCCCGGCGTGCTTGCGAGGTCCGTACCGTGGGTCGTTGGGCTCGATGTCCTGACGTTTCGCTCCCACGCGCCAGGAGCTACCTTCAGGAAATAAGTCCGCCTCCTGCGGAAGCTGGGACCACGCGTTGTGTTGGCTGAGCTGGCAGATTCTTCGGTAACCGAACTGAATCAGTGGAAACGGACTTTGTTCGCTTTAATCGATTCTATTGATAGATGGCCATTACCCGTCTCTCCTGAAACTGAATTGATTCGGTGGAATGTCATTGATTCACTTGAATTGAGTCACTTGAACTGACGATTCATTTGAATTGATTCGGTTGAATTTCATCTGTTGCATTCGTTCGGTTGGCTTGATTCGATCGCATTGGGGGTCGATTCTGTCAAATCTATTCGGTCGAATGTATTCAGTCGAGTCGAAGCGGGCCCCGTTCCCGAAAGAAGCTCCCAGCACGTGGGTGCGAAACGTCGGACGTCACAGCGAACTACGCGCGGCGCAACCTGAAAATCACAACGGCGAGCTATGCGGCAGCAGCGACCACGAAACCCGACGCAATGTTGGTTTTCTAACCTTGGTACAGTATATGTGTGTGTGTATAGCCGAATACTTTTTGAAGGAACAAACCCTTTTATTTGAATGAAATGCCAAGACTGCATCCCTATGAATTATTATTGTTGATGTTGTTATTGCAATTGTATTACTCCCAAACACGACATAAACCACGCTGCTGCCTGCTGTCTGTATAGTTATCAAGTGCGGTAATTGAAGATTTAAATAAAACACAAACAAGTTAATACGTTTCAGATATATATTAAATAAATGCATTATTATTATATTTTTTCGCAGATATTGTCGAACAGGGAGCGCGATGAGATTCTGTGTGTTTGTGTGTTTGCTTCGCAATTTTTTTATTCGGTGGCGAGATGTGAACTACCTCGCCTGGTATACGGGAGGTCGTGAGTTCAATCCCGACCCTGACGCCTGCTGTATATTTGGAGTTGGCATGTTCTCCCCGTGGTCGCGTGGATTTTTCTCCGGGTCCTCCGGTTTTCCCTTCCACATTTAGAATCAACGTGCGTTTAGAAGTATTTGGCTACTATACATTTCCACGTGATAAGCCACTTCGTTGAGCTGTCATTTGTGTCCAGGTCGCTTCTGAAAAGGTGCTACACAACTCAGTGGACCTGGTAAAATAAAACTAGTTTTTGGTTCACAGTTAATGAATTGCAGACGTGTGTGTTCACACGCTTTATTTTTTCTGAGAGTTCAACAACAAAATCACTGCCACTCTTGTACAGTGCTAAGTGTAAGTCGCGCGCCTTGTTCACCGTATATTTGTCCGTTTCCTGGCGTAACTATTAGCAGAGGTTCTACAGACGCGTCGATGTCGATCGGAAGCTAACAACAAGGAAGCGAAGCGGACGTTAATAGGCAGCTTTTCAGGCCATGACGCTTCTGCATAGCACGTTGCCTGTGCTTCATTTACACGAGGCCTTTGCCCAAAACGTTGCCTATAATATACGTCTTCTTTGGTTCTTTCGGTAAAGTCACGTAGATAGAAAAAATAATAAATATAAAAACCACGACGTTTCGATCACAACACAGGTGGTCGTCATCAGAAAAAGGGGGTTAAGCCTCTAAAGGCAAACTGTTTTGTTTTGCCTTCTTTGGGGCCACGCGTGCGAGCGTGGATTATGCGCCATCGCCAGCAGCGTCGCTAAAAAAAACACAGCAGACGAACAGCAACTGCGTGCGTAAGAATCACTGCGTGTAAACGCGGTTCGCAAATGACCCCTTGAAACCACTAGAGGCCGCTACGGTCACCCTCTTCCCCCCCGCCCCCCCAAGTGTTTAAATTAGAATGGATTTGAAGTTTAGATCCCCTCCTCCAGCGCCCCCCCCCCCCGATTCCGAGAAGGGAGGTGATGAATCTTCACAGCTGTATCATTCGTATTCAGCAAATGCCACACTATGCATTCCACCAATCGGTTATATAAAAAAAATCAAATCCCACTTTAATACATTAATCCTAAATTTCGATTTAAAGCTTTCGTGACTGCAGGGATTCATCTTCTTGGTTCTTTCGGTAAAGTCACGTAGAATGGAAATAATAAAATAATGAAATAAAACATTATACAATTATTCTCACGACGTTTCGGCCACAACCCAAGCAGCCGTCCTCAGGTGGAGAACAGGTCCTGTCGAGAAGACAGAGTCTTCAGACTTTTCAGTCTTCCATTCTACGTGATTTTACCGAAAGAACCAAGAAGACATTAATCCTAGTTCAGAGGATCATTTTTGCCACTTTAATAAATTAATCCTGGGTCAGAGGTCAACTGGGCCCATCGTCGTCCCTCTGGGATGGGTGAATTAAAGTCCACAACAGTTGGTGGCCCCATGAATCTCATGTGGTATGGACCACTACCACGTGAGGCATACCACTGATAAATGGCACCACAATCAATCAATTGTCATTACTGCAATGCAATCATAGCCACACTAATCGAGCACTCCAGGTGGATGGTGAGAGGGGTATTATTTAACCTGTCAATGCTGTTTGTAATTTTATCCCCCCCCCCCCCCCAAATCGAACGCCCAATCATTTCTGTGAAGGTGTGACCTAATTTGATGTTTGAATTATTATTACTGGACAACGCCAATGCGTGTTGAGCGTTACGTGAGCTTATCCACCAAAAGGTATTTGGAAGTCGATCGCGGCCCTCGTTCAAGAGCAACGGTCTCCCCATCGCTGTCCTATAGCCACACTGGTCCCCGACATAGCAATGTGGAATTTCAATTGTTACTGTGCGCGAGACCTCTAACGAGAGTTGAGCACTGTTTCGTAGTGTGGTTAGGTGCGGTGGGGGTGTCGGGGAACGGGGGGGGGCAATTTGACTTCACTTTTGTTTAAACATCCCACGTCCTCATCGGGACGTTTGAGGCACGCAGAGGCAACCGACCGACCCCAATCAGTGGTTTTAACAGAAGACAGCCGAAACTTTGACGCGCGCAGAGATTCGCAGAAGACGTTGCTGTGCCGTGTATAGTTTACCTTTGCATGCGCTGCCGTGATATATGTGTGTTTCTTGTGGTGGCCTCTGCCCTGTGGTGCAGACCTTACGGTCTTTTGTTTGTCTTTTTTTTGTCGCTGTTTTTGGTTGTAATTTTTTTTTCTCGATCGTTTCTCTCTTTTTCTCTTCCTCCTGCCCAGCTTTTATTTTGGTTCATAATCGATTTTTATTTGTGGGGGTTGGGTTCAGATCGCCACCTAAGAAATATGTTGCGTCGTACACCCTCCGCCACCCGCCCCACGCGGCCAGTTATTAATAAAGTTGTCGCGTGAAACAAACGTGGCCGATTTGTCACTGCCGCAACAGCAGCAGCACCATTAGTGGGTGGCGAGATGTTAACTCCCTCTCTTTGTATACAGGAGGTCATGGGTCCGAACCCGACCCTGACGCCTGCTGTATATTTCGAGTTTGCACGTTATTCCCTCCACATTAATAATCAACACGCGTTTCGAGTAATTGGCTGCTATAAATTCCCACGTGATACGCCACTTCGTTGAGCTATCATTTGTGGCCAGGTCGCTTCCAAAGAAGAGCTATATAGATCAGTGGGCCCAGAACACATGGAACAATTAGATAGTATGGGCGTTTCGCTGGTAGTTACAACCAGCATCATCAGGCAATTTCCAACACTACCGGATGTGCTGACGCAGTTAATACATTGGGCCACATTTGTTCATCACGCAACGGCTTCATCAATTTGCTGTGTCGGGTGGCGGAGGGTTTACGACGCGACATTTTACAAAACGTGCTTTTAACCCCCAGACATAAAAAAAACTCAATTGTGAATCATCGTAATACCGGTCGCGAAAGCCCTACACGTGTTCAGCTTTTGTTTGTTTGGCTCTGCGGTCCACGCGTTACTCGGACGGGCGACGGAGAGGGTGCCCGCAACCTTCCGTCCCATCGCACCGTGAGACATTTGGACTCGATCACCGGTGCCTCTCGCCGTAGCTCTAACCCCGGATTCCCGGACACCACCCCCAGCCACCTTGGTGACGATGGGAGTCGCGACGCGGGGAGAGTTTAGGGAGGTGCGTCGCGATCGTTCGCTTGAGCGGATGCCGTGCGCGGAATGTAAATTAGCTGCGTTGTGTAACTAGCACCGCGCGATGCGATGTATTAATAACGATCCTGTACAACAACAAAAACAAATACCGGCTATGTACTTTTAATAAATAAACAAAAACACGACACACGTCTTGGCTGCACGAGTAGCTCCGGACCGACTCGTCAATTCTATTTGCCCAGAGGTCGCGCGCGGGAGGAGGACGCGTCTGCGTCCGACGCAGAAGCCAACTTGGGGCTGTCGTGAACGAAAGTGGATGCGAGCGGCGCGCCATTGACTCCACGTGGCAAGACGCTTCACGAGTCCACTGGTGTGCGCGTGTTTAACCAGCCGCGTTATCGCTGCGCGTATGAAACATGAAGATGACGATCGAGATGTCATCGTGGCCACCGTGCATCGCATTCTTCCCTCCACCAGAGTCCACAGCCGCTGCGCCGTAGACGCACGGCGACCCCCCCCCCCCCCACCACGACCACCACCATCCGGCCCTCGGTCCTCTCTGCTTCATCCTCTTGTCGTACGGCTGCTGCTGTCGATGCAGAGCAGCAACTACAATTTCACAGGCAGGTAACCACGGGGCACAAGCAATCATCAGGCATAAAAGAAATAGCAGCAAAAATCTAACTAGAAAACTATAGACAGACATACAAGCAGACAGACATCGCAAGGACACACAGAGAGAGAACACATATATGCCGATATCGGCATATATGTGTTCGATTTTGGTTGCTATTTCTTTTATGCCTGATGACGATTGCTTGTGTTGCAATCGAAACGTCGTAATATGCTATTATTTAATTTATTATTTTATCTTTAGACGTGACTTAACCGAAAGAACCAAAGAATAATTCCTGCAGTCACGAAAGCTCCAAAATTAAGATACAATCGTTATAGTTTAAACTCAATGCCGTGTAAGCGAGGGGCCTCCTAAGACTTTGCCAAATCTCTGTTTTCCCGCACTGATTCCATAGTTGTCGCCCGATTTTGCCTTCGTGTTGGAGGAAAATGATGGGACGACCCGGGTCTCTGATTTATCAAAGGCCACGTGGGCAGCTGCCGTGGGGCGATGAGGGCCGACGGTGGCGAGGTCGTGTTTTGACCGCGTCGCTGTCTGGAAGATTCTTCAATGAGCGGTCGTGGCACCAACGCTCGCAGTGCCAGGGCTCTACAAGGGGACGGCCATCCGTCTCTTATTAACGTAAACCCGGAGTGAATTACGACTGGAACCGCGTGTCATTGAAGAAGAATGCAGGAAATCTTGCCACGTTTAAATTTTGACATGAAACTGTCGTGACTGCAGGAATTCATATTCTTTGTTTGTTTCGGTAAAGTTACGTAGATAGAAAATAAAAATACAAACATTTTTAAAAAATTAAATATATTTTTTATATTTAAAAAAAATGTTTTCTATCTACGTGACTTCACCGAAAGAACCAAAGAACTTGCCACATTTATTTTGCTGCAACGGAACGCCCAGGGCACACGCTCAAAAAACACACGTACTGTAAAATATGTTTATGTTCGCCGTCGTTCCGATGATGAATCCCTCCCATGACCATATGCTCCACAATCACTGCAATTACCGTTGGCGACGGTGTGCAGGCACCGCTAAAAATGCAACTCAAACACTTTCACCAATAACACTGCAAGCACATCCATTGCCCTGATGAAGGGGCCATTGCTCGTAATGGCGCCTAAAACACACGTTTAACCGGGGGTTGACCAGCGGGCCCGTTGTGCCGAGTGTTTCCGTGCAGCGGCGCTGCGCCAGTCGCCTGCGCGTTGTCTTTGCGCAGAGAAATGAACCTGCGCGTCGCGGCGACCCGCAGGTATTGCGAGTCACCTGGTTGGGGACGCCAATGAACAAAACCCCCAACACCGCTCCGTGGTGTTGATTTTAGCACTCGGTGCTTCTGTTATGTTGTGACTCCGAAGGAGAATGTCTAAGGGTGCACCGAGCGACTGACACCCATCTGAAGAATGTCTTAGGGGCACTCAGAGACTGACAATTCATATGAAGAATGTCCTACAGACACAGAGCGACTAACATCCATCTGAAGAATATCCTATGGACACCGAGCGAGTGACAATCCATCAGAAGAATGTCTTACGAACACCGAGCGAGTGACAATCCATCAGAAGAATGTCTCACGAACACCGAGCGAGTGACAATCTATCAGAAGAATGTCTTACGGTGCACCAAGCGACTGACACCCATCAGAGTGGGCATGGTAGTTAGAGGAACGATCAACTCGCGTTCCAAAAACCGCAAGTGACGCTGTTAAGAGGTGGTTGGGAGAGGTGGGGGTTCGTGGCTCGGGTCAGAACACTGAACTAGCACCGCTGGTTGGAAATCCTCGTGTTTCAGCCGCGTTGGATCTCAAGTGCGGCGAGTTGATGGGGGCTCAGCCTTGGTCACCAACGGCGGCACGAGAAGAATCACGAAAAAAACAACCCATCACATTACATTCGGGAGACACGTTTCCGCAGCAGGGTGTGTGGGAGAGTGATTGCCGACAGAGTGGAGATCACCTAACGGGCTCTTGAGAAGATCTTCCATCACAACTCCTTCTGCAGACGGTTCTCTAACCCTAGGCGAATGCACATTCGGACAAACGGGCCTAAATATTGTTGCGGGTAGTTACTTGATGATTGTTACTTGTGTAGTGGGTTCACTGAGAGACACACACTAACTCAGGAGGCAACACGTTTATTCTATGGACCACAACGGGATAACGACATAAACAGGGTCAGGACAGTCGGCATACTGCCTGACCCACGATGCCGAGCACGAAGACCGGAGACCCAGGGGAAGACGCAGCACGGAGGACTCCATTCCTGCAGACAGCCCCAACCCAGCCTCGGGACCTCCCTTTTATGCCCCCCAGCGTGGCCTGGCTCCGCCCTCGGCCACGCCCTCTTCTGGAACCTACCAGAAGGCTCAGGGCCATACCCCACGTGTCCCTTCTGTCACCTTAGGACCCACATCCTTACCTTGTCCTGTCACGTGCCCTTGCCAGCCAACTGGGCTGCGACGTCCTCAGATGCCCCCTCTCTGCCCGCCACCAGCACTACGCCCCTTAGGGACCCGTTCCATGACATTACATGCCCCACTGGCAGAGAGGGCTACTACACTCTCAGTTCCCCCCTCTATCAGTAACCGGCGCGAGGCGCCGTAGTGACCCATTATATGTCACTACACTTGCATTATGGCGATACACCCCGCTGCTCAGACGCGATTATTATGGCCTAACCACCTGAATGTGAAATTGTAGCTGATGCTCTACATCTACATCAGCAGACGTACAAAAGAAGAAGAAGACTCGATGACTCTAAGGTGTCATTGAAAGTCATCTTCGGGAAAGAACACAGCCCCCCCCCCCCCACCATACCCAACCGTGACTTAGAGTGTCACTGTGATGGTCTCTCCGGCGCGGCTGGCAGCCGCCCATTCACGCTCCAAGCACGAGGCGGTCACGTGGCTCCGGGAGCCCGCTGACAGGGCCGCCTCCTGCCAAGAGAGACGGACGCACCGTCCCCGCCACTCAATAAATGCAATGAACCACCGACCGTCAAGCTCGAAAAACCAGGTTCGACCCTGTCTCTGGTAAGGGGTAGGGAATGGAGCAAGCAGTGGTGATTCTATGGCAGGGGGGGTGCAACCCCCCCCCCCCCCCCAATGAACAGCAGGACCCCCATTCAAAGGCAGCTTCTCAGGATGGCAGTGAAATAAGTCAAGTTCAACGTCAGCCTGGGCAATGCCGCTGGTTCAACTTCCAAGATTGCTTTGGTTGCCAAAGGGAGAACTCAATATTTGGTCGTTAGAAAAGTCTTGACTGTTGATGACGACGATCTTCTTCTTGCTGCGATCTGATCTTCTCAATCATTAAATTGAAGGTAGGTGTGCCTCACTGTTACAACACTCTGCTATGAGATGGGTGCTTATCCCATGACAATCAAACCAAACATTGTTCATTCTCGGAGCCAGGAATTTACCAAATTAAGTGCCAAACTGAATTACAAAGGTTGTGCGGCCATGAGTGACCGGGCTGAGATCATCCGACTTGCTACACGCAAGAATCAAGTTTAATCAGAGGCGGCTGAAATCCAAACGTTTTACCCAAAGGGTGTCAGCAGTGCCAGCTCAGTGTCTCTGAACTGTGAGTCGTCAACTTTTGCCTCGTCCGTCCAATTTCCTCGAGAGTACGTGCCAGACTCCATCACCATGAACGGGGCAAATTGCACGGGGCGATGTGCCGCCACGGTTTGTTTCATGAGTGATGTGACTCTGGCGCATTGTGTGAGGGTTCGTCCGCGTGTTCTTTGCAGCAAAAACAAACGTTGAGGCTTTCTTCTTGGTTCTTTCGGTAAAGTCACGTAGAAGGGAAATAATAGAATAATACAAATAAAACATAATAAAATAATTCTCACGACGTTTCGGCCACAACGCAAGCAGCCGTCCTCAGGTGAACACCAGGTCTGTCGGGGAGACGGCGTCTGAATGAAAAGAGTTTTCAGACGCCGTCTCCCCGACAGACCTGGTCTTCACCTGAGGACGGCTGCTTGCGTTGTGGCCGAAACGTCGTGAGAATTATTTTATTATGTTTTATTTTTATTATTACCCTTCTACGTGACTTTACCGAAAGAACCAAGAAGATGAATCCCTGCAGTCACGAAAGCTTTAAATCGAAACATTGAGGCTGTTATCGCTACATTTGTCATCGGCAGGAGCAGCGGCGCAGCGGTGTATTGCAAGTGCGCTGTGAAAGCTGGGGACAATGAGTTTTATCACCGATCACGGCTAACATCAGTGGCGAGTGATATCTGAACCGGCCCTGGGCTCGCTCAAACCTTCACCAACCTGCGTTGACCGGCGTGGTGAAGTATGGTTAAAAAAAAGGTCATGAAATGAGAAGGCGTGAAGAGGCCTTCATGCAGCAGTTGATGGATAAAGGCTTGTAGATTATAATTTATTAATTCTAATAAATGTTGCCAAGCCTATATCTAGCGAGTGTTATGAACAAAGTGGTGATGCGTGACTTAAAACTCTGTAACATGAGTAATATTCTTTGGGTGTTTCGGTAAAGTCACATAGATAAGTTCAAACAAAATAACAAAAAAAACTACGATGTATCGATCGCAACACAAGCGGTGACTTTACGGAAAAATCCAAAGAATATGAATTCCTGGAGTCACGAAAGCTTTAAGTTAAGATGGGTAATGTTTATAACATGCGTGTAACTCCATTTAACCCTGGAGGAGGGGGGCAGAACGGAGATCTCATATCGTCTCTTCTGTTTATTAATAATTATAATATCCTGTTCATTAATAGTATCCTCACCACTGGAACCACGCTAGTGTGTGTAGTCTATGTGTGTAATTCCACACTAGTGTGTGTAGTCTATGTGTGTAACTCGACGCTAGTGTGTATAATAATCTATGGTGAGTGTTTAGCTCACCATAGATTAATTATACACAATTGTGAGTATAATAATATATGTGTAACTCGATGCGAGTGTGTATAATAATCTACGTGTGTAACTCGAAGCTAGTGTGTATAATAATCTATGTGTGTTACTCGACGCTAGTGTGTATAATAATCTACGTGTGTAACTCGAAGCTAGTGTGTATAATAATCTATGTGTGTAACTCGACGCTAGTGTGTATAATAATCTAGGTGTGTAACTCGATGCGAGTGTGTATAATAATATATGTGTGTAACTCGACGCTAGTGTGTATAATAATCTACGTGTGTAACTCGAAGCTAGTGTGTATAATAATCTATGTGTGTAACTCGACGCTAGTGTGTATAATAATCTACGTGTGTAACTCCACACTACTATGTATAATAATCTATGTGTGTAACTCGACGCTAGTGTATAATAATCTGTGTGTGTAACTCGATGCGAGTGTGTATAATAATCTAGGTGTGTAACTCGACGCGAGTGTGTATAATAATCTACGTGTGTAACTCGACACTAGTATGTATAATAATCTACGTGTGTAACTCGAAGCTAGTGTGTATAATAATCTACGTGTGTAACTCCACACTACTATGTATAATAATCTATGTGTGTAACTCGACGCTAGTGTATAATAATCTATGTGTGTAACTCGACGCTAGTGTATAATAATCTACGTGTGTAACTCGAAGCTAGTGTGTATAATAATCTAGGTGTGTAACTCGACGCGAGTGTGTATAATAATCTAGGTGTGTAACTCGACGCGAGTGTGTATAATAATCTACGTGTGTAACTCGACACTAGTATGTATAATAATCTACGTGTGTAACTCGAAGCTAGTGTGTATAATAATCTACGTGTGTAACTCCACACTACTATGTATAATAATCTATGTGTGTAACTCGACGCTAGTGTATAATAATCTGTGTGTGTAACTCGACGCGAGTGTGTATAATAATCTATGTGTGTAACTCGAAGCTAGTGTGTATAATAATCTGTGTGTGTAACTCGACGCGAGTGTGTATAATAATCTGTGTGTGTAACTCGACGCGAGTGTGTATAATAATCTGCGTGTGTAACTCGACGCGAGTGTATAATAATCTGTGTGTGTAACTCGACGCGAGTGTGTATAACAATAATCTATGGTGAGTGTTTAGCTCACCATAGATTAATTATACACACTAGTGTGTATAATTAATCTATGTGTGTAACTCGACGCTAGTGTATAATAATCTGCGTGTGTAACTCGACGCGAGTGTGTATAACAATAATCTATGGTGAGTGTTTAGCTCACCATAGATTAATTATACACACTAGTGTGTATAATTAATCTATGTGTGTAACTCGACGCTAGTGTGTATAATAATCTGTGTGTGTAACTCGACGCGAGTGTGTGTAACAATAATCTATGGTGAGTGTTTAGCTCACCGCGATCCTGCGGAGCTGCAGAGCCGAGCGAACCCCGAGAAGCTCCTTCTTGAGATCGAGCAGCTCCATCTCGCCCTGCAGGAGCCACATCTCGCGCTCCTCCACCTGCAGGCTGCACACGTGAGTGGCACACAGGCGTGTGCATAACGGTGCGTTCACACAGGCGTATGAGTATAAAGGTGCGTTTACACAGATGTGTGGAAAAGGTGCGTTCACACGGTGTGTGCATGAAGGTTCGTTCACAGAGGTGCGTTCACACAGGCGCGTTCACACGGTGTGTGCATAAAGGTGTGTTCACACAGGTGTGTGTATAAAGGTGTGTTCACACAGGTGTGTGTATAAAGGTGTGTTCACACAGGTGTGTGCATAAAGGTGTGTTCACACAGGTGTGTGTATAAAGGTGTGTTCACACAGGTGTGTGTATAAAGGTGTGTTCACACAGGTGTGTGTATAAAGGTGTGTTCACACAGGTGTATGCATGAAGGTGCGTTCACAGAGGTGCGTTCACACAAGTACGTTCACACAGGTGTGTATAAATGTGTGTTCACACAGGTGTGTGTATAAAGGTGTGTTAACACAGGTGTGTGTGTATAAAGGTGTGTTGACACAGGTGTGTGTGTGTGGAAAAGATGCGTTCACACAGGCGTGTGTGTGTATAAAGGTGTGTTGACACAGGTGTGTGTGTGTGGAAAAGATGCGTTCACACAGGCGTGTGTGTGTATAAAGGTGTGTTCACACAGGCCTTCATAGGTGCTCGCTAACAGCACTTGCCCCTACAGTCTGTTAAGACTATATGGGGGATCTTTGTCTTTGTTCACACAGGTGTGTGCATGAAGGTGCGTTGGCATAGGTGTGTTTACACAGGTGTGTGCTCACATAGGTGTAAAAAAAAACGATCCGAGAGGTGTACTGAATGTGGTGTGCCGGATACGAGAGTATTTTCCGGCTCCACCGACACAAACAGGTGACGAACGTCATAACGCCGCCCGGGCACGAAACCAAGAATTTCACAGCGCCGGGCATTGATGATGTTGGATTTTGGATGTTGGGTTGTTCCGTAAATGGTCAACTTAATGCTGCGGCGACATCTGCTGGTCGGAGAGCGGATTCCCTATGACAAGTGAGACGGGTGGAACGGTGGCACGGATTCATTTACGAAGAGCAATGCTGAAGCTCACGGCGTGTTCGATACTATGAATCGTGGCGCGCAAGAATCGATGTTTTGTTTTTCTTCCCATTTCTGTGTTTGTTACATAGTTGCGTCTGTACGGGATAGAGTGCTTCCCCCTCGCACGCGCGGGTTTTCTCCAGGTGCTCCGGTTTCCTTGCACGTGTAAGCACTCGACAACTTGGCCTGGTAACGCCTTAACATTTAGAGGACCGCAGATCTTGGGCAACTGTCGTCGCCGCCCTCCCGCTCGGGAGGTGAATCGCCGCCCGCACCCACAGCAAGTTGCGTTACGCAACGGACATCAAAAGGCTCGGCACGTGCGCACCGGCGGCGGGTAGACGAACAAAGGACGAACAGCGCTTAGCCCCACTCAAGCCGAGCGACCGGCTCTCCCGCTCACACGCAACAACAACAACAACCGCCATTCGCCACTAAGTGGCGGTGACGTCACCACGACGCTTGTGCCAGGCTATGTGCACGTTGAGGCCACGTGAAGTGTCGAATCCCCGCTGGCACGAGGTCACGGGGCAGACCCAAATGCCAAGGGTCGACTGACTGAGATGACTGGCTGATGCACCACCTGTGCCCCCTACTGTGCTAACTTGCTGTGCTTTATCCACCCGGCGCTCCGCTCGTTGTTGTGAGCGTCGCTCCTCCGCCCTCCGTTGTTGTTGGAGGGCGACTGCCTCCAACTGCCCAGTAGCGTCCTTCACAAGCCTCCTCCACAGAGGCCGATCTTCACACCGCTGGTCCCAGTCATCGGCAAGTCCACTCAGCTCCACGTCCTCCTGTACCAGATCGCTCCATCTCTTCTCTAGCCTATGCCGCGCCCGTTTAGCCCCCTCGATCCGGCCAAACAAAAGCTGTTTAGGCATGCGGTGGCTGGGAATGCAGGCTACATGACCCAGCAAAGGCAGCCTTGCCTGACGGAGGAGCTCACCGATGGGACTTTGTCCAGATCTTTCAAGGATTTGTGAGCTCCTCACACAATCCAGCCTGGTTAAACCCGGGATGGATCGTAGGCAGGCCAGCCTAAATGTTTCTAACCAAGGAAGATTTTCCATTAGGGGGGTCCATGTTTCGCAAGCGTAGAGAAGGGAGGGAATGACTGTGGCCGAGAAGACCTGAAGCTTCGTGCGGAGCGACTGAGTAGGTAGCTTCCACACAGCGTTACGCAACCATATTTTTTGCTCACACACACACGCAACACACAGCCCGCGCCGTCAAACCTCCCACCTCGGCGGCTCGACAAAAAGTGCGCCAGCTCGCCACTCCGCAGACAACACGAGCTGGTGGAGGACCCGCACAATTGAAATGTATTTGGGGTCGCTACCGTCCAAAAGCCAACAACTTTTAGCGTGCACAGAAGAAGAAGAAAAAAAACCCACAACGGGAGCCTTCGAGGTCACCTCGAGCAAGGCGGAGCACGCGGCGCGCCGTCTGACGGAGCCGGTGACGCCCACGTGACGTCATTGCGCGTCACTCGACCCAAGGCGCCCTGCACGTGGCGGCCCTGCCCGTGTGGACGGGAGGCCGTCACTCGTGTCGGGGTGGCCCACCGGGTGAGCGTGGGGTTCGTGGTGGTGACCTATGGGTGGATGGCATCGCTCAGCGAAGCGGTCGGCAAATTTCGACGCAATCTCTCGCGGCGGTCCCGTCACTCGTCACTAAACTGTTAAGATATTAAATCTTGACTTTAAGCTTTTGTGACTGCAATTCATGTTATTTGGGTCTTTCGGTAAAGTCACGTAAATAGGTTCAAATAAAATAACCAAAAAATAACAAAAAACTACGACCTTTCGATCACAATACAAGCGATCGTCATCCTGATGACGATCACTGTTATTGTTGTTGTTCTTTTCTTTGAACCTATCTACGCGACTTTACCGAAACACCCAAAGAATATTAAGCTCTTATTTTACCAGGTAAGGCCCACGCGGCTATAAAGTTTTTTTTTAAGAAGCGACCTGGCTGCCACAAATGAACTCAACGAAGTGACTTATCACGTGGAAATTTACGGCAGCTAAATTATCTCGAAAGCGTGTTTATAAATGTGGAGGGGAATCCCGTAGGACCCGCGTAAAAATCCGCGCGACCACGGGGAGAGAGACATGCAAACTCGGAATATACAAGCGTCAGGTTCACGACCACCGCCTGTATACCAGGCGAGGTAGTTAACATCTACGCCACCTATCGGTGTCGGGAGGCAGCCTCGGCAGACGGGCGATGTCCTCCTCCTTCTGGGCGATGGCCGCACGGATCCGCGCGAGGTCTCCGCGCAGATCGGAGACTCGGTCACCCTGCGGGGGGTGGCGGCTCCTCCTCGGCCTCCGCGTCTCTTCCTCCGCGGGCCTCTCCCCGGGTTGGCCGAGGCCCGCGATGGCGGCGGTGAACGTTTGCAGGTCCGCGCCGCTTAGGGACTCTGCGCTCATCGATGATCATCGTCATCATCGTCGTCGTCATCATCATAATCGTCGTCGTCATCATCATCATCGTCGTCATCACCATCGTCATCATAATCGTCGTCATCATCGTAATCATCGTCGTCGTCATCATAATCGTCGTCGTCGTCGTCGTCATCATCATCGTCGTCGTCATCATAATCGTCATCTTCATTTGTCAAAACCCTCGGCGGGAGAGCTCACAAGGTCGACTGGCGCTATCGATGAAACCCCGTGCGGTTGAGTTTGTGTAGACGGTCAATGGCGTCCTCTGGGCTCACATCGTTTTGAGACGAGGCTCAAAAGAAAGCTGTCTCTGGTGTGGACCAATCAGTTTCAAAGACAATGCATATATTATCAGAGTACGTTTTTTGTTTGCATTCTGACCACAAGTATTGTGGTTAATGCAGACATGATTCCTTGTAAAAGGTTTCAGTCTTGTGTTTTAACATCTTAACAGCTGCTTTGTTGCCAGAAAAAAAGGGGAAAACCTCTTCTCACAATGTGAATGTAGGTTTCGCCACAAGCCGTTGGCGGTGTGATCAGTTCATCGCCACTGCCACCATCAGTGTCAAACAAGACGCAAACATTGCGTGCGTAACGCAACAACAACAAAAAAGCCATCGGATTTTTTGCTCAAGGAATCCACTGTGCTCCTCTTGGCATATGCACACAGGCTGTTCGACTCTTTACACATTTAACCGTCTCGTTAGAAATGTGTGGTAGTTTTCCGGCCTGCACTGTCAACATTGCGCTGAGATGCGATATTTCTTCGTCATTTACAGCCCGGATGGCAACCACCATCACCACCATCAAAATCAATCGTTGAACAAAAAACGGTAAACCCAGCAATACATTGATGAGATTTAAAGTAAAAAAAAATTTTGAATTTTCATTCTTATTTTTAACAGTATATATGTTGTTTGTCTCTTAACCGTGATTTTTAAATATGTTATTGTTCGATAAAAATTTTTTACCCTTTTATCTGGCAACAAAACTGACACCTTTTTTACAAGGAGTCATGTTTGCATAGACCACAATACCTGCAGTCATAATGCAAAAAAACACATAACTCTGATCATGTATGCACTGTCCTTGAAGTTGATTGGTCCACACCCGAGACAGCTTTCCTTAGAGCCTAGTCTCACATGGTGTTGGACCAGATGACGCCAAAAGGCGCATACATTATCAGAGTTATGTTTTTTGTTTGCATTATGACTGCAGGTATTGTGGTCTATGCAAACATGACTCCTTGTAAAAAAAAAGGTGTCAGTTTTGTTGCCAGATAAAAAGGTAAAAAAAAAACAATTATCATATATTATTACTGGCAAATGAGGTTCCAATGATGTTATTGTTCGTTTCAAGGGTGTGTGGGCAACACTTTCCTGGGTGACAAGTGGGCTCGGCTTTTTGCCCAATCCTGGCCCAGATGACCTCAACAAACTTCATCGACGAACGACGCCACACAGACGTCGACGGTTGGGAGTGAACGGACGGACAGAGCCGCCCTGCGTAGCGAGGAAGGGAAGTAGTGGGTGGGTGGGGTGGGTGGGGTGGGGGGCGGTGTGGATGAGACGGGGTTCTCACGGAGGAGCGAGTCGACGGCGCGCGCCTCCCGCGCGTGCGTCTCGCTGTAGAGGGCCGAGAGGAGCCGCTCGCGCTCGGCCCACGTGCTCAGCTGCAGCGACTCGAGCGTCTCGGGGTCCATGGAGGTCAGGTGGCGCCCGGCGAGCCGCGAGCCTGCGGCAAAGGCAAAGCGACCTCTGGTCTCGGCTCGGTCGCTCGCTCGGTCGGTCGCTCGCTCGCTCGGCGGGGATTGATGGTAATGATGATGATGGATGCATTGTGATTCGATGATGGTGGGGATTATGATGATGATGATGATGAGTCAATCGTAGGTGAGATGTGGAACCACGGTGTTGATTTATGTGTTGGCAAATGTTGCGACTTATTTAAGTAAACTTCGGTCATCCTCACAGCGGCTTTTGGCTGCTGGCCATCGAACGAAGAGGGTCAATGCATCGCGCGCTTTCAGATGCGCTTCTGCGGCCGTCTGGAACGCTCTTCCTTCCGATATTAGGAAGCCACTGGAGGCTATGCACTTTTAAATCTAGATTTATTTATTTTTTCTTTAGAACTGATTTTTGTATTTAGTTTGTTGTCCTTCCCCCGCACCTCCGATTACCAACGATTGTCTACGTACGGTGCGAAAGAAGTTCAACATGCATACAGGGCTTGGACAAAAATACCAACTGTTCTAATTTACTCTCAACTGAATCAATTCGCCGAGCGACGGTGTTTTGTTTGGCCATTTTTGGCGAGTTGCGGATTCTGGCCGAGCATCGTTTGAAATGAGAATTCGCAGCAGGAATCTCACATGAACCATCGGTGGCCAGCATGTCGTCGCTTTGCGTGATGACTTCATAATTTAATCAAGATTAATTGAATTAAGTCCCATTTTCTCTCCAACATAATGACCACCACACAGAAATATGGTCTCTCTGTATTACATTACGTAACTCGTAACGATGATAATAATTTACAGCTCTCTGTCAGCGCCTTTCTGTTGGCAACCTCAGAAAGACGGCCTCCGCATCTCGACGCCTGCCCGATGTCTCAGAGCCGCGACGTTCCAGTGCCGGTGTAGGCAGAAGCTGCCGAGACTCGAGCAAAGACTGTCCCAGCTGGTGGCTTGAGGCTGGTGGTTCTCCAGTAACGAGGACTCTATCCCCTCCCTTTGATGCTGCTAATCCTGCATAATGCACGAGCATAATATGACTTCAAACCCCCCGCCCACCTCCTACGCATTTCACAAGTAGTACTAATCGCATATCTGCATTTACCATAAATATGCTAAATTCCTCTTGATATGCAAATTATTTTGTCAAGGCGCTCTCACCCCTCCAACCCAGCTTAAATAGACGCTCCAAGCCTGGGGTGTGTCATTCAGACTCTGTCTTCTCGACAGACCTGTTCTTCACCTGAGGACGGCTGCTTGCGTTGTGGCCGAAACGTCGTGAGAATTATTTTATTATGTTTTATTTTTATTATTTTATTGTTTCCACTACGTGACTTTACCAAAAGAACCAAGAAGAAAAAAAACGAGGACCCTTTCAGTGCGCCGTCGCGGGGATTTGTTTGACCGAACTGCCAGTTCAGCGCGGGTTTGTGGATGGGCCACAGATTGCCCAAGGACCAGTTTGTGCTGTCACTCGCGACGCAACGTTGGCTGCGGCAAGCGTATCGAACTCAGGTCACCAGGGTCATCCCTGTTGTGTTTATGTTAAATTCATTCAAATTCGTATCCCGTTCACTTGCTTTGCGCATTGAGTCTCCGCTAGCCCGTCGTGAGGTCGAACATTTTACTTACAGATCTTGTCACTGTGCAACCGCAACACATCAAATGCCTCCCCCCCCCCCCTCGCGAAAAATGAGATAATGCGAACATTTATTTTTCAAATGCGCCAAACCGTCTCGATGGCTCGTAAGTCTTCTGGCTCTTGTCTTCTTTGGCTTGTTTATTGTATAACAAATTACAAACTTTGAACAGAAAAAAAGTCAACCCAGTACCAAGCCCAAATATTTAAAACGTATTTTCCGCGCTCATTGTAATGCGCAACGAAGCGGCTCTGCAGTTAAACTTTAAAGCGGAGTGAAGTCATCGTTTGGAGGCCGGGCAGAGAGGGAGGGAGGGGAGGCTGGCCTATGTGACTTGGCATCTCACGTAAATTGTTTAAATCGACCGCCAGCCCTCCGAGAAGACGGCGCATGAATGTGATGACAGGCAGAGACGTTTTCTGTCAAATTACCTCTAACGACGATTCCCAGCCTCTCCATGCCCATCGCCTGAAGCCACGCGCAGGCGTCATCGCTCTCCATGTCCTCCAGCGCCTTCCTCCTGCTGCTGCTGCTGCTCCCCTCCACTCCGCTGTCCGCTGCTGTCTTTGTGGCAATAAACACGGAGTCTATTAGGGCCGTGACTCTGTTTCTGGATGATGATGATGATGATAATAACGACGATGACCCGGCCCTGTTTGAGTCGTTTGAAAATGTAATTTATTCTAAGGGCGATTGGAACAAATTACATTGTCCTCGGAGGATGTGGGGGAGAAAAAAAATGGGCAGAATGGATAGGTTTGTACCCAACTCGCAGATGTAAGCGATTTCCTTTCACATTCACAGATGTACACTGTGTGTCGGAGAGAGCCCGATAGCATTCAACTGTCGTTGTTGCATTGTGAAGACACCATGGCTTACAACAGCTGCCAGTAGCCTCGATTTCTACACCTTCTGCCAGTAAACCCAAATTACATGTCTGCTGCGAGTAGAGTCACATTGCAAAGCCGCTGCCAGTAGACTCAGATCACATTGCTGCTGCCAGTGCAACGCAGATCGCATCTGGCAAACGAGCAGCATTCGATTAGCAAGCATGACATTGCTGATGAGACACGGATGGGCGAAACCGGTCCGGAGTTTATTTCCTTGAGCAAATTCTGCTGGTAAAAGGCCAATACGCTGACTAAAAGTGATATTTATTATGGGACTAGGAGAATGGAGGGTGATATGTTTATTCAATCAAATAAAAGAAAATGTGTTGATGCATCGGGTCTGTGCATATGTTTGTGTATCTGCGCGTATATGTGTGCGGAAGAGCGGTGGCGCAGCAGTTAGCACGCTGCGCTACGAACCCAGCAACCCCAAGTTCGACTCCCGCTCGAGGCCAACACCAGTGACGATTATCTGAACCGGTCCTGAGCCTCCCTCTAGATCAGCTCAGCCTCAAATGAGTACCTGGTGCAGTGTGTGTAAACATCAGCGTTTGGGAGACGAAGGCGGCCGGGAGTAGTGCTGGCAACCCCACTCGCTCGCGTGCCGTAACGGCACACTTTCATAGCAGCACTTGCCCCAACTGCCTGTTAAATTCTCCACTGTATCGTGTGTCTTTGAGCGGGGAGTGGTGACATTGCAGCTTTAGTTTGTTGTCCTTCCCCCGCACCTCCGATTAGCACGGCTGGCTACATACGGCGCGAAAGAAGTTCAACATGCAGTACATACATACGCGAAAAAACCCGGCGATACGCGTTTGGTCCCTGGCGTCTGAACCGGCTATGAAGAGCCTCTCCAGGTTTAACCCAAACTAGTGCTTGTGTGTGTAGAAGCATCCGCACTGGGTGAGACAAAGACGGCCGCGCGTGGTGATAGTACTAGCCACACAACTACCAACTCCCCCCCCCCCCCACCCCCCGATGTGTCAGATCTCGCTCACAGCACTTTGCCCCCGACAGTGTGCCGGTTGATGGGCTACGCGGCTTGAACCTTTTTTTTTCTGCAATATTTTGCTGTCTTTTCTTGAATTTTCTGTTTGCACTTAGTCACATATTCACTTTAAGATGTTTTTTGTTCATGTTTTTGTTTTTTCTTTGTTGCGGTTGCACCCGATTCAAGAGCCGAATGGCTCACAGGGCTATACCTAATAATTGAACTTGAACTTATCTCTGCGCGCGCGCGCGTGAACTCATGCGCACTTGGATTGGCGCAATCAGCCACTGAGTGGTGAATGCCGGTGGTTGTTGTTGCTGCTGCTGCTGCCGCCACTGTTAAGGAACCCGCGTCCTCGATGCAAGGAACTTACTGGACAAGACGAGTCTCGACTCGGATACGAAGCGCCGGGCGTCTTCCCATCGCTCAGCCGGGGAGACGAACCCGGTACGTACGACGCTACGTGGGGGCGGGCGGGGGGAGATGGGGTGGAGGGGCAGGGCGGCGTGACACCGCGATCCTGGCCGTCTTTATCTCACTCAGTGCCGATGCTTATACACACACACACACCGCACGAAGTTCCTGGACCGTCGAGTTTCGCATTCCTAGCCGATCTCCGTCAAGAGGAGACGGATACATCTATTATCTACGCGCCGTGTGTAGACCTTCTTTCGCGCCGTACGTAGCCAACGGTGCTGATCGGAGGTGCGGGGGGAGGACAGCACGCCGCACAAAAAGGCGGTGCTAAAGAAATGAGTTGAGTTTATAAGTACTGATGTTGATGTAGCTTCTGCAGTTGACCGTATTTAAAGCGGATGAATGTCCTCTGTTTGTGTGCTTATGAAATATACGTGCATATTATAGATATGCACGTACATTCTCGACAGGATACATTGTTGTTGACGAGTGTTGATGATTTTGTCAGTTTTTAAATTGTGCTTGTGCACCATTGCCAAAACAGCAGCAGCAGCATCAGCAGTAGCAGCACCGAATGAATTGTTTAACTCTGAGTTGGCAAGTCACTTGAGCAAAGGTAGACCTGGGATTGCTCCAAAAAGTCTGCTGCCAATAATGAAACGTCATCGTTATAAGCCACACTCTGTCTCCACTGCTGTCACGGAAGTTTCTGAACCATACTTCACCCTGCTGGTGGGTGCAGATCTTGATGAAGGGGAGCCCCAGGGACTGGGTTCGGATATTGTTCGCCACTGATGTTAGCCGTGACCGGGGGGAAATCAACTTTGGGCCAAAGAATTCATAGCGCGCGGCATTAACGCCAACGCACTACGCTAGAGGTGTGTAACACATCGCACTCACAAATAGAATGTTTAAGAATTAGACTGCCAAATATTTCAACTAATTTATTTACCATTGTATTGTTTTGAGTTCATAAGCACGTGCATAAGTCATGAATAGAATCGATCGTGACAGAAACTGGGGGGGGGGGGGACGAAAGCTAGTGGTCCGGGTTCATTTCAAACTTTTGACTCTTTAACTGTTGAACTCTTGAACAACAATAAAACATCAAAATCCCTCCTCGTCGCCTTAACAGAACGTTGGATTCGCGTCAGGATTCGGACAGCTTCCCCAGGCTGACGGTAAATGACTCTATCTTGAGCAACAATCTCTGCCAGAGAGATAGATCCCGTCAGTTTTGATCAACCTCCAGGCTTTGTTCATAACGCCACCGAGGGTGTGACATGTTAACTCTTAACACGTCGGGGTTTCGAGGCTAATATCACCATTCATATAAACGATTTAAAAGCCATCCATCAAGTCAAGCAAAACAAAAACACACTCATGTTCAACAATACTGCCTTAAACATTTTTTTAAATATTTATCATGACATATATGTAAAATTGACGACGTTTCGGACCATAGCCCTTCTTCATATCAATGTTGTCCTGAGAACAGGATTACTAAAAACATTGAAAAAATCTAGAAAGTGCTTATGAGTGAGAACACGCAGCGCCGATGAAACGCACCCGGCACCATCACAGAAACCCATAGACTCACTCATAGAGACCCATAGACTCACTCATAGAGACCCATAGACTCACTCACAGAGACCCATAGACTCACTCATAGAGACCCATAGACTCACTCATAGAAACCCATAGACTCACATAGAGACCCCTAGACTCACTCATAGAGACCCATAGACTCACTCACAGAGACCCATAGACTCACTCATAGAGACCCATAGACTCACTCACAGACACCCATGAACCCACTCACAGAGACCCGTAGACTCACTCACAGAGACCCATAGACTCACTCACAGAGACCCATAGACTCACTCACAGAGACCCATAGACTCACTCACAGAGACCCATAGACTCACTCATAGAGACCCATAGACTCACTCACAGACACCCATGAACCCACTCACAGAGACCCGTAGACTCACTCACAGAGACCCATAGACTCACTCACAGAGACCCATAGACTCACTCACAGAGACCCATAGACTCACTCACAGAGACCCATAGACTCACTCATAGAGACCCATAGACTCACTCACAGACACCCATGAACCCACTCACAGAGACCCGTAGACTCACTCACAGAGACCCATAGACTCACTCACAGAGACCCATAGACTCACTCACAGAGACCCATAGACTCACTTACAGAGACCCATAGACTCACTCACAGAGACCCATAGACTCATATAGAGAGACCCATAGACTCATTCACGATCGAAACTGAATCAGCAGTTCCACTGCTGCATTATTTTTTCCGCCTGAGAACGACCGCTTGTGTTGTGCTCGAAACGTCGTGATATATTATTTTTTGTTTTATTTTATTTTTCTACCTACTTGACTTTACCGAAAGAACCAAACAGTATGGATTCCTGCAGTCACGAAAGCTTCAAAACAAGATTGAACAGAACATTCGTTTTGTTAAAACCGTCCCTCCCAACCCTACAGAGCCAAACAAATTAACCCGTTAACCTGTCACGTGTACAAACAAACGTTTAGCACCATGGCAATTGCGAATTATTGTTTTTTTCACAACCAAGTATCAGACTACAGTAGATTTCGTTTTGAAGTTTTGCTGGCTGGCTGGCGGGCGGACGGACAAGCGAGTCGGGATCACGAGTGCTGACGTCACTGACCCCCCCTCCCCCGCCACAAAGCTTCCTCCCGCCACCCCCCACCCCTCGTGACGATCGAGGAGGGTGGGGGGAGTGGGGGGGGGTGCCCCTCACTCACCAATCGAGTAACGAGCGTGGAAGGGGGCGGGGGGGTGCCTTGGTGGCCAAAACTACGAGTTGGGGGTGGGGGGGGTTGAGAGCCCTTGCCAACCACCGAGAGATGTATTTTCAACAACAACAACAACACCATTGGAACCTCCTTTGCCAGTAGCAAAATATGATAATTGGGTTTTTACACTTTTATCTGGCAACAAAACTGACACCTTTTTTCTTTACAAGGAGTCATGTTTGCATTAACCACAATACCTGCGGTCGGAATGCAAACAAAAACACACAACTCTGATAATGCATGCACTTTCCTTGAAATTGATTTTAATGTTTTAATTGCATAGTAAAGTAATTGTATTTTCCCATTAGCTATACAGCCAGATAATACGACAAATCGCTAACCTTAAACACCGAGTCGTTCATAAAAGTTTAAGGCGGCATAGTACTATAGTAATAGAGCAAGTGCAGATTCACTGAACCGGAATTGATAGCTTGAAAGCATTTAGCGCGGAGGACCTTGACATTTCGGGGCCCGTAGCATACGTAGCTACTTGTGCTCCTGGGATAATCTGGGCCCTCCTTGACCGATTGCTGTAACCACCCCACCCCGCCCGCTGAGCCGACAATGCCGTCACTGCTGCCCCCTCCTCACCCAGCGTGGCGCGCCTCGGCCGGGCTGAGCCGTCATCGGGGGACACGGAGAGGGCCGCGGTGGCGGCTCCCGGCTCCGTGTGCGGCCGCCGTAGCGCCACGCCCGCCCTGATCCTCGTCCGCGTCTCCCGCTAGCGAAAGGCATCCGGCAAGAACGCTCGACTCGCGCGTTCCCTTCGCGCCGTGCGAATCTTGTTCCGTCTCTCCACCACCCGCGTTCTCGCGCGTAACTCCCCCCCCCCCTCCCCCCAGCCAACACGGCCCCTTTCTTCCTTCTGGGATCCGGGGACTTTTCCACCAGCATTGATTGAGGACAAAGCGAGCTTCCAGGCAAGGATGGGGGTTCCCCTTGCCAAGGTCGCCAATTCTTCTTCTTGGTTCTTTCGGTAAAGTCACGTGACTTTGCCGAAAGAAGCAAGAAGATGAATCCCTGCAGTCACGAAAGCTTTAAATCGAAATGTCGCCAATTATCTCCAGCATTGATTTTAAAAGCAAGCCTCAACTCCGCTGAAGAGACGCGCCGAGTGTCGAAAGCGGTCCAGGGTTGTTGCTTGTGTCTCGAATCAATGCTTCTGACATGATGCGGCTGATGGGAGACATTCCCAAAGCTGTCGTCAACCCATACGGTTTTGCCCGTATGCTTGTACAGGCAAATTGAGTTTTCAGGTCCATACGGCGTACAGTCGTTTCAATGCGGGCAAAAAGAAAATCAATTTGTGTTTCTCCCTTGTGATGGCACTTTGTAGGATGAACATTGAGATTTATAAGGGCACGGGGTGACCAATGAGGTCTAAATTGGTCTGCAATAAGGTAGGGCACTGATAAGGGGTGGACAAGTATGCATTCCTCGTATTTATTTGGTTATTTATATTCCAACAGTGACTTCTTCTCGTGACGGACGTTACAAGAGTGTGTTGCCTGCGGTTAGTGGAGGTAACGGCGTCACAAGGCTGTACCGGCGTCAGTGTGAAAGTTACGGCGCCCATGATCAGACCTCGTTTAACACAGCGGTAGAACGCGTTCCTGAAAAGTGTCACGTTGAACGAAAAAAACGCGATTTACCCATAAACAATGCAATGATGCAGTTCGGCATTATTCCGCGTCCTGTATCATTGGACCGCTCAGCTTCGCAGCTCCAGAAAGTAGTTCGGCGTCGACCGCTCAGAAGCCGCGTTATAGCGGTGCACACGTTCCTCGTTATAGCGGTGCGCGTTTCGGCATTATAACAATGTGCGCATTCCGCGTTGTAGCGGCGCGCGTTACAACAGTGCGCGTTTCCGCATTATAACAATGTCTGGGTTGTAGCGGTGCATGTTCCGCGTTATAGAGGTGCTCGCGTTCCTCGTTGTGTGAAGGTGTTCCCTCATGGAAGAACCGCGTTATAGAGAAACCGCGTTATATTGTGAACACCACGCGCTAAGCAAGCACTTACCATACGTGTTATTGCGTGCCGCCCATTCTATATGTTTGTCTGTCAAGGCCATTGGGTTGTTTTTAGTATTCGTGCTGCCAACGCAGCATCACCAAATAATGCATACGTGCAATACAGGGCATTTACACGCCAGAGGCGCTACGCCAGCGATTCTCAACCCCGTAGGCTTGCGCAGGCTGCAGCATGGATACCGTGCAGGAGAAATGTTGCAGGCACGTGGGAAACACCAGAGCAAACGTTGTGGTGACACAGCATACGAATACAAAATGAGGCTATTCGGGGGACCTTTGTATTTGTCTGGACCCCTGAGCAGAAACATTGTTTATCTGTATTTCAATGATGCAGTTTTTGTGGTACGCGTGATAATGAAGTTACCTTGTTCAGAGAGTCCGATTGCAGGTGCAGCTTTTGCATCTCTTGAACCAACCGGTCTCTCATGTCACACTCTTTTGTATTCAATTCATCTAGAAAAAAAAATAAAAAATATATATACGTTGAAAATATTTGGGGTCATTAATAAAGAATATTTTAAAAACTATAAAACATTCAATCGATTTTTTTGGGTCAGATCGCAGAAGCAAAAATATGTGCTGCATACCTGACAGCCGCAAAGAAACAATCGATTATGAATCGTGGCATCGTTTGCGAAAGCCTGCGTGTTCAACCGCAAACAACGAATGAAAGGCCAAAAAAACCCCACACGTACCGAGATTCTGTTCCGTGAACTGCAGTAGGTTTATGCCTTCGTTAAAACTTCCTGCGTGAATGAAAACGCAACAACAACAAACAAACAGAGATGTGTCCAGCAATCCAGTATCCGTGCCGCACGCATACACAGTTTGCAATTTGACTGCAACACTAAACACACAACGTAGATCAGCACAACATTGGCGTCCCCATGACGCAATCGACCCAACTCACATTTTCTAATTAGTTTTTTTATGGTGTTAATATCTTAATGTGTGAATTTGTGTGTGTGTGTGCTGCTCATATTGATGAACAGATGGAGAGCGGTAGTGTAGCAGTTAGCACACTGCACTACGAACCCAACGACCCGAGTTTGATTCCCGCTCACAGCCAACACCAGTGGCGATTATCTGAACCGGTCATGGGCCTCCCCTAGGTCGACTCAGCCTCAAATGAGTACCTGGTGCTGTGTAAAAACATCGCCACTGGGGAAACAAAGGCGGTCGGGCGTGGTGCTGGCCACCCACCCCCTCGTGTACGGTGCCGGCCTTCATATGTGCCCGCTAAACGCACTTTCCCCAACAATCTGTTAAAGCTATACGGGGGATCTTTGTCTTTGTTTCGTTCATGTTGATAACGTTGCCTTGTAAAACATATTTGTACGCACTTGTATTGAGATGGTTTCGTAAATAAATAAATATAATGCTGTTAACCGTAATTTTTTTTTATTTTCACCTCTCCACAGAAAATGTATCCCGATGATGCTATCGCTGTCACACCATAAACTCACTGCCACAGAGCGGGGGGACAGATTGGCCCACGGAGAGAGAGACATCACACAGCTACCACCTTTGAAAACCCTTCAAGTGACCTCTGGTATACGTAGTACTTTCCTATTCTCTGACATAGAGAGAAATTTTGTCTATTTTATATCAAACCAATCTTTTTTATTTTTAGAGCTGGAATTTCGCCAAATCAAGCAAATAACCAAATTTAATGTGGCTGAGAGTTTTGCGTTTTTTGTGCATTCAATTGATGACCAGGCTGAGACCTTAAACTCGCTGCTGCACTCTAGAAGCCCAGTTCATATTCACAGATGGCTGCATTGGATTCGGACCTAGACTTCTAAGCGATGCCAACTCCAGCGCCACCCAGGTCGTTCTCAAATAATCATCGTGATTATTGCCGATGTCAAAATGTCAAAATGCCACTGCCATTGCATACATGCGTGTTGAACTTCTTTCACGCCGTACGTCGCCAACCGTGCTCATCGGAGGGGCGGGGGAAGGACAACAACAACAACTATTGTTTACGACCGTGCGCTCCCTCGTCCGTACCTTTTCTTGGGTGAGTTTGCGGGAACGCGTTCAGCTGCGCGTTGGCGATCTCCGAATTCAGACGGAAGCTTTTCTTCTTCTTGGTGGTGGCAGCGGTGGTGGCAGCGTTGGTGGCAGCGGTGGCATCCTCAACGGCGCCGACTCGCCCGTGCCGGTCGCCGCCCGGCACCTCGGCCTCCTCCGCCGTCTTCTCCGCGCCGTCTCGCGCCACGGCCACCGGCAATTTCTCCGCCGTGTCCGTCGCGGGCACGGTGAGCGACGCCTCCGAGGTCTCCGCGTCGCCGGCGTTCCCCGTCGCGTTCTCTCGCTCCACCGTGGCGTGGCTCCCCGAGCTGTCCACGCAGTCGCTGTCGGACGACGGCGGAGGGCTCGTGGCCCGCTCCTCCTCCTCCGAGTTGATCTCGAAGAACTGGTCGTCTTCCAGCACGTCCGACGGGCTGGCAGGGATGAAGTTTATCGTCGGCATGGAGAGGCCGCCGCCAGCTCCTGCCACAGTCTCGCCGTCGCCGTCATCGCGGCCGGCGCCACACGCAAGGTTCTCAATTCCGGCCATCTCCTCCTCGCTGCTCACGCTCGCCTCCATCCGACGCGTCTCCACGTTGGGCAGCGAGGTCAAAGCCGCGAGCTTCTTCTTCCTCCTTCCGAGGCCGCCGTGCCTGCCGGGCTGCGGAGACAGCGTCAGGCTGCCGGAGAAACTGGCCGCCCTCTTGCGCCACTCGGCGCACGCGCCGCCGACGCCGACGGATTCCGGCTGCGTCGGAACCCGCCGGTCGCCCTCGCGGTCTTCGTCGGCGCCTCCCGAAGCGGTGGTCGTTCCCGAGGCGGATGGAACCGTTCCATCCGCCTCGTCCGCCGCCGCGGCGCCGCCGGTCAAACCGCCCTCGGCGTCGGCCACGCGAGCTTTTGCGCTGGCATGGACACTCGGTGGTGATGGTGGCGACGTCTCGTCGACGGGGTCGTCTTCGCCCGTGCATCGACAGCGGAGCAGCCTCGTCAGTCGGCGGCAACGTCCTCTCTCTCCGAGCCGAGAGTTCTCCTGGGTTTTTCCGAGTCGCTCTCTCGCTCGCGTCCTCGCGAGAGGGCACTTTGCGCTCTTGCGTGGCATTTCAGGGGTCGACACCCGCTGGAGGACGAGCTACCTCCCCCGCCGATGGCACTTAGGGGTCTCGCGCTGCCTGTCAATTCCAACGCTTGGTTGCCAGAAGGTTTATTGGTCTGACTCGGGCTTCGTGGTTACATTGGTGGACGATGTTTGTTAGCAGGCCCGGACGACGTGAAGCCCGAATGGGATCGTCACGACCGCTCGTGGTGTCATTCCCGTGGAGCTCAGCCGCACAACATTGGCTGGAAGAGCGTTAAAGTGAGATGGATTTTCATGGAGGCGGAGGGGGGTGGGATACATTAATCCCTAAATAAAGCATTAAAATAGTCATTGAGCATGGGATAATTAGCGGGTATTTGAAAGTCAATTGAGCGACATGTTTTGATGTGGTAATCAATCAATTTTGTTACATATCTCTCTTATACTTTCAAATTGGCCGTGCACTTTAAATATATTTGGCATTGATGTTGCAAAAAGACCGCATCAGCATAGAGAGGGCTCATTTATTAACGGCACTGGGTAAACAATGCAGCTCCGTCAGAGGACGGAACACATATCTGCTAGACTTTCGAGTGCCAACATTTTATTATTTTATTAGCATATCAAATTACCATGTGAAAGTGCGCGGTTCATATCGTATATGAAAGACATCCAATTACACCATAATACACACACACACGTACGTTTTATGTATTTATAAACATGGCATAATTAGAATGTGGTGTTAAGTGCGTTGAAGAGAAAAACACGACAAAGATTGTCGGATACAGCCGTGTCGCTGAACTTGAAACTCATAACGTTGTACGAAACTAAATTCTTAATTCTAGATTTGAAGTTTTCGTGACTGCAAGGATTACCCACGTGACGGTAAAGTCACGTGGGTAATCCTGTAAAGTCACGTGGGTAAAAGTTATCTCGTTGTGGTTGTCCCCACCTGATGACGGACGCTTGTGTTGCGCCCTAAACGTCGTGATTTAATTTAGTTGTTTTCATTTTTTTATTTTTACCTACGTGACTTTATGGAAAAAAAACAAAAAGTATTCATTCTTAATATTCGGTGGCACGGAGGTGAGCGCACTGCGCTATGTGCATGTACCGTACGTTGAACTTCTTTCGCACCGTGCGTAACCAACCGCGCCAATCACAGGTGTGAATTTTTTTTTTCTTAAAAAGATAATGCCACTACGTGAATGAGATTAATCAGAGGAATTTCTTAGTTGTATCTTTTTCGTATTATATTGTGCCCAAACGCCCAACCAAAGTTCGTCAAAAGTTAACCGGTGTTTTGTGACATATCCCCAGCAAACGTGTAACGCTGCGTCAACGTTCGTCCAATGGTTACAACTACGTGATGCCGCTCTGCCGGCGCCGCACCCGCGATGCCCATACCACGGAACGGCCTGGCCGACGCTGCTCTTCCCTCACCTCCCCCCTACATTGAACCTCGCGGGGAAGTCGCCTGGCCCACAGGTTTTCACCCAGGAGCCCTCCTCGTGGGGGGACATTCTCCACGTTTTTTCCTGAGGCCAGGGAATTGTCCGAGGCTTCCCCCAGGATAAATTGCACCGCGGCGCCGTGAATCGACTTGAAATTACATGTCTCACGGCGGGGCCACTCAGCCGACCGCAGCGTTAACGGCACACACCGCGCGTGTAGCGCGTAGAGATACATTGGTGAGCGTGTGTTTCGCAGCCGCAGCTTGATTAATGAGTTCCGACCCGCAGCGGTGAGGTCATCGGTAACCACGCAACGGTTTAAAGTCCTGCCAGCAAAAAGCGCTGACTAATTAATTGATTCCGAACGGCTGCGACGGCAAATAAAACAATATTACGTAAAGTAATAGGTTTTTCCCCTTTTTTCTGGCAACAAAAACTGACACCTTTTGCAAGGAATCATGCTTACATTAACCACAATACTTGCAGTCAAATGCAAAAAAAAACAATACTCTGATAATTTATGCATTGTCTTTGAAACTGATTGGTCCACACCAGAGACAGCTTTCTTTAGAGCCTAGTCTCATATGGTGTTCGACCAGATGACGCCAAAAGGCGCACTTTTGGCGTCATCTGGTCGAACACCATATGAGACTAGGCCAGCCCAGAGTTACGTCTCACAGAGGGGAAGCGGCAGCAGCAGCGAGGAGTGAGGAAGAGGAGGAAGGGGGAGAGGAATCGGGGGGCACCAGCCTCAACAACTACATGACAACGTTAGACCAACGTCGGCTTACCTACCGGCAGTCAGTTCGTGCCATATCCGAACCACCATCCACCACGGTCATTCTCACCGACCGCAGCGCAAGAGCGTGGCCGCTATGAGTGACCACTACTTGTACTAAATTTCGATTTAAAGCTTTCGTGACTGCAGGGATTCATCTTCTTGGTTCTTTCGGTAAAGTCACGTAGAAGGGAAATAATAAAATAATAAAAATAAAACATTCTCAAATAATTCTCACGACGTTTCGGCCACACGGCAAGCAGCCGTCCTCAGGTGAAGAACAGGTGTGTCGACAGGTGAAGAACAGATCTGTCGACAGACCTGTTCTTCACCTGAGGACGGCTGCTTGCGTTGTGGCCGAAACGTCGTGAGAATTATTTTATTATGTTAAATTTTATTATTTTATTATTTACCTTCTACGTGACTTTACCGAAAGAACCAAGAAGACGCTACTTGTACTCTTTGTCAACAAAACACGGATGAAAAAATGAAAATCACAAACGGGGTCCTTTTTGTGCAAAAAGCTGTTTTTTTAATCGACATCGGTGGTGGACAAAAAACCGGGGGGTTCACCACGTGGGCACAACGTTCCCATGAGCCGACCGTGTCCAAGCTTGAGGACGTGGAGCCAGCACAACCGCACACACACAAAGACAAAGATCCCCCGTATAGCTCAAAAGACTGTTGAGGCAAGTGCTGTTAACGAGCACCTATGAAGGCCGGCACGACACTCATAGGGGTGGGTGGGTGGCCAGCACCACGCCCGGCTACCTTTGTCTCCCCAGTGGCGATGTTTACACACTGCACCAGCTACTCATTTGAGGCTGAGTCGACCTAGGGGGGGGGGACCAGGACCGGTTCAGGTAATCGTCACTGGCGCTAACCGTGAGCGGGAATCGATCCCGGGTCGCCGGATCCGTTGCGTAGCGCGCTGACCGCTTCACCACCGCTCCACGCACACAAAGACAAAGGTCCCCTGTGTAGCCTCAACAGACCGTTAGGGTCGGTTTGGCACGCGCGTTAACTGCACAACGCGCTCAGTCTCGCAGGTGTCTCGGGCACTACAAACGTCGACACGGAGCACAAAGGCATCCACGACCAGAGGCAAACTCCGTCGTATGTACGGTGAACTTCTTTCGCACCGCACGTAGCCAGCCGTGCCGATCGGGGGAGGTACGACAAGCGAGCGGCTGCGCCGTGATCAGTTGGACAATAATTGACAAAAAGACAGAAATGTGAATTATAATAATTACAACCAACTTTATTCTGCCTTTCCGACACGTAAATCACTGACCCCCGCTTAGAGACGAGACACGCGCGCCCGCCCGCCCGCCCCCTGCGTTTCCTTTTAGCCGCAACCTGCGCGCCGTTCGTACGAATGTCTACACAGCGGGCGTCGAACTCGACAAATTAAACCGCCGGCAACATTCACGGCGCGGATCGCAGAGCAGCGTCGACATGCAGCGCTACGTCTCAAGATTCTGTACAAAACGGTGAGACGCCTCCATCACGCGGAAACAAGCAAGCACGTGTCATTTATACGTACACTATAATGTATTTACCCCACATGATGAGCCAAGAATGTCTGTGTGTCCCGCGCGTGACGTCACTCCACGTCGGCCAACCCCCCCTCATTAATACTTATGAACAGGTGACGTCACTCCGCATGTAGCACCCCCCCCTCATTAATAATCATGAGCAGGTGACGTCACTCCACATGTAGCACCCCCCCCTCATTAATAATCATGAGCAGGTGACGTCACTCCACATCGAACAGCCCCCCACATTAATAAATCATGAGCAGGTGACGTCTTCAAATGGATACGCCCCCCCCCCCCCACCATTAATATTAATTAGTGGCTGACGTTACTCCACACATGGGGCGAGGCGCCTCCTCCCCCCTTCTCAGCGTCAACTCACAACCCTCACTACAAAGGCAGAACCCTCACGTCACGCGATCTCCGTAACGCTGTTGAGACATCAAAGTAAAATGGAAGTCATGATGAACAAGGGATTATAACCATTAAATGAAATAGGTCTGCGTCACCGCGGCCTTACAAATTGCACACGAAGTGATGCAGTGAATATCACGTCGCAGTCTGCTTTTCGCTTGCAAGTTTCAGATTTAATGAAATACACCCGTCCTTGGACGGACAAAAGGCTAGTATAAAATGTTAAGACACAACAACAGGCAAAGGAGATGAGGAAGCGCCTGATCCAGGGGCGGGAGGCTGAGAGCACAGACGGCTGGGGGAGGGAGAGGGGGAGACGGGCGTTCTAATTTCACGGCACGACAATTTTCCAAGCGCTTGTCAGGACGCTTGCGTCTCCTCGTTGCAAGCGGCAAACCCCTCTTCAGCCGGACACAGCGGTCGCGGGCGAACGATCGCGCGATAGCGGGGCGCGTCACATTCGGCTTAGGGCGGTCGAGAGCGCGCGCCCTCGCTGGACGCGTGGGGTGGTGGAACGCAATCGGCGCCCACCACCCCGCGCAGTGGGACCCCGCAGCCCCGCCGAGGAAGGAGCGGCGCGCTGTGACGCGACGGCGCAAGGCAAGCGGCACGCCGCGCGCGTCGCATGCCAACGAAGCGGCCGGACGCATCGCGACTCCATCGCAGCCGGCGTTCAGGACGTCGCCGGCGTCATCCCCCCCCACCCCGCCACCACCAACGCCCCCCACCCCCCGCCCCCTTCCCAACCAGCCGCACCGCAATCCCCGCCACGTCAGCGCTTCTTGGCCACGTGGATGTAGTAGCAGGGCACCTCGGGCTGGCCGCGGCGGTACGGCCGGAAGTCGCCGTACACGCCCAGCTCGCAGCGCCCGGCGAACGCCCCGCGCAGGAGCTCCGTGAAGCCCTCCAGCCGGTGCGGGTAGTAGGACAGCCGGAACTTGCTGCGCGCGCAGAAAGAGAAAGATGGTGACAGGAATCTCACATGGTGGTCACGGGTCCACGAGACGCGGGGGGGGTAGGGGTTCTACCATGTTGGAGAAATAAGCCATCGCTGCTGAGAAGCTGGGTTTCGAATCCAGAGTACGGTCACCCACGATTAAACCAATTGATGGTTTCTGTCCAGTCACCAATACCATTTATATAAATTGTGGGTTTTTTTCTTCGCTCAATACAGCAGATTCCATCTCTGAGATAAACTCAGTGACTCACCTGCACCCGATCTCAATATTCTCGCTCTAGCAAGGCCGAGTGTGGGGCCCTGGGAGAGGGAGGGATAGCGGAGTGACTCACCTGTATCCGATCTCGCCGTTCTCGCTCTCGGGCTCCGGCTGCATGATCGTGTAGTCCAGCGTCACCATGTGCGGCTTGCTGTTCACCCACAGCACCGACGTGCTGATGTCCTTGGTGAGGTCGCTCTGAATTCAACAAAAACGAACCGCCACCATGACCAACCCGCTCTCAGTTACACAGTCGTCAACATTTGTCATCATCATCTTAATGATCATCGGCCATGGATAATTCAACATGGCGTGAAAACCTCCGCAAGCCACCACCATCTCCCACAATCCTGATGTGTAACAATCCACCTAGCACCTGCACATCTGACCAATGATATTCGCTGCTCCTTTCTCCGTTGACGCGCCCTCGGACGGGTTCCATTCCTCCTCCGAACATCTCGTCAGAGTTCTTGATGATAATTTCAAGTTGATTTCGTTAAGTCCTGGTTTAGAACTGGAGAGACCAGGATAGGAGTCTCATTTGCAAGACCGATCTCGAATGACCTTGGGAATTAGTCTGCTGGTAAGAGGCGAGAATTGAGCAGTTCTTGCGGTGTAACTTTTAAATCTGGCAAATGTGGACCCTGACGCCAGTGCACGATGGCCCACTCTTACAAAATATACCGACGGTTCTTTAACGTCCACTGGGGGCGAAGCACACGACACATACTTGCATTTGTATAATTATCTCGCCCGGTATACAGGAGGTCCTGGGTTCGATCCCGACCCTGACGCCTGTATATTTGAAGTTTGTGGTGTCTCTCTCGCCGTGGTAATGTGTATTTTTCTCCAGGTGCTCCGGTTTTTCCCTCCACATTAAGAATCAAAACGCGTTTACAGCATTTGGCTGCTATAAACTTCCACATGATGATAAGCCACTTCCATTGAGCTATCATTTGTGGCCAAGACGCTTCGTAAATTGAGCTATAATAGCTCAGTAGGCCCTTACCTGGTCAAATAAAAAAAAATAGTTTCCAGTCTTAGTCGATTACCACGGTTAACACTCCCACCCCAGTAATAACCAGGGCTGGCCGCTGGATCCAAACCGCAAACTGTCCGTGACTTGCGGCGAACCGCGCTGCCCCTGGGCCCACCGGGTGCCGGCTGCGGCCACGCGCTGCTTCGCGCGACCGAACAGCCGAGCGGACGCTGGCGCTCACCTTGTAGTAGATGTTCTTGCCCGGGGGGGCCTTGCCCGTGTCCAGGATGTAGTCGTAGTTGCGGTGGTCGATGATGAAGATGCCGCCGGGCCGCACCATGCTGGCGATGTTCTGCAGCGCCAGCTTGTGCTCGCTTTGGTCGCCTGGAGGGTTCCCATCGTTCTCGTCGTCATTGTCGTCGTCATCGTCGTCGTCATTATCATCGTCATCGTCTCCGTTTAACGCGGTGGGCTACGTACGATGCTCAAGAAGTTCAACATTCATACATCCGAATCCGATCAGAGCCATCGGATTCCTCCAGTAGAAAATTGTATTTATAAATAGGGTATTTAAATACATATTTATAAATACAATTTTAATCATACTGGAGGAATCCGATGAGCTATGAAGCTCTTTTTCACATTCGCCCAAGACATGCGTTGTTGACCACAGAGTAAACCGCTGCCCCTTCAAGAGCGCGCGGTGACCCGCCAACCATCGCTGCTGCCTCCCACAGTGCTGGATTACGGCACCACGTGCTTAGCCAACACCACCGCCCGGCTAAACACCGGGCGCCCCGCATTTCGATTCTCTCTGCATCGATTCTCCCCGAGTCGCCGCACCTTTCAAGTCGGGCAGATGCGCGAAGGAGTTCCCCAGGCAGATGGCGGCGTCGAAGCCGTCCCCGGGCTTCTGCACGTCCTGCTGCAGCGTCAGCCAGTTGGCCTCCTCGATCACTGCACACCGGGCGGGCGGGCGGGCGCGTTAAGTCGCTACCCTGCAGCTTGGCGAGTGGGTATGGGTAGGTGGGTGGGTGGAGATGGGGATAGGTGAGTAGGTAGGTGCGTAGGTGGGTGGATGGTTGGGTACACGGGTGGGTAGGTGGGTAGGTAGTTGGGTGAATGGGTAGGTACACGGGTGGCGGGGGGGTTGGTAGGTGAATGGATAGATGGATGGGTAGGTAGGTGAGAATGGATTACAGGCCACGTGCATAGCCACTACTGTTTGGCATACGGGAGCGTGGCATATGGAGCGTGGCGTACGGGAGCGCGGCGTACGGGAGTGGTGTATGGAGCGTGGTGTATGGGAGTGTGGTGTATGGGAGCGTGGTGTATGGGAGTGGCGTATGGAGTGTGGCGTATGGTAGTGTGGTATACGGGAGCGTGGTGTATGGAGCGTGGTGTATGGAGCGTGGTGTATGGAGTGTGGTGTATGGAGTGTGGTGTATGGTGTTACCCCAGTTGTCAAACGCCGGCTCCTTGCGCCGACGCCAGCGCTCCTTGAGCGCGTACTTGAGCATCTTGTCACTGGCGTCCACGCTGGTCATCTGGAACCCCTCCTCCAGCAGCATGATGGAGTCCACCCTGTGACGCACGACGCCGCGATGGACACCCCGAAACGTGAGCGTGTGGGACCGTATATACGGACGCGGACGTCCAGACCCAAATGTCGCATACCTTTAGCCTTTCACGTACCCCCTCGTAGACACTGGGGGAACCATCAGGACATCGCCAGGCTACTGCGCACACCTCCTCCATCAATGGTAATGTCAAGACACGAGTCACTGCAGTGTGATTGTGGCCATGCAACTCAAACTATGGACCGTATCGTAAACCCACAGAGACCCATAGAGCAAAATATACACAGAGATCCATAGAGATCCATAGAGACACAGAGGCCCGCAGATACTTATGGAGATACATAGAGATAACATTAAAGACACGAGCCACAGGCGTGCAATTGTGGGCCATGCAACCCAAACTAGGGACCGTATCGTAAACCCACAGAGACCCATAGAGCAAAATATACACAGAGATCCATAGAGATCCATAGAGACACAGAGGCCCGCAGATACTTATGGAGATACATAGAGATAACATTAAAGACACGAGCCACAGGCGTGCAATTGTGGGCCATGCAACCCAAACTAGGGACCGCACAGTAAACCCACTGTGACCTGCCCTCCTTCAACGGAGGAGAAGGATGAACGGCGAAACGACACGAACTCTTTACTCCTGAAGCCCTCTCTCGTCGTGGCCAGCAGACCTTGACATTGCTTGACATTTAGCTCCTGAACGCATTGCTATCCGCACGAACAGGGCACGGGTAATGAGCATATAGACTAAGCATTTTCTTGTTCTTAGTTCTTTCGGTAAAGTCACGTAGATAGAAAAATATATAAATTAAAAGCAACAATCTCACGACGTTTCGATCGTTTCTTTCATATAGCTGCTCTATATAAAAAAACAAATTGTTTTATTATCCACGCAAGGGAACGGCATCCAAGAGCGGTTAAGATATTATTGATATTAACCGTGGCCGAGAATCGAACTCAGGTCGCCAGTTTTTTCATCGCGCAGTAGCCTAACCGCTGTGCCACCGCTCAACGGAAGATAAATAATTCGTATGAAAACAAAACAGGTGTAGTTTACAACTCCTGCGAAAACACAACCCAGCACACACACACACACCCTGGTGGTGGCAGAGATGACATCACAACCCACAGTCCTGACACAGACCAAGGTCCACCACGTGTCCACTCAGCTCATTGGAACTCTTGATAACCGCAGACAAAACTTAACATTTGGCAAAAAAATACTCCCTGAATAGCAAGAGAATATATATCATAAGTGACGCTTTTAGGAAACGACCCAATATGAATACGCCGCCTATTTTATTTTTTGTTTTGTTTCAGGGCCACTGTGTTGCTATTATTGACAAGGAACGTTGTTGAGTGTTGTTGTTGTTGTTTGTGGTCTACGCACTACTGCCAACGCAGCAGCAGCAGCATAGCAAACACGCGTTGCTACCAGCACAGGTCACCTGCTCCCCTGTCCTCTCGCCCCTTGCCGTTAGCCTTGGACATTCGCACCCTCCGCATCCACAAGCACAGACAAACATCGCACAGAGGTCCCTGTACGTGTCGCGGCCCTTTCGTCAATCTGCTGCTGGGCGAGGGCCTCGCCATTCCACGTGTGGCTCGTGGGGGAAAGGGGAGTGGGGCTAGTCAACCACACTTTTAGCACGCGCTGGTCAATGCAGGTTCGTGAAATCGGGCAGCATAGACGCGGGGAGCGTGTAAGTACTCTAGAGCACAGGATTGATTCAATGCACTGCCCTCTCTGCTATCCACAAAGTAGCCTTCGCCCACCCATCCACTCACTTATCCACTCACCCATCCACTCAACCAATCACCCACCCGTCCACCCACTTCGCCACTGACCCACCCATTCACTCACCTATCCACTCACTCAGTCACCCACCCATCCACTCACCTATCCATACACTCATCTATCCAGTCACCCAGTCACCCACCCATCCACCCACTTAGCCACTGACCCACCCATCCACTCACCCATCCACTCAACCAATCACCCACCCATCCACCCACTTAGCCACTGACCCACCCATCCACTCACCTATCCACTCACCCAGTCACCCACCCATCCACTCACCTATCCATCCACTCATCTATCCAGTCACCCATTCACCCAGACATCCACTCACTCATCCAGCCACTCAACCGCGCGGCAGCAAACAATGGAGTTAAACATCTCCCATGTGGTTTCGGGCTCTGCCACGAGTTGTTCGGCTTGACGTCCGGCGTGTTCGCCCCACGCGCCTGCAGGTGGAGCGAACACGCGGTGGTGACACAAAACATTAAAAATAACAAATCCGAGCAGTCAGCCAGCCCCCTCTGCCGGCAGCTCCACGGTTGGCATGAGGTCCGCGCGTAACGAGCGCTGTGTGTGTCCCATGCGGTGACAACGTGATCGTGTCGCGTGGACGAAAGGAATTGACCAAACATCCCGGTGCCAGGAACCCTCTTCCATTTGTTTTAAGGGGGAGGAGCCGGCGTTTCTTGAGACTCGGGCGAAGAGTATTCCTGCGGTTAACCTCAGAGCGTGCTGCTCACGGTTATAACATGACTGCACAAGCTCAATCCGTAGATGTAATTGGCAAAGGGTTGCAGGCAGGATAACGCGGGGAGAGCGCCGCACGGGACAGATTCAATCATCGGTTGCCCCACTGCCATCTCCTGGTCGCCTTGCGGACAACATCGGACAAACGAACCCAGAGGGCTTCTCAGGCAGTCGCCCGTGCAAATACGAACCAGGCTCACGCTCAGACGACAGGACCTCACACAGCTTGGCGTGGAGTCGCGTGCACGTTATGTAAGTTGAACTTCTTTCGCACCGTACGTGGCCAGCCGTGCGAATCGAAGGTGCGGCGAAGGACAACAAATTAAAAACACTAAATGCACGCAACCCACTGTTTGTTGTTTAATTACTAAATGTAACTTTACAATGTGTACATATTCAAATGCGAACCTAAAAAATTGGCTCGTAGTGCGGGGCCCCACTGCCAGCCAGATGGCATCACCCCCACTATCCCGTCCACATCGTTCCGCCAGTGCGGATGATGCCACGATGCAGTCTCGAACCGAGTGGGGGGCGGAGGCGCCCCCCCCCCCCCCCCCCCCCACACATTGCGGTAAACACCGACAAGAACGGCAGGCGTGGGTCCCACCGACCTCTATAATTGCCCAGCGGTGACGTTGAATTGTCACGCCGCAGGCACGGGCGAGTCCACTTTCACGGGAGACGGTGGCCAGGTGGAGGGGGGGGTTGGTTACTGAACTAGCGAGCGTAGCAGTAATCAATAGGCTGATGTACCTACCACTTGGTGAACACCCCCCCGCAGGGTGAATGGAACGATGAGTAAATATAACCTTGGATTATTGTTGTTGTCATTCGTGTGTCCGCTCTAAGGCTGCGTAGTACAGAGACAAACAAGTGGAGCTTGACCCCCTTACGTAACGAGACCCGGGACTGTGCAGCAGCAGCTGCGGATGCAGCCACTGCAATGAAGAGAGCCGGGTGAGTTGCTTACGACAGGGCTCTGAGTGTGTTGTTTACAACAACAACAACGTGAGAATCAATTGCGCGGCCGTGTGGGACGGAATCCGCGAGACTCACGAATAATAATAATCCTTGAGACTTGTGTGTGTGTGTACGTGTGGTTTACAGTACACGGCCAGTCCAACAGCATTCAGTTTGTACAATTCTAATTTCATGGACTGTGTGTTGTCTTGGTGTGGTCTGGGACTATTGTTGCTGTTGTTCCACTGCCCCTTGCCGAAGCTTGGAAATTGATTATGCAATTTGAATGGATATACTTTATTTATTGAATGGGCGCCGCCACGGTTGCGAGATGTTAACTACCTCGCCTGGTATGCAGGAGGTCGGGGGTCCAATCCCGACCCTGACGCCTGCTGCTGTAGATTTGGAGTTTGCGGGTCTCTCTCCCCGTGGTCGCGCGGATTTTTTATCTGGGTCCTGCGGGATTTTCCTTCCATATAAAAAAAACACGCACTGAGATTATTTTGGTGCCATAAATCTCCAAATGGTGGGCCTCTTTGTTGAGCTATCATTTGTGGCCAGGTCGCTTCTGAAAAATAAGTGAATACTTCAGTGGGCTTTGCCTGGTAGGATGGGGATGGTTTAGTTTTATTGGTATGCGTTTGGGTGATTTGTTTACCTTTCTTGTACTTCGCTCTCCTATCGTGTTTTTGTGATGTTTGTTGTTGTAACGTTCTTACCCGTCGCTACTGGACATATTTGAAAAAGAGCTTCATAGATCATCGGAGTCCACCAGTATACATATTCTGGTTCTGAATAAAATATCCTCCCCTCCCCCCTCCTATCCAATCTTCTCTCTCTTAATCCGCAGTTGCACGCCCTACCCACCTGCTAGTGGCACCACTGGGAGATTATTCATACCTATTTTGCTTGTTTGCCTCTCGGAAAGATTTGCCGAGCCTCATGATTCTTTGGCAGTTCTGGTTCGGGTTTCGCAGTCTGGGGGGCGGCGGTGATGGGCTACTGAATGTATAATCACATTTAGTAATTTGAGGGTAATTGTAACCAAATGTGGGCAGCGACGGCGACATGCAATGGCCCACTCTTGTTAACGACGTCACTGGATCTTTAAATTAGACGACGCGTATTTTTTTCACATATATACGGCGAAAACAACCCGCAGTATTTATCAGGGCGGCCGCTCGATTCGAACCGGTGGTAAAAGTGAGAAGGAGAAAAAAAACTCTGCAACAAGAGCGACAAATGCGTTCACGATGGGCCATGGCGGTGGTAGGTGGGTGAGTAGGTCGGTATAGATGGGTGAGTAGGTCGGTATAGATGGGTGCAGTAATTCATTACCCAGTGCCGCAAGCGACGTCCAGAATCCTCTTGCAGCCGTGGTCGCTCAGCAGCTTGGTGAGCCACGTGCGGTACTCGTCGGTGCGGCTCTGCGTGTCCCCGATGTACAGCTGCCACACGCGGGCGGCGCGCCCGTCCGCGTACTGATCCGGGAGCCCCTCGGCCGGCACCCCCAGCGAGCGTGTGCGGTACACGCTGTCCACCATGTCGGTGGTGAATGAAGAGTGTCCCGGGTGAGTGGATGGGTGGGGTGCGTTGGTGAATGGATGGATGGGTATGTGCGAGGATAGACGGTCGGATGGGCGAGTGGGGTGGGTGAGTGAACGGGTCGAGATGAGTTCGTGGATTAATATACTAACCGATGAATGGATGAGAACGATGGACAGGTGATTGGATGAATGGCTGAGCGAGTTCAAGTGCGAATGGATGGCCGGCCGCGTGAGTTTATTGCGTGAGGGCGAGTGGATGGATTCGTGAATGAATTTACGAATTAGTGCGTCGTGGGCCGATTGACGAAGGGGTTAGCTGCGTGAATGGGACGCGTGCGTACGTGGCCGAATGTGGCGCGCGCGTATGTGTGTGAATGAGTGATGGTGGCGGATGAATGGCTGGGCTAGCTGCCGCGGATGGGTTAGCGTCTAAGACGTTGCCGCTCGCCGTTCGGTCGTACTCGCTCACAACAAGTCAGTTCATGTCGGCCAATCCCCCCTACCCGGCCTTTGCTGTATTCTACCACGCAGAGATTTCGCTTCCCGAAAAACACCACCGCTACACGTGGCTCGGCTCTCGTCAAGTCGAGCGTGACATCACCGCACTGCAAGACGCGTCCGCCAGCAACCTCGCGCGCCGCACGTGTGCCCGTGTGTGTGAGCGTGTCACCGCTTTATTTGGCCACTCCGTGTTTACCCGGCGTGGCGGGGCCGCGAGCCGTCACACCAATGGGAGACGGGAGCCAGGTGCCGCCCCTCGCAGGCATTTGGCACAAAATGAGTTGAACGAGAACGCGACACTCGGCCAGAGTGACGCACATTGGCACTCACTCCTCCTACTACCCCCCCTCGCTCTCTCAAGTCTCTCTCCTCCTCCTCTGCTTTACCAGGCGCCACTCCCCAGGTCTTATAATCCTCGGGCGTTGCTCGAGTGAGGATGTGTATTTGGTGGTTACAATGGCTGGGCATGGCAAGCCTGGTGAATATATTCATAATAGAGTACGGGTAAATATAAATGTGTCGTTAAACCCGCTACCACCCGATTAGTAAGGTTTGTCACGTGAACAAAACAAGCCAGTGAGTTAACAATTGAGCACACTGGTTGTGTATTGGAGAGTAAACCAACGACATGCACAATTCGAGTACGACGTTTCGCTGGTAGTTACAACTAGCTTCATAGGGCAATAGCCAGGCTATCGGGTGGCGGCGGGTTTAACTACACATTTGTATTTACGCGACCTCGCACAAAACAAGTCTCTGTTATGGATATTGGTCCCGAAAGCCGACGGGTTAAAGTGTTTAATTTAAAATGTTCCTTAAAGGCGGTGCTGTTCCCTCGGGGCACGTGGCGACGTGGAACCCCCCCACCCTCCTCCCACCCCGCCCCCTCCCCCCACAAACACAGGTGTGTGTATTCTTAGGTTTTTTCGGTAAAGTCACGTAGGTAAAACATTAAAATTAATAAAAGTAAAATAAAATAAAAATCACGACGTTTCGGAGGCAACACAAGCTTCCGTCTTCAGGTGGAACCGTCACAGCCACGACAGCTGTATCAAGTAAATGAGAGATTGCAGGAGCTACCACTCCGTTTATATAATGGTTGGAGAGGGGGGGTGGGGAAGGGCCAAGTAAAGCACACTTTTTACTCACCTTACTATATGAATAAAAAGTGTGCTTTATTTGCCCCCCCCCCCTCTCCAACCATTATTTAAACGGAGTGGTAGCTCCTGCAATCTCTCATTTACTTGATACAGCTGTCGTGGCTGTGACGGTTCCACCTGAAGACGGAAGCTTGTGTTGCCTCCGAAACGTCGTGATTTTTATTTTATTTTACTTTTATTAATTTTAATGTTTTACCTACGTGACTTTACCGAAAAAACCTAAGAATATGAATCCTTGCAGTCACGAAAGCTTCAAATCTAGAACAGGTGTGTGTCTGCCCCCACAAGTGTCTGTCTGTAGCCGATGACGTGAACGGGCGCGCGCGTCTGCCTGCAGGTCAATGTGGCATCTTGGCCCGACAGCAGCCACGGCGAGTGCGCGGTTTGAGCGTCGTGAGTTTCACGGTTAACTTTGACGGTGAGCGGCAACGCAGCCCACGGCGATGAGAAGAATTGCCGAGGCTCATTGTTTGACGCAATGCGATTCAAGAAGCGATTCTCTGGGTCCCCGCGTTTGCCGTCTGCTTTGCGTCGCGTCGGAAGCGTCTTTCTAAAGGACCGAATCGATTTTTGAACGCAGCCGATCGGGTTTTTTTTTGTAATGCCCCCGGCGCGTGGGAGCAAAACGTCGGACATCGTTCCGAACGCGCGGAAAACACATCGGGGGGTATTGGACGGCCCCTATCCGGTGCAACCCCTCGGGTTACGCGGGTCCCAAACCGAGCAGTGGATAGACGGCGAACGAAACTGCGGTAACGAAACTGCGGGGGCCCTTCATCGAGCAGGGGATAGACGGCGGCTGATGATAAGTGGGAGCGGGTTCGTGTTTAGTTGTTCTACGCAACAGGATGACATTGCAAGTCTCGCGTGCAATGCAAACGACGGCGCGAGAGAGAGGACGCTCTCGCAAAGCGTGCGTCGGCTGAGAAGCCGAGGGACACACGCAGGGAGAAAGACGAAACAGCGCTCTGCACATGAGCCAACGTGTTGGTCGAATTTCATCAGCCCACAGTGACGCCAACGGCGCTTCCTTGTGGCACGCGGCCGCAGTGGCTCGGAGATATACAGGAGGTCGTGGCTTCGATCACGACCCTGACGCCTGCTGCTGTATATTTTGAGTTTGCGTGTCTCTCATCATCATTATCACGGTGGCTAGATGTGAACTACATCGCCTGGTATATAGGAGGTCGTGAGTTCGATTCCGACCCCGACGCCTGCTGTATATTTTGAGTGTGCGTCTGTCTCTCCCCGTGGTCGCGTGGATTGTTCTCTTGGGTCCTCCGGTTTCCCCCCTCCACGATTGGAATCAACATGTCGTGTTATGAGTATTTGGCCGCTATAAATGTCCACATGATGATGAGCCACTTCGTTGAGCTATCATTTGTGGCCAGGTCGCTTCTTAAAAAAAAAGAGCTTTACAGCTCAGTGGGCCTTACCTGGTAAAAAATAAAAACAAAAAGTTGTTAGTTTACTTGCGTTTCCGCAACGCCCACAACCGACCGCCGTGGACCCCGCTCCGAATCAATAGCGGCCCTTGCCCACGGGTCCAGCGAGACATTGCACCGTAACGATGACTAAGGATATAAATTTGTCCAAATACTGCTCGACTGCACAATAGTACAGACGTACAAGTATCCGATTCGCTACGCAAGCGTAACTTCGCATGCTTGTTCATCAGCCGAGAGCCATAGGCTAATGGACTAAGCTGATAATAGCTGGCACACACGGGCCGAATATTGGTCCAGAATACCCATTAGGTGATGGGACCGCAAGGCTATATATTCTCGGTTCTTTCGAAAGAACCAAGAATATGAATCCCTGCAGTCACGAAAGCTTCAAATCAAAATTTGACCGCAAGGATATTTTTACATTGCGAAACAGACCATTGCCTTATTATTTTATCCGCAATCCACCTGCACAGTGCATGAAAAACATTGCCAAAACACTGCAGCTGTTGAAACCGGCATATTTACCTGCACAAAGCTTTTAGACACAAAGCTTTTAGACTGCACGTTCACTCGAGGGTTCTCACACAAGTCACTGGGTAGAGCAAAGACTCGATGCAGGGTGTGGTCCCAGTGCAACAGACATCGCACTAACAGGTCACTGTTGCGAATGAGACCCCGATCACTCTTGCAAATGAGACGAAAGTGAATCTTGCAAATGAGGCCCAGATCACTCTTGCAAATGAGACCCAGCTGACTCTTGCAAATGAGACATAGGTTACTCTTACGAACGAGAATCATCATCTCTCAAGTTCAACTTTGAATGTATCGTGTTAAGCCCAATGTGGCATTCGACGATCCCCAAAAGTGTCGAGTGAAGGTCACCAAACGACGGAAAAAAATTGTACCGACGAACACGCGTTAACGCGGTGTGTTTCATGGGCAATTTATTATTCAACCTCCCCGTGAAACAACTCCCACAAGCCCCAACGTCGGGCGGCTTGGCAAGGTTTGCCGCGCCATTTCTACTAAACCACGGAGTCAACATAAACTCGCCAAACATGCAGACCACCAAGACTGAAGTACGGCGGTTTTACTTGTGGACGACCAAAACACACACACACACCGTGTGCGCTTGCTGCGATATTTCTTGTATGCATTCCAAAGCTTACGGATCTTCAGAGTCCAAGGCATCCTCGTACTGAAGTCCAGCAACAAGCCAAGTCAAAGGATCAGCCGCTAGGGTTGAACCCCCAGTCACGGTAAAAGATGCTGTTTACATGCAGCTTAATTCACTGCTCAGGTGAGAGAGAATTTGACCAGCCTGTAAAAGCGCGTGTTCATTTGTAAAAAGTGTGATTCGGAGATGGTGTGTTTGTGTTTTTTTTCTTCCGTGAAACAGTGGGGTGGCTCTCTCTTCTGGCTTTCACTGAACATCCACCAGCTCCACTTCAAAAATCAACTTCGCATTGGGCGGAATCCTGCGAAGGGAGTCAAGGAAGTAGGAACATCGAAGGGTCGTGTGTCACCGCACAGGTCAACGTCGGGGCCGCGTGCACTCGCATCGTCTGCGATTGACACCGTTCTGCTCATCCAGAACGGTGCGGTTATACGTCCGATGAAAGGCGTGCTATTACTTATTTGTGTCTTTCTACCCCTGGTTCAACTGACACTGAACCGGCACCTCCGATTAGCACGGTCAGCTACGTAAGGTGCGAAAGAAGTTCAACGTACATACAGTACATGACCGATACGCAAGGGTGTAACTCTTCGTCTTCCTACTGATTTGACGGATCGTCACAATTCACCGGTGAATGGTAGCACCGTTATTGGCTGTCGCGGTGACGTGAACCCATTACGTAAACAAAAGGAACTGAAAAAGATCAGATCTTACACCTTCAATTCAATGCATCTATCGTGAGCTTAAAAATGGTGGTAATTATGATGAATTCACGCATCGTTCCACACTTATTACACGTTTACACCGTGATGCAATTGAAGCAGTGTCCTAACATTAATCATCGCAGGCTTCGCTGTTGAATCTTTTCACGGAGATGCAACATCGCATGCCGTCAAACACAAACAACAGCATACACTGCAGTACACACAAGCGCAAAGACAAAGATCCCCTGTATAGCCTCTACAGGTCTGTTGAGGCAAGTGCCGTTAAGCGAGCACCTATGAAGGCCAGCACGGCACATGAGGGGGTGGGTGACAAGCACCACACCCGGCTGCCTTTGTCTTCAGAACGGCAATGTTTACACATTGTACCAGGTACTCATTTGAGGCTAAGTCGACCTCGGGGAGGTCCAGGACCGGTTCAGATAATCATCACTGGTGTTGGTGGTCGTGGCCACGATTGGGAATCGAACTCGGATCTCCGGGTTCGGAGCGCAGCGCGCTAACCACGACACTACCGCTCCCCGTATGCGTGCACGCACACAAACACACACACACTCCCGTACGCACACAAGAACCAAAAAGGATACTTGGCATCTGGCATGCCCTTCCTGCCATAAGCCCACTCAGGCTCGATCTCCAAGCGCACCTTCTCACCCTTGCTCATGGTCAACAACGCCTCGTCCCACTGAGATGGAAACACAGGGACAATGGTGACGGGGGGGGGGGATGGGGAACACATGACCCCGATTAGCAGGGTGCAAAAGAAGTTCAACATACATACATACATATGTACGCGACTCATTTTTATATTCTTGGTTCTTTCGGTAAAGTCACGTAGAAGGGAAATAACACAATAATAAAAATATTAAACAATACAAATTTCTCACGACGTTTCGACTGCAACACAAGCAATCATCATGAGCTGTAAAATCCACAGCAAGAAAATAAAAAAATAAAAACGGGACTCATTTTGTTCGGTTTCAACGGCAATGGGGAAGCTAATGTCGTGACTTAAAGCTTTCGTGACTGCAGGGATTCATATTCTTGGTTCTTAATAGTTTTATTATTTTCCTTCTACGTGACTTTACCGAAAGAACCAAGAATATAACGTCGTGACGTAAGGAGCTGCGCAGTGACCCTGGGCAACCGGTGAACTTACCCCGCGGATGACTCTGCCCAACCCAACTTTAAACGACAGCGGCTTGGTCGCTTTTTTCTTTTTGGCACCTGAAAGAAATTCACGCACCGTCAAAAATAATCAAGGGAATTGCTTCACCCCGTCACCTTAACAGTCACGCATATGCAACCAACGAGTCGCACACGATCACAATGCTCGTCAGCTGCTTCTTGTCAGTGGGTTCGCGTGATAAGAATAGTAAATCATAGCCCTTTGTCAATCCACTCTGGGATGGAGGTCTCCCCACACCGCGTTGGTCGTGGGTGCCGTGTGAATATACTTCACGGCGCTGCTTAGCGCGGGTTGGAGAACAGGGCGCACGGAACCAGTTCAGGTGTCGCACACCGCTGATCTTAGCCGTGGCTGGGAATTGAACTCGTGTTGCCGGGGTTCACACAGCAGTGCGCTGACGACTGTGGCACCGCGCACCACGATGGGCTTGTTACCTGCTTAGAAATGAAGGTCATCCATCATTCTATTCAATTAATTATCAGGCCTCGGGGTCAAAATTGTCATCAAGAATCTTATTGTTTTCAACAATGGTGCATGTGACAGCCTCCCAGCATCGATTCTTCCAAACGCGTCTTGCACGTTCATCTTGAGAAAAGTGATCTTCATCGAGGAATTGCTTTATCGTTACACACCGACAACACAACAGTTTCTGCCATTGTGAAAGGTGGCCGACGTCAAAACTTTCGGGAACACGAGTCGAATATCAGCGGCACTCTCCGCCAGCCGCGCGCGCACGCACACGCACACGCCTACGTGACGAGGGCGTAGCGGCGACGTACTGGTCGTGATGTTGGTGTCGAACACGGTACCGTCCACCAGCGTGCCAGTGTACCAGCAGGACACCGTGTCTCCTTTACGCGGCACGGTCACCTTGTCCCCGCGCTTCAGCACCGACTTTGTGTACTTGGGTGGGCCCTGGCGAGACACAACGGACGACGCGAGTTGGCTCAAGGGAAAAACTTGTCGGCGGGACAAAATCTTTGCCCGAACCTCGAGGCCTCACTCATGACGGAGGGAAGAGAATTATTTCCCCCGCACAAGTCTACCGACAGAACGTTTAACGAATCGATCGGCCTCGATCGGGCGTCGCGCTTTCCTTGAAGTCGCCAGATAATTGTATGCACGCTCGCTCCGAGTCTGCACCGAGGATGAGCGGCAAAAAAGTCAAACGGTGATAATGCGGAGAGTTAATGGACGGATATGAACGATTGGTAAACGGTAAACAAAAGAAACTGTTGAAAGAGCAGAACAGTATCGTAAAAAAGTACATGCACACACACAGATAAAAAAAAACTATTTATACATTTATTGAAAACAAGAGAAAATGCTGGAAAAAAACACAAATCCTGCCTCAGAGACTATCAGAAGAAATCGGGACAAGTAAACATGAGCTCAACGATAGGGCGCTGTGAATTTACTTGGTTTGTAAACATAATTTTTTGCCATTTCTGAAAAAAAAAATGAACTGGTAAAATCCGGTTACCAGTTTGCCGCACACACATAGAAATGTCTCACAATGGCCGAGCAACAAAGGGAATTTCCACAGCGGTGTCAATGGTTAACGCACTGGGGACCTGCAATCCAGGGGTCGCCAGTCTGATCCCATCTCCCGCTTTGACAGCTGAAGAGTGATGCAAAAGTGTCTTACATCCTACCCTCTTGCCTCTTCACCCAACAGAAAAATAAATGGGTACCGCCAGTCGATGGGCAAGGTTTCGCTTGCGGTGGGTTAAAGTGTGGGCAGCGCTAACCTCTTCCAAGACTCCTGATCAGGGGTGGAAGATTTGAAGCTATCGTGACTGCAAGGATTCATACTCTTAGGTTTTTTCGGTAAAGTCACGTAGGTAAAAATAAATATTAAAAGTTGAAATAATTGAAATAATAGAAATAAAATGATAAATCACGACGTTTCGGAGGCAATACAAGTCTCCGTCATCAGGTGGGATCGTCACAGCTAGATTTGCCATATCAAGTGATAGAAATGTCTCACAATGGCCGACGGAGACTTATGTTGCCTCCGAAACGTCGTGATTTATAATTTTATTTCTATTATTTCTATTAATTTTATTACTTATTTTTACCTACGTGACTTTACCGAAAAAACCTATGAGTAGGGGTGAAAAGTTGCTCAAAAACTCCAAAGAGAACTCCCTCTAGTTTAGGCCCATGACCAAATTTTGCGTTGACCTCTGCGGAACGCTTCGAGTGGAACACCTGGCTCTCGTGCGCCCACCACGAGGATGCCCGTTGCTTGACAGCCGCACGGGAAGCCGCTCGACAACTTCACGCGATGACTCGAGAGGCACTCGTATCGAGCATCAGAGCCACCAGGTTACCTCTCAAAGCCTATCCTGCGATGTTTCTTTTTTTCGAAGAAATCAAGTGGAAGCGTAAATTCCGTGCACGCTTACATCATCCAGTTTTCCAAAACATTTACCGCGATTCCTTGTTATTACCGTTAGTATGGCGAGGTATTGGTCGACGCGATGATGTACCGTCGAAGGCAAAGCCAGGTCGAATAAACATTTTGTCGTATAAAGCAATGGTGTATTGATGCATCAATTGTTGCATCATCATAAAGAAACGATTGAATAGATTGCTAAAATGTGGTCTTAATCTCGTCGTGAATAATTATCATGTTTATTTTGATTAACCATGTGAGAACTCATGAGACCAGGAGAGTCTCATTTGCAAGAGCGACCCTGCGGTGTAAGTCCGCCTGTAGCGGGCGATGATTGCTACGTATCATCCAAATCGAGTCATTTGTGGAGCACTTTTCGAATTTGCCATATTTTGACTCGAGACGCAGGCACAGGATGGCCTCCTCTTGCGTATGACGTCACGGGATCTTAAACATCCACTGTAAAGCGGACGGCGCGTGGTATCGTTACGGCTATTAGACAGCGTGGTATTAATCAGGGCTGCCACCGGATCCGAACCCTCGAACCTCTGTGGGCAAGCAACGGAAACGATACCGCTACGCCAGGTCACCGCCAATATTTCCAACACAAATAATAGCAGTACTTTATTTACTCCGCAAACCTTGAGTAGTCGATTCTTAAGACTCACAATACATGCATTGAATCGTGCGTGTGAGAATCAATGACAATTGATCCAGTACGGCTTGACCTAACCCCTACAGCCACTATTGGCAGCTACATTCATCACACGATGAGATAATAACCGATTCCTGAATCGATTCTTGACCACGAAGCGCGACAATTCATCAAGTCGCTGGGCTAAACTAACCGTCGCACCTCCACTTATGAGGCTTTTTCTATTTTTCCAATTAATGTACAATCTTTATTTTGCCCAGGTCATTTCAACAAAAAGCCGGAGCGTGTCGGCTGTATTTGAGTACTGGCACAAAACTCAGACAGCGTTGGATGCTGGGGACATCGCCACTTTATCGTTCAAGCGCACACAAAGGGAAAAAAACACACAAATATCCTGCCACATCACGATGATTCCTGCGAGTTCTCTGCAACAAAATATTGACAGAGTTTGCAAGTTAATGGGGGGGGGGAGTGGGGGGTAGGTTAAAAAACTGTTAAACTGTGCGAGAGAGCAAATCAACATTGCTCAGTGTGCACTGCCCATGCTATTGATCCATACGGACACACGCCTCTCCCCCATTGGGGCGGTGACACGGGGCAGCCCGTTCGCCCCCGCACTTGTCGCACAAGTTCACGGTTTGAACCCAGCGGCCGCCCTGGTCATTTCTATTGGACCTTTTTGGCAGTATCAAAACGATTAAGAGGTTCAAACATCAAACAGATACCTTTTGCAAGGCATCAAGTGTGCATTAACTACACGTACTTGTGGCAAAACATGCAAACAAACATGCTCTGATAAATAGTATATGCATTGTCTTTGAAATTGACTGGCCTACACCAAAGACAGCTTTCTTTATAGCCTGTACTGTTATCCTTTTGGCACACTCTGGTCTAACGCTGGTGGGACAAGGCCATAACGAAGGCTGCCGTGGCGAGTATCAATCATAACAATACTGCTACGCGCCGTCCGCTTCACTCACAGCGGACATTAAAGATTCCTCTCTGTCATTCACGAGAGAAGGCCATTCATTGTGTGCTGGGCGATTGGGTCCATGTTGAAAAGAATTACCCTTGAATGACTCTATTGGGATCACACACCCCGGGTCATTCCAGCAAATGAGACTCATGAGTTCCCGCCTAGTTAAACAAGTCCTTTCTCTGCTATGTATCAGTATAAAAAAATTAATCCATTCACCCACAATCCACCAATTTATCCACTTCACTATACATCCACCTATTGCGTTCTCCCATCCAATCACACAAATCACCCATCTACAAACCCTCCGATCCACTAACACACTCACAAACCCATATATCAAATCACCCATCCATCCGCAAACCCACCTATCTATTCAATAACCCACCCATTCATGCATTCACCTACCCACTCATCCTCTCCCCCACAAATCCATTTGCCAACCCACCCACATCCCTATACCCCATATATATATATAACCAGCCCTTATCGTGCATGTGCAGAGGCCATCATGAGAAACACTAACTCCGTCGTCGCCTGCAACGCACGTTTAATTTATGAGTGTCGCCCTCCGTCGTGACTGGCGACGTTGGCAGTGTGTGTGTACAAGTGCTACCTCTTCCACCGGTGCCTCTGCCGCCGCCACCGCCGTCACCACCTCCTCCGCCGCGCCCGCGTCCTTCACGTCCTTGGCCTGGACGGACGCCTCCTTCGCCGCAACCTCCCCTCGGAAACTCTGCGGAGGGTGTGGGGGGAGGTAGCGGTGAGGGGGGGGGGGGCACAGGCATTGGTGTGGGGGCGAGTGAAGCGTACACAAAATCTCAACAGCCACGCTGACCACCACGGCAGGCACGGCAGATATTTACCGTCATCGTTAGTATCACCGTCGTGGGTCAGCAATGATCAACCCGCTGCTGGATGAAGACAACTCAAGTCGTCGCTCGTATTCTCGCGATGTAACCATCTGTTTAGATCCTGCGCATGGTTTTATTTCATCGCTCCATCTCCGTGGTCTCACGTCCTCTCGGGCAAGTGCAGCATTTTTTTCACAGCAGGTCGCAGGTGACGATGCCGCTGCTAATTCCAAAAAACTGGGAAACCTGCTGTTCCCCGCTGCACAAGCTGCCCTAGCGCTGCTACCAACCGCACCAACATGGCCCCGGCCGCGATTACAAATTGAAAGCTCCCCATTGCAGGCGCTACCTCCTCTAGGTGGTGTGGCTATGCCCGACAAATTTCGGCGACGTTAGTTTGGCACTTTGCCGAACATCGATGGCTGCCTCGTGGTGTGTGGCGAGTTCTGGCGACGCGAGAAAAACACAAACTTGAAAACTCTCTTTTGTTTGCAAATCCGTAAACCATGTGCGTGCAGCATGGAGACAAACAATGGCCCCTGTATACACTACGACTATGTTTATTTTACCAAGTAAGGCCCACTGTGCTATATAGCTATTTTTCAGAAGCGACCTGGCCACAAATGATACCCCAACGAAGTGGCTAATCTAGAAATGTATAGCAAACCAAAAACTCTAAAGGCATGTTGATTCTAAATGTGGAGGGAAAAAGCGGAGGACCCGGAGAAAAATCCACGCGACCATGGGGAGAACATGCAAACTCCAAATATACAGCAGGCGTCAGGGTCGGGATCGAACCCACGACCGCCTGTAAACCAGACGAGGTAGTTAACATCTCGCGACCGTGGCGCCCTCCGACTGTCAAGGCGAGCGCTGTTAGCAAGCGCCCATTAAGTCTGGCATGGCATACAAGGGGGTGGTGTGGCCTCCACCACGGCTAGCCATCCGCCTTTGTCCACCCCGTGCTGAAGTCTACAAGCCGCACCAAGTACTCAAAATCGAGGCCGAGTCAACCTAGGGGAGACCCTAGAACCGAGCAAAATATTCATCGTGAATGTTAGCTGCGTGCAGCAACTGAACTCGGAGGAGCCAGGTTCATAGCGTAGTGTGCTAACCACCGTACCAGCGCTCCTCACATGTGTGCCAAGTTTTTGTGTATGCGTACCTTTGTGTCAAACAGCAGGGCATAAGCCTGGGCCAAGTGCTCTTTCTTTGCCGTTTTGGCCACATTCTTCAGGTTCCCCAGCAACTTCTGCTCTGCAAGGAACTGCAGAGATTGTGCATCAACAGTCAGAACGCACAACCGCAACACTCGCAGTCAAACTATGCACAAAACAAGCGGCAGTTATTTTGCAATTCGGTTTCATCATTTTTGGACAGCTGCCTAAAATAAAAAAAATGGACACAATTTCAACTCATTTCAGCCACTGGGCCTCACTGACATTGTACAGAATATATGCAGGAATGCAAAGCACTCTGGGACTTCCTGTTATCCTTTTACTGTGACTTGTTGCGTATGTCTGTGGTCTTTTTTGTTGATGAAACCCGATTTAAGAGCTTCCTAGCTTACAGCGTAATAAAAAATAAACTGAAACTGAACTGTCTAAATTGCATGTATTGCATTTAATGATTCACAAATGAGATGGTTTACGGCAACGGTCCTCAAACAAACTGGAAAAGGACGTTTAGGAGCTTTACAATCATTTCACATTCTCATGGGCCAGCAAAGCTATGCGTTCCTTCGCTTGTTCGTCAAGCAAGCATTGCGAAGCAGAGCATTCACCAAGACATGATGACGGGACAACGCTCGGGCAGTGGGACTCTAACGAGGCAGGCGTGCGGACAGACAGGCAAGCCAAAGAGCCCAAAGTGAGAGTTGGGAATCGTAACAAAAACGCAGCAGATTCCTCGTGCAAAACCCACGGGACTGGGCAAAGAGGGCCATGGCTAAACGATTGATTTACAGGTCTGAATGCGTTTATAATGCTGGGAATTTCCCCACAGATGGCCCAAAACGGTGGAGTCTCACAGCAGTGGTTGGTCGCCGAGACGATGTACGCTGGGCGTAAGCACACCGACTTGGAAGCAAGGCCAGCTGTGCTTGTGTCCAAAGTCGTGTACTTGTACATGAAGCTGGCCTTTGCCTACATCACCACCAGCGTAATGCACGAATGTGTTGCTTGAATCAGACCAGCATGGTGAAGTATGGTCAAACAAACCCCATGACCAGCCACGGGGCACGGAGACCATCAGTGGACAAGCATAGGGTTACATTTTATTTTTGTATTCCTATTCAAATTGATCTACATCCAATATTCTAATGAAGTTCTAATGGCGTGATGTCATTGATATCAATGCAATGTCATTGATTTTTTTCGTATTGCACTTATCAAAAGACAATGATCCCCCATATAGCCTGAACAGACTGTTGGGGCAAGTGCCGTTCGCGAGCACCTATGAAGGCCGGCACGGCACACGAGGGGGTGGGTGGCCAACCACCGCGCCCGGCCGCCTTTGTCTCCCCGGTGGTAATGTTTACACACCGCACCAGGCACCCATTTGAGGCCGAGTCAACCTAGGGGAGGCCCAGGATCGGTTCAGATAATCGTCACCGGTGTTGGCCATGAACGGGAATCGAACTCGGGCTGCCGGGTTCGTAGCGAGTGCGCTAACCGCTACCCTGCCCCACTTATCACTATCAACCTCGCCACCATTGTCATTGATGTAAAGCGCTGTGGTATTTTATGAAAGGTGCTGCCATATCAGCTGTAAGTATTATTGTTGTGGTGGTCATTCCGCATAAACCTCGAGAGCTATTTCTGCAGAGGCTTGCTACACTTTTCCACCAGAGGGCGCCGCAGCACAAGTTAATTCATTTGCCATTCACGACAACAGTTTACATCACAATATTTTGCCTACAATTAGAATAAAGCCAATCTAGATTTGAAGTTTTCGTGATTGCAGGGATCCATACTCTTTGGTTCTTTCGGTAAAGCCACGTAGGTATAATAAAGCCACGCAGTATAATAAAGCTAAGAATATGAATTCTTGCAGTCACGAAAGCTTCAAATCTAGAATGAATGCACTGCCCGTTGAAAGCCTCCTCTACGCCATATCGATCACGGGACATTGTGTGACCATGCCTCACCGCACTGTCCGGTGTGAGCTTGTGAAGAAGAGCCGTGACTGGGAATTGAACTCTCAAGCCCGGCGGCCGGAATCACAGCACATTACAGTCCACAAACTGCAGCAGCGCTCCCCCCAAGTGGCAGTGTATGTATGTTGAACTTCTTTCGCACCGTACGTAGCCAACCGTGCAAATCGTAGGTGCGGTGGGGGGAATGGTAAGGACCAGAAACTAAACAGTGTACTGCAGTCAACTAACACGTACCGCTGGTTTAGCAATCCACTGGTTTGGCAATCCTCCCCACACCCTGCAGGATCGCCGGGTATATATTAGTCTATACTTCACCACGGATGTCAGAGTGCGGCTTGATTGAGATGAAACACAGCAACGATGCCAATATGTGCTGTGCTGCACTGCCCTCTGCTGACAGCGGCAGCGTAGATGTTAGCGCTACGCTGCACTGCGAACCAGGCGATCCCATATCGATTCCCACTCACGGCCAACAATCTGAACCGGTACTGGGCCTCCCCTAGGTCGACTCAACCTCTAATGAGTAACTGGTGCGGTGTGTAAACAGCGCCGCTCGGGAGACAAAGGCGGCCGGGCGTGGTGTTGGCCACCCACCCCCTCGTGTGCTGTGCCGGCCTTCATAGGTGCTCGCTAACAGCACTTGCTCCAATAGTCTGTTGCAGGCTATAAAGTGGATTATTGTTGTCGTATCTGCTTACAGCACGAGTCAACATGAGTGTATAGACAGTGTAGAAGCCACAATGCCCCCTATGCTCCAAGTGGCACGGTCGAAATTTGTGGTGTGATGCAATTCATAAACCAAAATGTCTTGTTGTTGAAGCAAAAAAAAAACCCATAGTTGTCAATTATTGCAGCAAACACCAAAGTCCAAAATAAGCCGTGGTGGTGGTGGTGTAGGCCTGTAACCCAGATGTCTGGAGGCAAGGGTTGGTGGTTCACGCAGGTTTGCAAACAACCCCCCAACCCCCAAAACCCTGTGAGGTGGGCAGGTGGTGACAGTCCTGTGAGTGGGTTCGAGAAGCTTTCTGTGCAGGTGCCACATCTCAAAGGCTCCAGGGCCTACCTTGGCTCCTCCCACCCTCAACCAGTATATTATAGGACTGTTTTCTTGGAATTTCTCTCACTTGATACAGCTATCGTGCTGTGACGGTTCCACCTGAAGACGGAGGCTTGTGTTGCCTCCGAAACGTCGTGATTTTTATTTTATTTTTATTTTACTTTTATTAATTTTAATTTTTTACCTACGTGACTTTACCGAAAAAACCTAAGAATATATAGCCATCTCTCTCGTTTGTGTGGGGTTTCTCTGGGTGCGTCATTTAACTCTGACATAAACAAAAACGTAAAATGTCAGTTAAGCCGGATCCCCCGGACTGAAAATTTATACTCAAGACTCAGGCTGTCCCTAAAGGAAATACACAAACGCAGAGGGGCAGACCTGGCCATGGCACCACTAACTCAAGTGTCAGACATTTAGCTAATGGGCCGGTGTTCACACAATAGCATTCTAAACCTCAATCGAATAATAGGGGGGAAGCATCAATCTCCAAAAAAAACGCGGCCAGCGTAATTCGTCTGTTCATCAACGTTCATTTTAAGAGGCTAATTTTATTTTAAGAGTGGGATTGGGCCACCAAAGGGGTGGATTCGCTAAGTCTGGGCCTCATCTTATGACCACCAATTCACCCTTGATGTCATGGCCCACCATGACACAGTGGCAAGAGGATAACCTCCCCTGACGCCTGCTGCTGTTTATTTGGAGTTTTCACGTTCTCCCCGTGGTCGCGTGGATTTTTCTCCGGGTCCTCCGTTTTTTTTACTCCACATCGAACCCACGACCCTCCTGTATACCAGGCGAGGTAGTTAACACATTCCTGCGGAGGGAGCTGGTAGAACGTTGGGTTGCTCGGTCAATGGCCAGGGTCAACGGCGGCGTGGTGTATTCCGCAAACATGCCCGACTGTGAGGGCGGGCACAAGCCGGCGTGAGTAGGTTCAACGTTGAGTTTTATAAGGGCACCACGGGGTGACCAGCCCCTCCCCACCCAGCCCCTCCCCACCCAGCCCCTCCCCACCCAGCCCCTCTCTCCCCACCCAGCCCCTCCCAGCACGACGGACGGACACAATAATCCCCTGTGGGCTGGTGTAACCAGGAGGTTCCTACCAGTAACATTTCGCGTTACTGGTGATGCCACGACCACCAACCCCACGCTGGCTGGCCATTGCTCAATCTCCTCTCAACAACGGCCCCCGATCGCCACTGAGTGGCGGTGACGTCACCGCGGCACTTATATACCAGGCTAGGTGCACCTTGAGGCTTCGTCGTGTCTAAGGCTCGCTACTGGCAGATCATGGGCTGACCCAGGTGCCACGTGGGTTACAATTGGCTGAGATGACCGTCAGACGTGTCCCTCCACTATACCAACTCGCTGCGGTTTATCCACCCGGCGCTCCGCTCGTTGTTGTGAGCGTCGTTCCCCCCCCCCCGCATCCCAACCGCCCAGCAGCAGCGTCCTTCAAAAGCCTCCAACCACAGAGGCCGATCCCTAAACGCCGCTGGGAGTCCAATCAGCTCCGCATCCTGCTGTACCGCATCATGCCCCTTCCCTTTCACGACCGCCTTTGTCTCCCCCGAGTAGCGACGCTTAACACACCGCGCCAGGTGACTCATCCGAGGCCAAGTCGACCTCGACGGAAGGGCCCACGGGGCCACGAGACCACGAGGCCACGGGGTCACCCACCCCACGAGGCCACGGAGTCACCCACACCACGAGGCCACGGGGTCACCCAGCCCACGAGGCCACGGGGTCACCCACCCCACGAGGCCACGGGGTCACCCACCCCACGAGACCACGGGGTCACCCACCCCACGAGGCCACGGGGTCACCCACCCCACGAGGCCACGGGGTCACCCACCCCACGAGGCCACGGGGTCACCCACCCCACGAGGCCACGGGGTCACCCACCCCACGAGACCACGGGGTCACCCACCCCACGAGGCCACGGGGTCACCCACCCCACGAGGCCACGGGGTCACCCACCCCACGAGGCCACGGGGTCACCCACCCCACGAGGCCACGGGGTCACCCACCCCACGAGGCCACGGGGTCACCCACCCCACTAGGCCACGGGGTCACCCACCCCACGAGGCCACGGGGTCACCCACCCCACGAGGCCACGGGGTCACCCACCCCACGAGGCCACGGGGTCACCCACCCCACTAGGCCACGGGTCACCCACCCCACGAGGCCACGGGGTCACCCACCCCACGAGGCCACGGGGTCACCCACCCCACGAGGCCACGGGGTCACCCACCCCACTAGGCCACGGGGTCACCCACCCCACGAGGCCACGGGGTCACCCACCCCCCACCGCCACCCCGGTTCAAGATAAATCGTCACTGGGTCATTTGATCGTGAGTGGCGATCGAACCGCGAGTCACCGAACATCAACCACCATCCACCCACCCACCCACCCCACTCCGCCCTTCGTCGTGATCGGCCTTCACCCACCGCCTCGGAGGCGTGCTCCTGCAGGAAGACGATCACGTCCTTCTTGCTCACGCCGTCGCCAGCCAGCTGCTCGGACGTCCACTGCCGCTCGGGTGCCATCGAGTGCGAAGGGGAAGAGACGGACGGACGGACAGACGCGGCCCTCGTGTTGGGCCACCCACCTTTGGATGATCGTGACGTCACGATCACGGAGCCCGACGCGGTTGGCTCGCGGTTTTTGACGTCACTTCGACAGTTGTCGGTGTTTTGTGTTTTTTTTTTATCGCGGTGACGTCACGCGGGTGTCGAGGCACCCGGTGACGTCACGACGCTATACCTTCGGGGGTGGGGTGACGTTGAATTCGCGTGGTGACGTCACAATGTTATATTTGCGTGGTGACGTCACGACGTTATAATTTTTGGGACTCGGATTTACGTTATTTTGCACTTTAAAACAAATACCTGTCAACCCCCGATCCGTGGCTACCTTATTACAGACCAATTTAGACCCTATTGGTCACCCCGCGCCCTTACAAATATTAACGTGCATCCTATAAAGTTCCATCACAAGGGAGAAACACAAATATTTATTTTGTGACCGTATTGAAACGGATGTACGCCATATGGACCTGTAAACTCAATTTCCCTGTACAGGAATACGGGTAAACCAGTATGGGTTGACAGGGTATGAAGTAGATGTGTTCGTAAGTCCAACTTTTCTCCTGTCAATTCCAAACATGTTGTACGAAACACGAAGAAAGGCTTGAAAAGTTTTATAATCTCCTGCAGATGTAGATGCCACTGGTTCTTCACGTTCTGCAGATGTAGATGCCACTGGTTCTTCACGTTCTGCAGATGTAGATGCCACTGGTTCTTCACGTTCTGCAGATGTAGATGCCACTGGTTCTTCACGTTCTACAGATGTAGATGCCACTGGTTCTTCATGTTCTGCAGATGTAGATGCCACTTGTTCTTCACGTTCTGCAGATGTAGATGCCACTGGTTCTTCACGTTCTGCAGATGTAGATGCCACTGGTTCTTCACGTTCTGTAGATGTAAATGCCACTGGTTATTCACGTTCTGTAGATGTAGATGCCACTTGTTCTTCACGTTCTACAGATGTAGATGCCACTGGTTCTTCACGTTCTGTAGATGTAGATGCCACTGGTTCATGTTCTACAGATGTAGATGCAACTGGTTCTTCACGTTCTGCAGATGCCACTGGTTCTTCACGTTCTGTAGATGTAAATGGCACTGGTTCTTCACGTTTTGCAGACGTAGATTCCACCCCCACTACTCTCGGTCCGAACAGGCAACTGGACATACGTACAGGTTTGTTCGTATCTCTGAAAGTGCGTAGGTCGAATGTTCGTAAGTAGAGGAGTCCCTGTATATGTTGCCCGGCTTGAAACCCGCATTGACCAGCGTGAAGTATGGTGAAATAATCCACACGACCCGGACGGCTTGGGTCGTCCCTCATCCAGCAGTGGCTTGAACAAAAACAATCCTGTTCATCTACATACAATGACGTTAGAGCAGTGACTTTTTGGCAGTAAGTGCACTCCTTAATAACATTGCCAAACATTATGGGAACCTCATTTGCCAGTAAAAATATGATATTTGTTTTTTTACCCTTCTATCTGGCAACAAAACTGACACCTTTTTACAAGGAGTCATGTTTGTATAGACCGCAATACCTGCAGTCATAATACAAACAAAAGACATCTCTGATAATGTGCACTGTCCTTGAAGTGTATTGGTCCACACTCGAGGAAAGCTGTCTCGGTATTGCGGTCTATACAAACATGACTCCTTGTAAAAAGGTGTCAGTTTTGTTACCAGATAGAAGGATAAAAAAACAATTATCATATTTTTACTGGCAAATGAGGTTCCCATAGTGTAGATGCTTGCCCCGAGCTCTCATACTCTGATGGTGCATTGTCTTTGAGTTGTGCGCCTTTTGGCGTCAATATGAAATGTTATTTCCATACTTTAATGCTTTCTATACAACTCGACCCGAAGCATATGCATGAAAAGACAAAAGTAAAACTTATGAAAAGCCAGGATAACGGGATGAATCACCACCAGGTCGAATATAAATACATAATAAAAACGAGCTCTCATACTCTGATGGTGCATTGTCTTTGAGTTGTGCGCCTTTTGGCGTCATCTGGTCCAACCCATGTGAGACTAGGCTCTAAGGAAAGCTGTCTCGGGTGTGGACCAATCAACTTCAAGGACAGTGCACATTATCAGAGATGTCTTTTGTTTGTATTATGACTGCAGGTATTGCGGTCTATACAAACATGACTCCTTGTAAAAAGGTGTAGTTTTGTTGCCAGATAGAAGGGTAAAAAAAACAATAATCATTGCCAAACATCTCACACGCAGGATGAGCCTGAAAATGAGTCTCGAGACTCAGGCAAGGCCTTTCTTATAATGAGAATTGCAATATTAAAAATTAATTAGCCAAATATTCCAATTAAGGATCATGATTTTGTGGCTCAGGCTCACCATATCACCAGTTTTATTCTGTACAACAGGCTGGTGTTGGTGTTCTTGTAGGCTGAGGCTATGACGTCAGTGTTCTTCACTAATTTCCAGAGGAGGGCCACTTTCACCGACAAGACGTCAGTGTGTGAGGGCCGCCACACATTTGAAACCATTGGGGGTTTGACAGCAGCACGATGAAGATGGGGGGGGGGGGGGGGGGTCACATTTGTGTATTGTCAGGGGCAGCACTAAAGTCCACCAGGGGCCGCCAGTGGGACACGGGCCTTGCAATGAAGAACACTGGGCTGTGATCGGCAGCTAAGGGCAGTGCAGAACAAACGTGTTATACTCTCCGCTCCCACGTTCTACATTCACCACTTTTCGCCCACACTGACGAGCGGAAGGGCCTAACCCGCACGGCAATGGATTGCCCTCATCCAGCAGTGGATTGACGAAGACCTGTACATGTACATTCTGAATAGACCAGAGAGTAATCTCAATAATGTAAACTCCTTTGTCAAGGCGCTGTGCTCCTCCCACCCAATTTAAAATACGCTGCCAAGATTAGCAGTGTTCATTAGGACTGTGCCTTTCCGACAACTCTGTTCTTCACCTGAGGACGGCTGCTTGTGTTGTGGCCGAAACGTCGTGAGAATGTTATGTTTTATTTTTTCTGATTTTATTATTTCCCTTCTACGTGACTTTACCGAAAGATCCAAGAATATAATCGCAATAACTCTCTTGAAACCCCTAGTTTGGCTAACTCGACAAAACGTGTTTTTTTTTTGCTCACGTGGCCCTGACCTTGGATTATCTATAGGCTGTCCTTTTTAATTGCAAACTGCAAAGCATTAAGGTAACAAGTGGCGAAGGCTCGCTCAAATGTTACACTTGTATATCTTTCAGCAGAACAATCATCCCGTTTCGTGCTTGCTTACGCGGGGAAAAACGTTTAGGCTGACGATAGACATACCGTTCTCGAAACAAAAACATTATCACGGGACATGTTTCAATGGAATGCCCCTAATGATACAATGCAAGCGATTCCACGCAGACTTACTTTTAGAAGCAGTATACAACAAGTGATAAACCCCGAAATCAATCCTTTATTTGAAATGGTTTATCCCAAGGTAAGCATAAAATGAGGTGCATTTATAACAGAAATAAGTCTGGCTAGATACATGTAAGTAAACAAGGGTTCTTAAAGCTTGATGAATAGAAAATACAGTCCATGATTAATTATCAAATAGAGAAAAAGTAAAATTAGATTTGCGTTCTATTCACCCGGCTCTTTCTCAAGTCAGTAGCGTGTCGAAGGCCCCTCTCTACATGTCAACGTTACACTCGCAAACTTTCTCTCCGAGCAGAGAGAATTACCGTAATATAAATTCAGACACATTCTTCAGTTCGGGAAAACTCTGAAAGTTCCAATACAACTTTTCAGTTACCCCAAACTTTACCCTATACCCATCACCGTAAGAAACTATATTTCATTCAAATGCCTACAAATGTTATTTTCATAATGACTTAAAAGGAAATAATCCATTATTCTTTTGCACGTGTTCATCAGCTGACTTACAGTGATTGGTGACCAAGTACCATTGCATTAAAATCCTGCATAATAATAATAAAGCTTTGTCAATTTAAACATTTAAAAAAATTAAAAAAACTAAACAATTTAAGACAATACAGCTCACCGCTATTATAAAATGCTCATGTGGTCTTACTGGTCTGCATGGTCCTCGGAAAAGGACATGTATATCCTTTCAGCAATTTCATCTCCACTACATTGTGCAGACAACCTTATAAAATATTCCAATAACATAATTAAGACAACACCAATTCAATGACTTTTTAGTTTTACAAGGGGAGGAGGGTGGAGGTGGTGGAGGGGGGTTGTTGTGCAGGGTGGGGGGGGGCAACCAAATAGTCGATACTAAAGCAGGCTGCAAGCACCAACAACACGAAGCAGCTGACGGTAAGAAACACTTGTTTAACGGAAATTATTTCAAGTCGGAGAAATGCTATAAAACAAAAGAAAAATATTTGTTTCCATACAGCCGTAGCTCAGAAATAACCCACTGGTCTTTAACATTTTTGCAACAGGTGGCTGCAAATAATCCACCTTGGTAAGGCTCTGGGCGACGTACAGAGTTCACACGTTCCGCAAAGCAATCGTTAGGCCTGCCAGCAGCTCCGTGAAAACGCAACGCCGCAGAATTGCCGAAGGACGACGGCTCCTCCTTGCTCCTTAGCCCACGAGTTCATGAGTGTGGCCGTTGCTGGCCCCCACACACAGACGGCGCAGCTCCATAAAGACACTTGCCGCTGGCTGCCACCGCCAAGGCAGCTATGTCGTGCTGATCCGGCTGAGCTCTTCCCGAATCGCTGCTCAAACAAAACAAAAAATCGCGGTACGGACACGCGCAGACATGCACACGTACAGAGATGCGTGCACACATGCATGCACACACGGGCGACGAGCGCACACATACGTACGTACGTGCAAATGCAGACACACAAATGCACCCCATTACAACAAACTTAATTTGATGATTTAATAAGCAAACTTAATAAAAAAAGATTATGCACCAAGACATTTTACATGGCATTTCGATCTTCTATGCAGTTGTCATAAAAAATTGTCGTCAATTATTGCAGCAAACACCACATTAGAGCGTTCAAACGTTAAGAGTCTAATAGATATTTCCGGAGTTTCTGCACCCCCCTCCTATGTCATGGCTTGTGCTCTGTACCGGGCTCCTGCTGAAATATAATAAAAACACATTTTTTAAAGTTGAATAGATCTCACCTTCGATGATTTCATCTTTTACTTTGTGCAGCTCTTTCCTCACCTCGTCCAGGATATCCTGGAAATCCCACAAGCATAGTCGTTATAAATCGGCAGTCATTCCAAATGTCATCATCATTTAATTCCGTTATGCTCCGCCTCCCATGCTATACATCTCAAAGCACCAACACACGCAGTCAGCTGGCTCTACAAGCCGGAGGGGGGGGGGGTAACGTGGCTCGGCATTTGCGAGGGAAGCACTGGCTCACAGTACCTGCTTGAGCCTGTCGTAATCCGAGCCCTCTGCAGACGAGACACCATTGCTGCTTGGACTCCCTGTTACCGATGACGACGATGAAGCAGCAGCTGATGCCAGTGCCGGTTTGGACCTGTGGCGACGACCGTCAAGAACCATCAACCGGGGGCGGCCAACTGCTCACTCGGCACTCGGAATTTGTAAATATTCGCACACTGCCCGAATCGATAAATTGTCGAGATTTGGATTCACAGTAAAGATTCAGCAATCGGTCCTTTCGTGGCCAAAGTGATCCAGTGGTAAACAATTATAAACGTGTATGGATTTAATGTAATGGCGTTGTTACACGCATGGGTATATGCACTTTATTGTGAGCGTTTATTGTGAGCGTAAGAATATTTTTAATAGATCAATGAATTTCAATCTTCACAGCATGCAGCACGAGTCGCACAATTTGCTTTGGGTGTTATTTTTCTCGTGTAAAGAATACTGCGCCCCTCAGTCTCCGCGGTATAGTGTGAAGGAAAATATTAGAGACTCGTCAAACTAAATAGCATCATCTCCTCCAAACCGATCTGTATTTTAGGTGAAATGTAACGCAATATTCACATTTCCAAATGTGTACAGCCATCAGACCTAGAATAATGTAAAAATAATCGCCTGGCTGTCCCTGACAGTGTGCACTGCACAATTCTAGATTTGAGTGATTTCTAATTTTATTTCTATTATTATTTCTATAATTTTAATTTTTTTACCTGATTGATAATTTTATTTCTATTATTATTTCTATTATGTTCATTATTAATTTTTTACCTGATTTATAATTTTATTTCTATTATTACTTCAATTTTTATTTAATTTTTTACCTACGTGACTTTACCGAAAAAAACTAAGAGTGTGCACTGCAAAATTCTAGATTTGAGCGATTTCTAATTTTATTTCTATTGTTTTTATTTTTATTTTTTTTACCTGATTCATAATTTTATTTCTATTATCATTTCTAATATTTTTTTTATTATAAATTTTTTACCTACGTGACTTTACCGAAAAAACCTAAGAGTGTGTACTGCTAAAATTATAGATTTGAGTGATTTCAAATTTTATTTCTATTATTTTTATTTTTTTTACCTGATTTATAATTTTATTTCTATTATCATTTCTTTTATTTTTATTATTCATTTTTTACCTACGTGACTTTACCAAAAAAAACCCAAGAGTGTGCACTGCAAACGGCCGTTATTAGGCCCTGGGCACTCGCCTTGAAATGGAAGGTGATCTGTTGGCCCCACCGTCAGCCCAGGCCTTCTTTCCGGCGTCCGCCACTGCACAGGCCCACCACAGACACATCGCAATCATCTCTCGCTCGTATTCGATGTGGGGAAAACGCTACCCCCCCACCCACCTCCACGGCTCAGCGGTGCGCGTGTGTGCTCGGCGAACTAAAAAGACACCCGTGAGGAGAAATTACAAAACTTTGAGATCCTTCAACAAACTCCGGGATAAGCTGCCAAGCCTGGTGGTGTTCATTCAGACTCTGTCTTTCCGACAGACCTGTTCTTCACCTGAGGACGGCTGCTTGCGTTGTGGCCGAAACGTCGTGAGAATTGTATTTTATTCCCTTCTACGTGACTTTACCGAAAGAACCAAGAAGATGAACATGAGTTTCGTCTTTGCTAGTATTTAATGAGCACTATGGAAGCAGACAGGTAGCTGTCAGAGCACAAAACATCTGTGAATGTGCAAGTTTTAAAAATATATATCTGGATTGTGTATCAAAGTTTTGATCAACTCTTTGATTAATGTTGTAAAATTTCTTTACAGCTAATTATAAATGGAGTGTCGTACTAATGCTCGGTTCATGTTAGATCATGTTTAGGAGGGTTCTATTCACCCCGCTCCCTCACTCCGTTACAAACAGACAGACGAACAGAGTTCATCTATAAACGCCTTCAACCATGTTGGCAAAGTTTAAAAGTGAATCACAAAAGGCACCAAAAAAAATGTTTGCGGATGGAAAATAAACTACCGGATTGGCGTGACATTTGGTGAGGTCGGCGCAGGCAGCCCACTTCAGACCAAGTTCAAATGTCACGCAGTGTAGGTTAAAGCTTACAAGCTTTTTGGACGTCTTGGTTAAACGTTCCACTATTCCCTCCCGTTACTGGCCCGATTACTCTAAACATTGTGCACAAAAGGAAAAAACACTTGCAGGGGGGAAATGTTTTTTTTCTCTCAAATTTTCCCCTTCCTAGTAAAAAATAAAAAATACCTACAATAAACAAAAGTACAGTTCCAAATTGCCAGTAATGCCCACTAATTATGTTGCCAACATTTATTATTATTATTGTAAAAGAAGGATTTTTTTATGTATTTAATAGCAGCAGCGGTGTGATGTGATTCCACGCACAGCAATTAAGTGGATGTTTACATGATAATCCCCACCCAGCAATTAGCAGCGTTACACGATTAGCAGCCCACGCAGCAGGACCCAAACATGACCCCGAGTCGCAAACGCTTCCGCAAACCTGCAATTAATTCAAATTTAACTGTCCCTTTTGACTCTCACGCAGCCCATGCCTAAATCAAATTAACTTCCTGCCTTTTTCCAATCCACCGCTGGATGAAGGCCTCCCCCATGCCGTGTATGTAATCGGGGCTTTCAATCTAATCACGCCGATCAGTGTGGGCGATTTGTGAAGGGAGGGCACCAGACTGGCTCAGAAATCGCTTGGCACCGGATTTAGCGAAGGCCAGGAAGCCATGTCAACGCGTTCACGATGCAGCACTTAGCGCACCCGAATATTTATAAGCAGTACATGAAACACAAGTACAGCATGTTACGTCCCGATTTAATACTTTCAAGCAGAAACCTTAAGCTCAACGCATTACTCAGAAGGCAATAACTTGCAATTAATGTAAAATAACAAATCTGTGACTGGGCTGAAGGTCATACTACAAAGCCATTTTCTTTTCTTGCAGTACAGCAAGTTGGTGCCGTGACTTTCACCTTATTAAGGAATTACGGGCGTGCCAAACGGAATTAGTAACAAAACATTGCGTCCGAAATGGAATGGAAAAAAGTAATCCGCTCAGTCAGCTCCGATGTCACATCGAAAAAACGTGTCGCACAATACCGGCTCCTTGATCACGTTAAGCGGATTACCTCTCCGTGACACCAGGAAACAACACTCCAGACACACAAGGCTAGCGCCGGATGCACGGTTGCGGCAGGACAAGGTGCGTTTTAGGCACATGCAGCGGAAATTGTCTCCGTGTTGTCTTTGGTTATGCACGGCTGGGTCGACGCTACTCGTGTTTGTAAGATAAAGGATGAGGCTGGGATGAGGCTGAGATGAGAGCAACGATTGGGGGATGAATGAAGAACGGAAATTGTTCTCGGGAGTGCTCACACGGCTGCGCTTCTAAATTACGCGATTCATGTACGTCCACTTGCGAGGCCTCTGGTAAAGGGTGGAGGAAATTGTTTAATGAATCGCCCCATTTTGTCGCCCACTCACCGCTCCCTCTTTTGCCTTCAAAATCGTCCTGAAAAAAATCCAAGGCATAAAGCAATGATTACAACCAGGAACAATAAGAGTCGAACATATGTATACCACAACAGGTTCTCGTCAACACACTGGGAATTGAACATCGAAAATGTCAGCACTGCTGTTTTGTTTTATTACCAACGAGTGTATAATGTTATTAGTCATTGATGCAGTGATTGGAAAATTAAGGGTTATCACTAGTGTTGCAAAATTGCCAAGTTTTGTCGAAAACATCTCATGAAAAGGAAAGTGCCAAAATGTATTGTCTAAAGCTGACGATTAAATGAGGCATAACACGTTGAGTCAAATACTGCCACGTACATTTGCTGGGATCTCTTCTTTCGGCTCCACTTTTTGCTGAGCTGCCGGCTTGTCAACAGTTTTCCGTCTGAAAGAAAAGCAACGATTTTATAAAGCTACAATTTTTGTTTTTTTTAACCAGGTAAGGCTCACTGAGCTATGTAGCTCTTTTTCAGAAGCGACCTGGCCACAAACAATAAGCCCAATGAAGTGGCTCAGGTGGAAATTTATCGTAGCCCAATACTCTCTAAATGTGGAGGGAAAAACCGGAGGACGGGAAGAACGTGCAAACTGCAAATATACAGGCGTTAGGGTTGGGATTGAAGCCACAACCTCAAATCAAAGACTCAAGGAGATCCAAGAATATGCTGATATAATACCTAGGAATGCATCGATGGACCCACCTCCCATCAATTCGAAGTATTGTCACTCTATTTAATTTAACCTTTTTTTCTCATTTTCACTATCGTTCTGTTTCCTTTGGACAGTCCCGTCCACTCAATTTGCATATGATTTGCATAATAAGCAAACAATCAACGCTTACGAATCTACACATTGTTATGAGCCTAAGAATAACCCAGTTCTGTAACTTGACCCAGCAGTGTGGCTCTCCGAAGTGTTTTTATGGATTGTGCCGCTTGTTGCTAGGCACGATGCCCGATGTTTCGCTCCACGGTGTGCTGCGAGCTTTGTCCAAGACCTGAACACCTGAAGAGGCTCCCCACAGCTCGAATGAATACTTAAAGAAGCCCCCAGCGGCATAAGGAGTGAAACGTCAAGACGTCCTGCACGGCAGGACAAACCGAAAACACATCGGAATGCCACGCACACACAACCGTGAAAAACTTAGGTGGCACTTCTACCCCAGTGGTTGTGCGCACAGGCGTTACCAAAGCTCGACTAACGAGCGACATCGCCAGTTAACGAGCAACACACGCAGAAGCAGCAGCAGCAGCAGTAGTACCTCCTGGCCAGCAGGGCACTCATCTCCTCCATGAGGCCTCCGCCTCCGCCTCCCGACGGCAGGGTTGCGCTGCCGCTGGTGCGGTTCGCGTCCTGTTTGGCGGCTCCACCGCCGGCTAATGGGGAGCCCTCCTCCGCCTGCTGCTGCTGCTGTGTGGTGGTAGAGGCAGGGGGCATGGCAACGGTGGGATTCACGGAGAGAGAGGCGAGGACTAACGTGAGCACCACACGATACCGTCGTGACTTCACCGTCCGTGCAGTGTGATTTAAGCAACTGTGCAATGTCTTCATTTGCATGTTTGGCTCGAATTAAATTTAGGTAATTTGAATGCGCTCCCTCCTCCACTACTTCCAAATTGTTTTTAACTTTAAAAACGTAGCTATGTTTCCCAGAATATCTATTAGAGTATGATATCAGACAGGCAAAGAATCCATTCAGAACTCTCACGGAGAAAATAAATCATTCGTGATTGGGAATGGCCTGTGGAAGCGGATCTCAGAGCTAACTCTGAGATCCCCTAAAGTGACCTGTCATCCAGACATACCACTGAGAGTGATATCGGTCGCTTGACAGTCAAATCAATGTTTGTTTGACGCAGTCATCGGTGACCATCCTGACACCAGAAACTCGCTACGCTCGAGAATGGATTAATCACAGGCGGCTGCCGAGATTCAATTCCAGAATTTCAACGGTGGCAGTTCAGCGCTCTGACCTCCGGGTCGGTTGTAACTTTAAGCAGGGTGTGGTTTTACTGCAGCCAGCCGAGCTGCCAGTTTATATATATTTTTTATCATTGAAAATTTACCGTATTGATGAAGGCTCCTGATCGGACGTGTTTGTGGTGCAACAAACCTTGGCCACTTTCTTGAGTTTAGCATTGGCCAGAGCAGCAGCCAGTCCCCCTCCTCCAAGATCACCTCCTCCCCCGAAACCCCCGATCGGCAGAGGGGGAGGAGGGGGGGGGCCCCCACCTGGGGGCGGAGGGGGCCCCCCCCCACTGGGTGGCGGAGGAGGCCCCGGCGGCGGAGGGGGCGCGGGGGGAGCACCCGGTCCTCCGGGAGCAGCGAGCGGTGGAGCCGGGGGTGCAGGTGGAATCGGGGGGGCGGCAGGAGGTGCTGGGGGTGCAGGGGGGGCCTGTGGTATCTGAGGCATGGGAGTTCCTTCACACACACACCAAAGGAAAAGAGAAATGTGCATTTAATCTTCCACAATGGCGTATAATGGCTTGTTTTTATGCACGAACATGGCAAGCAAGTTTAATTCATCGTTATTTGGTGGCTTTACTTCGCTGTTAAAATGTTTACATCGCCGTCTATTTTAAGAAGGTAAAATGGCATCCAGGAAGTCATCCGTCAATATCTGACAAAAGACGCATAAGAACTCGGCATCGTGCAATATATTATTCAATGGGCTTAATTTATTTGTCGGCCGGAGTCACGCTCCCTCGCCGAAGCTGACGAGTGCACGTGCTGATGAATGCGCATTTCTTCCCATCGCCAACGCCTATTGTTGTACACTGACAGCTGGATTAGGCTGCATCCAAGTGCGCAGCTAAAACCATTTTTTTGTTCCCATGCTGTGCTTTGGTTGTGCGTTCGCTGTTAGCGAAGCTCGGCTGCGCTACACACAAGCAACGTTATTTTTTTAAATTTTATCCCAGGTGCCAGCCTTGTCATTGATCCCACACCATTATTTATTTAGAAATGCTTTTCGTGTTTACTTGGTTGCCCTCCCGATTCGCACGGTTGGCTGTGTACGGCGGCGAAAGAAGTTCAGCATAGGTACGGGGACATCAGTGGCGCCAGCTCACAACGACCAAATTGAGCATTGGGGTCTCCCTCGGCCCCGCCTCTTGTTTTGCTTGTCGTGGGTAATTTGTACAGGAGTGTGGGGGTATTGCTCCATTTAAGCCATCTCTAAAGAGGCCAAAAAAACGCATTCATCAATCAGACTGCCTTAAAAGGTTGAATATATAATCGGCGATGTTTCAGGCAATAGCTCTACTTCACAGCACGTACGAGAATTATGTAAAAGCTAAGCGCTGTAAAGAACGCCCATTGCCCGACACGCCACCCTGTCGCATATATTTTTCCTTTGAAGGTCACAGTGTTTAATTGATGAACGTGTTGAGTTGAGTTTTTTCTTTGCTTATTTGTCTAAATAATTTGCTCTAAAGGGGGGCAAGTTTCACTCGCAAGGGGGCCTCTCGTACCTCTGCCTGCCACCTCAAAATCCCCCTACAAGACACGCGCACCGAATCCACTCGCTCCACTCGGTCCCGCACGGTGCAGTCGGTGCACGTGGAAAATGTTTATCCATTTTTAAACGGTGCGTAACGTGCGTTGGGAGGGGATCACTTGGCACACTGTATCGTGGGCCCAAGTGAGGCCTTTCTAAAGGTGGCTCAACAATAGACTCCGACAAAGAGAGAAGGGAACAACAAAGGAACGGCGGCACGTGCTGTTGCTCTGCGCGCATGGCTCATTTATTAATTGCACCACAATAGGGACGCATTTAACGCTGTTAAAGTCGAGTAGACATTCACGCTCGTTTGTATTGCACAAAATTTCAGCTGGCATTCCGCTCAAACTGCCGTTGACCTGGAAGGAACACCTCGGGCTCTGAAAGCTAAACGAGGGGCGGGGGGTGTGGAGGGAGGAGAGGGGTTTGGAGGAGGGTACCCTTTGAGCAAAAAAATAAATAAAGGGTGCCACACAAACAATGCAGGGATAATATATGGGAGAGAATTGAGAGGACTACGCGACAGCGTTATCGCAAAACTAAACGAATTCACTGTAAGCTTTCCGCAGCGTACATAAAACATTGGTAGAAATGCCCTCGACAGGATCACAAAATGATTTTTTCTTCTTTTAAAACAGTTGGACCAACTTGTTTTTGTACAATTGGGATAGCGGGTTCAAGATGGCAAGCCAAGACAAACAGGAAATGTGTCCAGCACTGCACTTCTGGATGAGGGCCACCCCTCACCGTGGTGAGTTATTTGACCGAAATTAACCACGCCAGTACATGTGAGTTGGTGAAGGTGGAGAGCAAAGATGTGCGAGCATAGAAGTACAGTACAGCAATGGATATTGTTGCACTGCCCTCTGGTGGATGGCTATCTCAGCACTATCCAGGCTCATGTCTGCTAAGCTTCTGAGATCTGATGACATCACGCACATTGTGCCTGCCACAAATGAACTACAATAACTTGCTGATCTTGTTAAGGAGCATAAACCATCGCGAGAACTCCGATCATCATCGCAGCAGCGGCTTTTGGCAAGCCATCGGACAAAGACGGTCACCGCATCGCGTGCTTTCAGATGCGCCTCTACAGCCGTCTGGAACGTTCTTCCTTCCAATATTAGGAGGCCACTGGAACTTTGCACTTTTAAATCATCTCGATTGAAAACTAATTTTTTTAGAACTGCTTTTTGTGTTTAGTTTGTTGTCCTCCCCCACACTTCCAATTAGCGCGGTTGACGACGTACGGTACGAAAGAAGTTCAACATACATACAATACATTCTGAGTGATTTGGTCACAGGCAACAAGAAGAGTGTGTGCGATTCTAATTCCCGAGCCACACATACCCTCCGAGTGCTGGTGCACCTTTCCAGCGAGCCCCTCTATTGCTGGACTGGCACACGGTAAAGCATGTGCGGGCAGTGGCAGAGCGGTAGGCCAGAACTAGAGAGGCAGTCTAAGCAGCTTGCATATGAAGGTTACTGTTGATGAAAGCCATAAGGGCAGGGAGTTGTTGTCTATGACGGGAAGAGAGCACGGTGATTGATGTCATTAAGGCATGCGGCTCTCAACCATGAAAATCCACCACCACCAGCAGCCCAACCTCCGCATCCCACCTAAAAGCCCTTCATGAATAACGAATGCACAGAAATCGAGCTCCTTTACAGTTCTTTGCAGGGAGTGCAGTGTGTCACAAATACTACGTGTCGGGGGGTTGGGGGGGGCAAGAAGGTGCAGGCAGGTAACGCTGACGAAAAAGTGAACGCTGCGAAAAATAGTTGATGGAAAAAAAGGAAGGCTGGAAGTGCAAATGCATACCTAGGCTCCTGCGGTCCATTTGTTCCCTCTCCATCTCCTGTTGCCTGCAAACAGAGATCACAACAACAACAACAATCACAATGATCGCACCGCGAGGCGCGACAACGTCCGCACGCAACAAAATCGCACGAGCAGCGCCACGTTACAGGAGCACCGCGGCCAAACGAGACGCGGTAACCGCCGTCAGCTAAACAACACCGCGTGCCATCCCACCCCCACCCACCCCGGCCACCACCGACGCGACCCCGCTCGCCGACCCACCTGTGTGGCATTGGCTCCACGCTCGCCGTGAGACAGACGGGAATCACGGACATCACGATGCCACGCATCCGCGGGCGTCTGCTCCTGCGAGAGTGTGCCGAGCCCGCTTCACCCTCTACGTGGCCGAGCGCAACGTCGTCACTGGATCGTGCATCGTCTCGCCGCGGTTTTCGGCAGGCAGAGTGACGCAGGTCCGAGGGGGGACGTTTCGGTGCTAGGCAGCTTTCCCGTGGGCTTAATAAGATTTGTTGCGCCGCTTAATACGGCCGAAAAAGCTACCCGGCTAATCATCGAGGTGGGGATAAATCCCTGAAGCTATTATAGCAAGTCTCACCGGCCAACACCAAGTTTTACTCCTCGTTCAGTGCTACGAGCCATTTAATTATTTTGTCCCAATGGTAAACACAGCTCCCACATGTCAGTGTTAAATTAAAATGTTATAATAACAATAATTTTGATGTATAAGGCAATCTTAAACAATTGATCTGTGCCATTCATATAAAATAGTTCATATAAAGAAGTAATATTGATTCTCACACGCATCATTCTTGAGTGCAAAAATAGATTGCAATCACTGAACTGAAATACATGCATCGTAACGTGCCCAAATAGCCAAGCTATGCAAGCTAAATTACATATATACATCAATACAAAACAATCTACACGTGGCACTCGGCGTGTACAAAATTCAATGCCATGCGTGTGCAGTAATACGACATGTCCAGCATGCCGCAAATACAGCAGGCAACACGTACTGCAAACGGTCACGTACACCATGCCTATCGTACACCGTGTCACACGTACAGCGTGCGTTGCGTTACACCATGCAGCGTGTACAGCAACGCGTCGCCTGAAGGGTGCCCTTTCGTACAACGTGTCGGCAGGCCGTGCCGTACACGACCGGCGTGGATAATGCGCGGGGGGGGCCCATGGCGAGGTACAGCGGCTACTTGGCAGACTCGCAAAAGGCTTGAACGTTTTCGCTACGGGGAAAATGACACGCGGCAAAACACCCGCTTACCGCTTGACTTCATCTCGTCGTCCGCGTTCTAAACCAAACTAAAAACTCAAGGTGAGGCCCATTGAGCTATTTTAGCTCGTTTTCAGAAGCGACCTGTCCACAAATGATCGCTCAACGAAGTGGCTTATCGTGCGGAAATTTATAGCAACCAAATAGTCTAAACGCACGTTTATCCGGAGGGAACGTGCAAATATACAGGTGTCAGGGTTGAGTTTGAACCCACGACCTCCTGTGTACTAGGCGAGGTAGTTAACATCGTGACGCCATGGCACCCCTGAGCTGCGGATAAGGTGACTATTATACAGGTGCTCGCCCATAATAAATAAGCAATTAAGCGTACGTGTGTACATTATTGATCTTGTTTTTCTCAGCTATGAATTCAGTATTGTTCGCAAAGCCTAAATAGACCATTAACATATCATCCACGTAGAATTTGTACAAAATTGTATTCACCGAGTCTCGCACACGTGATTCGATGACAAGTACAGTGCGTGTATGAATCAATTACAATCGATGGAACTGACGCATATCTACACCGTAACGTGTCTTTATTTCTACTAATGTTACAGCCAATTCTGGTGACACACCTTCATGTGTCGTCATGTAATGTTATCGCAACCGTAACATGTGAACTAGTGAGTCACACTGAAATAAGAACTTTGTATTGAAACCATCAGCCCTCGTCTTGTTTTCCTGTACTGTAACAGGCACACTTTTTGGCGTGTCGCTCACACGCATTTAAATAAGCTTATTTGTTTTTCACACTTAACATTCATGGACATTACCACTAAACGAGTTATGCCTGATAATGCGCTCATCAAATACTCTCATCGGCCAACCCTTAACTTAAACGCAACTTGTCTACTTCAGAAGCAGGATCTCCGTGACAATGGCCACATCATACGTCCACACGGCAACCGCTATTGGAATGCGATACAGGAGTGCTACGTCACGGCTGAAAACGATTCGCTCGCTTTACGCACGTTAAACACGAACAGCGTTACCAGTATCGATGCAAGAGCTCACCTCCGCATCTCCAATTCCTCTGCAGAGGGCCCGTTTTGCAGGCTGCTGACGATCGACGGCTGCCGTTGCAGTGTGGGACCTTGTTGGAGAAAGAACAAATGAAAAAAAACCCGTCACCGCTGGCACACCAAAGCGATGACTCGTCCGTAACGCCTGCACACCATCATTTTTTTTTCAAAGCGAAAACAGCGCTAAAAAATGCTGCGGCACAAAGCTCCAACTATGGACCGGTGCAGAGTGAAACGACGCTGGGTGGGGACCCGGGTTTAGGAGACGCGACGCGGGAATTCAGCCCCGCAGGTTGCGGCGTACTTTCAAAACGGAAAGAAAAACTCGGGACATCTTTTTAAATTTGCATGGAATGAAGGCGATTGAGTTACGTCCAACAAACCCGGACCGGACTATTCTACTCGCCCACGGCCAATGCCACCGCCGAAAGGAAACGGGCTGCGGATTGCAATGGACTGCGTGCGGCAATCCCAGTTTCGGTTTCAACGGCAAGGCGATTCACAGAAGCACGCTCTCCGCTGAACTCTTGGCGCAACGGGGCAACGTGAACCCACACGCCATCTTGCACAGGCTGAGGCTCCTGCAGGGCCAGTAGCAGACGCACAGGCAGCGGCAGACACAGTGCCCTCCCAACGTCGGAGGGGGCGCCTTCAGCTTCTCGGCCGTTCTTCGCTCCTCCGGCAGCTCGCTGTCGTCATCCGTCGCGCGGCACCATGCCATGCCAAGTAAACGTTCGAGGCTTTATAAAGGTGAGGAGTTGTTTACCGTTTTAATTACCCGAGCTCGAGAAATAGAACGCCGTAACTATCCGTTCACTTTGTGTGGATCGGGAGATGTAAACCATTGCCGCAATGATGTCGGCCGTCCGCTGTGAGAGACGGTGTGCGGTCGGTCCGTCGACGATGAGTGAACTTGGCAGCGGCGCTCGCTTCATTTCATCCCACCGTGATATCGAGCATCGTTACATCTCGGCCAGCTCGTAGAACACGTGGCTAAACAGCACACCATCAAACTCCCTTGAAGAATTACGTAAAATGAACCTCCTTCCCCACCCCATCCTGATCACTCCGAGAAAATGAAAAATGAAAACTTCTTCTCTACGTTATCGAGGCGCACTCCGTCGCGCAGGATAACCGCAGCGGCACCCCAAGTCGCACGTGGCGTCCGATGGGGTTCGGAGGGGGGGGGGCAACGACACTTTTCCCAGCGACGCGACGACACGCAACCACCCCCCCCCCCCCCCCCCCCCCCACCGCGTACAGGACACGCCGCGACCGCCGTCATCACGGCATGTGCTAGCAGTGGCTAAACCAGGGGACGGGTCGGGTTCCTTTTGCCGGCTCGGCATCAGGTGGCATCACAGATGATAGCGAAGAATCCCTCGGTGGGGCCCGCTTCAGAAACAAAAAACAAACAACAAAAAAACCCCGCGTGAATTATTGATTTCCGACGTGCGCAGGTGAGCCCATCAGCGGTTACCTGGTGCTTGAGTGAACAGAGCGATTGCTACAATTTGAAGGGGCAGGGGAAAAAAAACCCCCATCAACATCACCAGTCTGCCAGCTGTTACAATTGTTTGCCAACTGTTCAGATTCACAACAAAGATGAGTGATGTTGATGTTCTGCAGATAATATATATTGTTCCATGCGGGCTTGGTCTTAAATATAAGTACAGTTAAGATTAACGCATGTTTAGTTTCCTCCCGAGTCAAACCACATAAATGTTAACGATGCCAAATGTGACTCGGCCAGACGTAACGTCTGGCCTATGACAATAGACACAGTACTTGGCATGTGAATTCTCAAGGCGATTGCCAAGGGTATTTACTGTGACCAGAATGCACGCGCAATTCCTTATAAGTTCAACCTTGGCGGTTTAGCATTCTTAACAGGTAACCAGCATTGCGGCTCTATGAATTAGAAACATCGGTTTGACCATCATGCGATGAGCGTCACTCTGTGGCAGGAGAGAGTGCTGCCCCCGCTGCCGTACGGAACGGAGGTGACTCGAATGGATGTCGGAGGTAGCTCTACGTTACTCGCTTCCACGGTACGTTCTCATATAAGTAGGGTTGCACTGCTACCTTCGAGATATCCGAAACGTTGCTTCGTCTCGTGACGCGACCCCCCATCGAACGATGGGGTGACAACATTTACCAGAAAACTAAAAGATCAGCTAAAGCTACACATGTATAGCACAAGCGTGGTTATCAAATATTAACAGCCAGGCCATTATGTGTGCGACTTCCCCTTTTTATAATGCGCGGGGCTACTTTCGCTGACATGTGCGTCCAGCACAATACGCGCCTGAACGATCGTGCCTTAAAACCACCACTTGCGGGTGAAGAAGAACGCAAAAACATGGGCCGGTATGGACGTGACGGGTAACCGCACATTAAATTTTGAAAAGAATCAAAAATGAGAACTACACTTGGTTAATTCTGGAAATGTCTTCCACCTCGTACCTCCTGTTTCAGAAAAAGGAAGTATAACGGGGCGTTTTTTTAATGAATAAGTAAATTAACAAAAGGTAACGGCTAAAACGGTTCCATGCGTGTGCCTGTTTTGTTACTTTGTCTGAGACGATGACATTCGGCGTCATGCGAGGCGAGCTATGGAGAGCAGAGGATGGGGTGCAGAACTAAAACTAAACTCTGTAATAGAGGGTTAGATCTCGTAAATAGAAATGTATCGCTAAACCTGCCACCACCCGACACAGCCACTTAGTAAGGTTTTTCACGTAAATAAAACATGCAAATTCGTTACTAGTGTAACGACAGCAGAGTCTACCTGCGGTGTGAGTGGACTAGTGGCCCAAGGAGGTAATGACAGGGGAGTCAGTCTGCAGTGCGAATGGACTAGTGGCCACGGGAGGTAATAACAGGAGAGGCAGCTTGCAGTGCTAAGGGACTAGTGGCCACGGGAGGTAATGACAGGGGTGTCAGCTGTGAGTACGAAGGAACTGGTGGCTACGAGAAGAGGAGCGCGGTCAGGTGACGGAAGAGGACGATAGTCTGCTGGTGGAGCGAGCGTCTAAAGTCATTGAGAAGGTTCCAGAAGGTTCGGGAAGAGGGGCGTGGCCTCGGTCCGTATACAAGGGAGATGTTCAAGTGAACGTATCTTCAATAAAGAAACCATCTCAAGAAAAGTGTTTCAAGTCATCTTTACACTAGTATTGCACACCGATGTGTTGTAATTTATATGCATCAATCTTCATTTGAAGCTTTCGTGACTGCAGGAATCCATACTCTTTGGTTCTTTCGGTAAAGTCACGTGGGTATAAAAAATTAAAAATAAATTACGACGTTTCGATCGCAACACAAGCAAGTTTCTTGTTCAGCAGTTCTACGGCTGTATCTTTCTACCTGATGACGATTGCTTGTGTTGCGATCGAAACTTACGTGACTTTACCAAAAGAACCAAAGTGTATGGATTCCTGCAGCCACGAAGACTTCAAATCAATCTTGATTTAAAGACTTAAAATAAATATTCATTTGATAAACGAGCGAGGTCTTGCAATACGAGTAGTACGTGCATACGCTTTGTCTGCCGAGCGTCACGTGATCACAACTGACATACAAGTGCTTTGATATACGAGTGCTTTGGATTACAAACACGTTTCCGGAACAAATTATGCTCGCAATCCAAGGCTTTACTGTATTTAGCAGGTACAAAAACAAAATGAGAACAAAGACTGCTTACCATGAAATATTTTAGTGCGGCCAAAAGCAGCTTCATCACAGAATAAGCTCGCAACTTGCAATATTTAGTATTTGAAAAACCCGATCTGCAAAGAAATAGCCCTAGTATTAAAGCTTGAGGAATTAACACCACTGGATGTCAGAGCACTCGACTCCCAACTTCCAAGTTAACAGTTCACATGCCAGCCAGTGATCAACTCTGGACCCCTCATCCCTCTGGGTCAGATAAAATACGTATGATTTTGATGCAAGTCTACTGTAGTTATTCAATGCAGAGAATAACCTCCACCATAGTAATATGGAATTCCCACCATTAGCTCAAGGCCGTCAACAGAGATGAGCATTGCTCCATTGTTAATTTCAGCAGATAGGCATTTTCGGATTGAAAATGGAAGCTGGTGTATGTAAATTAGGAATGAGACCTATGCATCCATTAAAACCGAGCCAAACAAGAATACATTGTGAAGATGAACCATGACAATTCATCGAATCACCGTGGGGTTCAATCCACGCGTGCCTATAGCGCTAACGCTGCATTCCTAAGTGGAGATAAGGGCACGGCACGTGATTAGAGCTGAGCGGCATTGGCCAAGGTCGTTTCTAATGATGCCAAGGTCGAGCAATGACCCCTACCTCGACCACCCAAAGTGGAATAAGGCCAACGGCGTCGTAAACCACTATCGGCCGAGCGACTGTACGCTCCACAAGATGGACACTGCCTCCTGGGTCATCTGTCCACGAACTGGCTGAAGGTATGCGGGCCACGAGCGTCGCATGCAGATGATATTTTTTGTTTCCTTCTCACACTTAAGTTATGAGAGCCAGCGTGACGATCATTCCGTACGCACGACGCACGACCCACGGCCGCCGGCATCGACGTCGCACGGTCGCACGGTCGACCGGGTCGCGCCGGGCCTGTGACGCGCGGGCGGCACGCGTGCTTACTCGTGTCCTGGGCGCTGAGCGCGTCCAGGGCGTGCATGATGCCATTGGCGAACACGTTGGCGTCCTCCTTGCTGCCGAAATTGAGGCCGTACACCTGCCTCGCGTCCCTCCACTGGTGGAACATGGGCGTCGCCTGGTTGTACTTGAGGCCCTTAGAGAGCGAGCAGTTGATCACCACCTGACGCGCGCACGTACAAGCAGTGTTACATATGTATAAAACAAAGCCAAACACAAAGATCCCCCATATAGCCTTAACATACTGTTGGGGCAAGTGCTGTTAGCGAGCACAGACGAAGGCTGGCACGGCACACGAGGGGGTGGGTGGCAAACACCACTCCCAGCAAAGTTGAAACACCGCACTAGGTTCTGATTTTGAGGCTGCGTCGACATAGGAGAGGCCCAGGACCGATGAGCGGGAGTCGAACTCGTGTCGCCGGGTTCGTAGCGCAGCGCGCTAACCGCTGCACGACCGCTCCCCACATATGTAAGTATACATATACATGCACGCGCACACGATGCGGGCAGTGATGAGAAGCAAACTGGCACAATTTGGACACATTTTTAAGATGAACGACAACAGCTACATTAAAAGGGTGTTGTTTGGGGGGGGGAGGGGGGGGAATGGAAGGAACAGGAAAGAGAGGAAGACCTAACAGAGAACGGCTTGACGACGACATAAGAGAGTGGTGTCAGAAAGATGTGGCCACTACTTGAGCTTATTGGCACAAGGCAGAGGAAAGTGGAAACAAACAGCGACGCGTGCAACGGACACCTACGGACTATATGCCCATGGATCGTGATGATGACTTACAAGCCGGTACCCACCCCGCCCCCCCGTCTATCCTACAGACGAGGTGAAGATGTTTCTAAATGACAAATTCTAAAATGAAACTGCATTGCGCGAGCAACGCGAAGCCTCGGGAGGGTTCAACCCTCCGCCGAACCGTCGCAAAAGTTTCAACGACCATTAACACCAATGCCATACGTCACTGGTTCCTTGCAATGAGAATAATGAGCTGCTGCTTTGCTCTGTTGGGCGAAAATCACTCGAGGAAGTGCTGCGACTGACCAACTGACATAAAGATGAACAGAATGACTCACAGATGGACAAAGGAAGTTTCTCAAAGTGCTTTTGTTCAGGGTCTAAGCCAAAGTGTACCCACACTCAAATGAGCATTGGGCGGTGCTCATCTTGGTTGCCTGTCCACAGCCAGTTGTGGAAAGTCCACATTACGATGGTGGGGGCGAGTCCAGTCCATCCACAGCACAAGCACTGATGACTACCCACAAAACGGTACTCATTGTATTGTCCTCAGAAGGATGATGGGGTGAGTTGAGGGCCAACCGGGAATTGAACCGGCGACCTTTCCATTGTGAGCCACTGCGCCACCCAGCCGAAAATTGTGGGCAACACAAAACATTGAACTGCATCAATGGATGCGCACGATTGGCTACGTGTGGTGCAAAAGAAGTTCAACATCCACGCATAATGACGATAGGCATATTAATGAATGTGCTATTCCCTTTTAAGCGAGATATGAGAGGGTGTCCTTGGGACTAGAATGGAGAAATTCTTGAGCCAAGTGCAACAAGAAAACGCTCAGCATCCAGGTCATAAAAAACGAGCGAATCGCAGCACGTCTAAATATAGACGCGGTAACCTTCACAGCCATGGATAAGGCTCGGCGTCAGTAATGCTCATTCATTTTCTTTCACCGAGTTAAAAAAAAAAGTTACCAGTCCCTTATCGGCTGACAAGCCTCACTCAAAATAAACCATTCAAAGGTTTTCGCTCATTCCTAAAGTGTCTCGTGCATAACCATTCATTCATTTTTGCCTTTGCGGAGTGCATAGCGCATTACAAGGAAATTAAATGCAAAATCAGGACTACAAAGAGCCATAATTTATCTTTATGGACCCATAAGACAAATTCTGTTACTGAGCACATATTAAGGCTGGTACCCCACTCAGCGGCGTTTTGTGGCAACCGCTTTTGTCTCTGCAATGCAGCTCCCCACACACACACACATGCCCACACACACATATCACTGCCCTACCATTCAACAGAACACACACACAAACCAACATGCATAATGCTATGCCACCCACAAACCCGGCAGAATGCAAACAGGTACACATATCACTACACCAGCATTCAGCAGAAACACACATACCAACATGCATACTGCTATTCCACCACTCATCAGAAAGCTCACACACACACATCACTACACAACCATTCAGTAAAACACAAACAAAAACATCTCTCATATAGCCTTTAACAGACCCCTGGGGCAAGTGTTGTTAGCGAGCACCTATTAGGGCCAGCAAGGGCACACAAGGAAGTGAGTAGAGGGCACCACGCCTGGCCGCCTTCGTCTCCCCAGTGTTGCACGTTTACACATCGCGCCAGGTATCGAAAACGCCGGCAACTCTGCACAAGCGCACTTCACCCACTGCCTCCCGGCCGGCTGCCGACCAATCGCCGCCAACGTCACCTGCTGGTCCTGCATGCGCCGGCCAACCACGCGGAAGGTGTTGAGGCTCGTGTGGTGGTAGATGTGCACGCGGCTGAAGCCCTGCTGCCCTCCAGACGGCAGCCACTTCTTGTTGGCGTCATCGTACACCATGACCTGGGCCCGCGCCTGGCAGATGCTCTGCTCACTGTGCAACAGAAAAGGACAAAGACAAAGATCCCACCATGTAGCATCAACAGACTGTTGGGGCTTGTGCTGTCTATGAAGGCCGGCACGGCACACGAGGGAGTGGGTGGCCTGCACCACGCCGGACCGCCTTTGTCTTCCGAGTGGAAATCTTTTACACATCGCACCACGTACTCATTTGAGGCCGAGTCGACCTAGGGGAGGGCAAGGTCCGGTTCAAATAATCATCACTGGTGTTGGCCGTAAGCGGATATTGAACCCGGGTCGCCAGGTTCATAGCGCAGCGTAGCGCTAACCGCTACACTACAGCACCCCTCATGGTGGCACACATACACAAGTGCGCGCGGACCATGTGAAACGCACGCACACACGAAGAACCGACATTCACGAAACATGTTCAACAGTACAACAACAACCGCCATTCGCCACTAAGCGGCGGTGACATCACCACGACGCTTGTGCCAGGCTATGTGCACCTTGAGGCCACGTGCAACAGTACGCACACACAAACACACACGTAAAATTCATGCAACGCACAATGACACACACAGGGAACACACCAAAACACATGCACGCGCGCGCGCACAGACACATGGAACACGTTTCACTATTACGCTTGTTAACCCAGGAAAGCCTCACTGAGTCTCATAACTCTTTATCAGGAGGGTCCTGCCAAGTGTTCGCAGTAGGGGGCGATGAAGCATATTGCAACCGAGCAAATTTGAAACACATGCTCGCAGACAAAACATGCACCTAACAATTATGGCACACGGTGAAAAACACGCAGACACGGATACACTGACACACACGAGCATAACACACGTGCATCCAGGCAAAACAGGCACAGCAAACCAAGTGCATCGTCTGAAACAATGACAAGGAGCCGTGGCAAATCACAGGAAAAAGCCCATTCATTTAACATCCAGGGGGAGCAGATGAGCACGTGCGAGTTTTTTCTTTAATCACGACAAACGGAGAACCGCACACTTTACGTTTTCCTGAGCGGTTACATTATCACAGTGAAAAAATATATATACACACATCATAAAACGAAGTTCAGTATTCACGGTAATAATTAATTTTAGAGAGACAGAGAGAGCGAGCACACCAGCGACCAAATAGTCCCTTGAAATTATTAATGAGCGATCAAACTCGGCTTGCAAACTGGAAGGAGCCCTTATCCGCACAATTAGGCTGCCTGTGTACAGTGCTCGGAGTGATGCGTCCCAGGGGATGACTGTGGGCGAATCCCGCTTCCTGTGCATAAGTCGCAGCAGCAGCAGGGGCAGCAGCGGTTGCATTCCAGGCGCCGCGTAAATGCTTTCCTGCATGACGTAAAATCTGTCAACGGTGCAGATAATTTTTTTTGTCCTGAGTGCCACGCTGCGCGCATGTGTGAGTGTAAATATAAAGTTTCATCGCCACCGGGACCTCGCCGCTTTTGGTTATGAGCGCGTCGCTACACGCGAACGGTGCAATCCCCCATTGCCCCGCTCAAGTGTAGCTGAACCGGGGCCCCTTTTTTGTTGTTGCGGCGGATGTGGACGGTTATCGTTTTTCTCACTTGAATTGTTCCTGGATCGCTAATGTAGCCTACAGCCACACCGAGAGGTATACTCGGATGCGGTGTGCTGGGCACAGAAATATATTGGACGTGTCGCTTTGGTACACCTGGATGTCGTGTGCCGGGTCCAGACATTTTTTTGTACGTCACTTTGTAGACTGGAGTGGGTGGTACGTGACTAGTGGCCACAGCCAAAGGAAGAGGGACACTAGATTGACTTTCATCCCCGAAGCAGCGGCTTTTAGCTGGCCATCGAACAAAGTCTGCATCGTGCGCATCTGTGGCCATCTGGAACGCTCTCCCTTCCAATATTAAAAAGCCACAGGAGCGATGCACTTTTCAATTTAGATTGAAAACCATTTTTTTTAGAAATGCTTTTCGTGTTTAGTTTGTTGTCCTTTCCCCGCACCTCCAATGAGCACGATTGGCTACGTACGGTGCGAAAGAAGTTCAACATGCATACATACAGATATGGTGACGGGTACAAAAATATGTTCAGGGTCGCTTACTAAGACAGACCCAGCTGAATGGAAGCCCTGGTTCCCTTCCTTGAACATGATTGGCACATTCAGATGGGAAATTACCAAAGCGGGATGTTACGCTGTAAGATGATGTGAAATACACGATGAAATCGCTCGCTCGAAAAACACAATGTGGTAGGGCTAAATTCTCACATTTGGACTCCACCAGTAAAATGGACTCCACCAGTAAAATGTGTTTAATTTTTACTCGTAAAAATTATAGCTTGGTGTTCAATGATTCGACTCCCAAAGCCCACAGCCTCCCCACACCCGCCACAGCAATTTAATGAATTATGAAAAAGCTGGGTCACAATTTGATGCCAGAATAAATAATTTTCCTCTTGTTTCTCACCATCTCGTTTATATTGTTTCTCATCTTTTCCAATTCGCACAGATTCGTGCGCTCCGCTACCTTCAAGGTACTCTTTGGTTCTTTGGGTAAAGTCACGTAGGTAGAAATAAAACAAAATAAATCACGACGTTTTGGACGCAACACAAGCGTCCGTCTTCGATGTTACCTTAAAGGTAACATCGTCACATCATTCGTATGCAATGTGCATTATAAATTGTCGTGCATATGACTCGATGGGTTGTACAATGAGCGTAGGAAATAATTCTAATGGATCTGATCGCCAACGCTGTGTGTAACATGACACACGCACGCACACTGGTGTCTAACATAAACCTCAAAAGTCTCCAACTTTGGTTCAAAACTAAAAAAAAGTGCACATTGAAGCGAACGGGATGTTCCTACCATGATGAGGGCGTGCGTCTTTTTGTTTGTTAAGGGTGCGGTGGGGGGGTATGCGGGGGGGGAGGGAAGGGTGGTTGGTGGTGAGAGGGAGGGGGGTGGAGGGAGCGGGTAGGAGTAGGAAGTGGTGTGACCACAGGGAGTGTTCAAGCACTGGAACTCTTGGAAACGCTGGAACGCACGGCAGTTCACGCACACGTGGTACAACGACAGCAGCCGAAACGCAGGTAGTTGATGAGCAGGGGTACACACGTCTCGTGTTTGAGCGTGAAGGATGACGGCGAGCCAAAACACCGGGCTTCCTTGTATTTCCCCTGGCAACAAGACTCAGCCTTGTATGGCTTTCTTTCGTAGGATTTTAACATGGGGCACTTGAATTCCATCTATTACACAGCACTGTATAGTAATAACGATGTACGGTAAACACCGTTTCACGCACCCAGTAACCAGATTTTGATTCCCGGCCATGGCTAACATAGGCGGCAAGTGATATCTGATCTGTTCCTGGGCGTCCTTACTTCAGCAACCCACACCGAGCAGCGTGAAGTAAGGTCAAACAATCCCTGTGACAAGCACGATTGTGCGGAGGCCTTCATCAATAAGCACGGCTGGCTACGTATGGAGCAAAAAAAGTTCAACATACATACATACATTATTAATGCAGAAATATGGATTTCGTAATAGAGGTTATTTTGGGTTAGATCGTGTATGGTAAATATTTACGTGATCTAACCCAAAAATACCTCTATTATAGATAATATTGGGTCGCAAAAGCCTACGTGTTATATACACATTTCTTATATTTCGTAAGCCCATCAAGAAAGAGTGCCTCTATCTATGGAGACACATGCGAGCACATACATGCACAATCACATGGTGTCTGTGTATATCGAACAAAAATCCTCGGTTTTCAGACTGCCGGGACAAGTGCTGTCACAGCAAGCACCTATGAAGGCCGGCACGGCACAAAGCGATGGTTGTAACCAGCACCATTCCTGGCCACCTTTGTCTCTCTAGTGCTGTTGATTTAACCCACCGCACCAAGTACTCACTTAACGCAGTCAATCTAAGGGGAAGTCCAGGACCAGTTCAGGTTATCATTTGCCACTGTTCATAAACCGCGAGCGGGAATCAAACCTGGGTCCCTGGGTATAATAAGTACATTGTGCAAACCACTGCACAACCACTACACATGTCTGTGTACAAAGACAGAGGTCAACTGTTCTAAAACATACTGTTGGGGCAAGTGCTGTAAGCAAGCGCCTATGAAGGGCGGCATAGCATATGAGGAGTGGGTGGCCAGCATCAAGCCTGGCCGTCGTTGTCTCCCTCGTGGCGATGTTTACGCACCGCACGAGGTACTTATTTGAGGCCGGGTCGACCTAGGGGAGGCCAAGGACCGATTCAAATAATCATCACTGGTGTTGGTCGTAAGCGGAAATTGAATTCGGGCCGCCAGGTTCATAGCAGTGAGCTAACCGCTACACTACCGCTACACTACCGCTCCAAAGGAAAAAAACAAAGATCCCCCGTATAGCCTTAACAGACTGTAGGGGCAAGTGCTGTTAGCAAGCACCTACCCAAGGCCGGAACAGTACCCGAGGGGGTCAGATAATTGTCAGTGGTGTTGGCCATGAGCAGGAATCAAACTTGGGTCAGCGGGTTCGTGCGCGCAGCAACGCCAACCACTGCACTACCGCTCACCACGCGTCCGTGTACATGTACACACCCACGGTGTTATTACGACACACACACGGAATGTTCTGCAAGTATCAACAGATGTATGTTCCAAGGAGATTTCAAGTATGCGAGCGAGTCAAGTCACAACTGGCCCCAGTGTGTGCTATATAGATTACGTTAGGGAGGGGGGTTCAATCCTCTGAAACAAGGAAGGGGAAACAAAAAGTATGGGACGCCGCATGCCCCATTCCCACGCACCCTTGTGGCTCTCCGGCTCTAGAAACCGCTGCTTACTAGCGTGGTCCACAGCTGCAACTGTTGGCGATTGAAATTATCTATTAATCCATCGATTATGGCTTCAATCAGGCCGACGTAAAAAAAAACGCCCCGGAATGCGCCCGTTCTTTTCAGATTTCGGAAGCTGACGAAGCAGTGCTGAGCATCGATAGAGCGCTTGGATAGTCGGCCGCAATGCATAACCGGTG